CATTGGGCTAGTATTCCAAAGGTCGTAGGTTCGAATCCCACTGTGGCCGGGCATATTTTTCAAGCTCGCCCGGTGTGGATATACACTCAGAGTAACACCACAAATATCATATTCACCTGAGTACACTACACCAACACAGAAAAAATAAATAATATTGTGCTCCTTATTATTCATTGTTGACAAAAATCGCAAAGAAAAATTGCCTATTCACATTGCAAGGCCAAAATTATGTACACAATTTCAGTAATAAATAAAATAAACAACTTTACCAAGGACAAGTGAGTCTTTATTTATGACAAGAACAGTAGATTAGTTCATTATTTACAAACATGTATTATTACCTTTCGCATTTTAATATTGTGGAAACATATCTATATTTTTATTTATTTCTGTTTATTTTCCTCAGAAGAATGATAAAAATGCATAATACCGTGTGCAACCCCCCTTGCTAAGAGACTTGAACTAGTACAATAACTGTATATAACATGAAGTTTCCTGAACAAAATGGCAGAACTTTTAATAAAAAATGTTGATGTTTGATCGTAAAATACAAAAAAACTGCGGGTCTGTGCGAGTGACAACAAGTGAATTCGTACTCAGCATATCAAAATCTATAGATTCATGTAAACTAAAAGTAGGTCCCGAATGGGGGCAGCGGAACTGAACTATAATCGCCTACAGAATACGGCCTATATCAGCATATTTTCATTACCTGTCTTTAACATATCACAATTTAAATCACCAAGAATATAGAATTCTTTATTTTCATCATCGAAAGCTTTGATTAAGTTTTCAAAATGCTCAATGAAATCTGCTGATGCATTGGGTGGTCTATAAACTGTTGTGACTAGAAGTGGTTTGCTATGTGGTTTGATAATTTCTAAGCAAACAGCCTCTAGTTCAGTGGGAATCACATAATTTCTTCAGTTTATGGAGCTACGCAAGTAGATGCATACTCCACCCCCATTTCTTGATCTGTCTTTCCTAATTATATCATAATCATTCAAGTGAAGTATATTATCACTTATACTTGAATCAAGTCGAGTCTCATTGAAAGCAATTAAGTCAATGTTCTGACATGGAATATCTTGCTTGACATGGAATATCTTATTTCATCAATTTTTTTGGGTAAGCTAACAACATTTAGAAAAACCATTTTAAAGCCTCTTTCTTTAGGGATAGAGCTGAGCATAGTTAATATATACTGACCGGGTTCGGAAGGCCGGGTCACATGACGAATTATGTTGGATTTTTGGTCACGTGGAACATATAGTGCATTACAAGTGGAACATATAGTGCATATTGTAAACAATGGCCATAGTAATTATATACAAAGAGTGTAGAATTACCATATGTTGCAAAACGAAAAAAGCTGTTGGTTTGGCGACATTTTCTACAATGCCCGGAGCAAATTGCTCCGGGCATTACAGAACCAGCAAAAAGCATGTTGGGCTCGGAATCTTTAGAATTCCGTCTGGCAAAGACGAGTTATCAACGAGAACTCGAGAGGCTTGGCTGAACGTAATCACAAAGGATCGAGTTGTGGACAAGAGTTTACGTCGCCAGATCGACACAGGTGAGCTGTATGTTTGCGAGAAACATTTCAAGACTGAAGAAATTGATTGTCGTAATTGTATTCTTATTTTGCCCCCGTAAACAATGAGTAAAACTGTGCGAAAAAGCGGCAAAAACCCAATTGTGAATGAACAGATCGACGCCTGAGAACAAATATGAATTCCTTTGTGTAAAATATAAACTCGATCTGTAAATATCAAATGATAAATTGTAGGGGTTATAGGATTTGTAGCACTGCCACTGATCAAAGCGTTATTTTCAAATAGTGCAAGTATATTAATTACAGAGTGTAGAGAATAATAAGCACTTTATGCATGAACTATGCCAACTATCGTGGAATCTACATAATATCCGGCTGTACGTCTCTCAAGCACAACGAGGCTTGCTGCTTGTGGGGTTGAACTTTAGTCAGCCGTATTAAATTACATTGTAAAGCGAATAAACTTGCATGTCAAACTTTAGATATTTCGTTGAAATACCACCCATAGACTGTCATAGTTTAATAGAGATAATATAGTTTAATAGAGATAATAGTTTCAAATATAAAGGCATAGCATAAATACAAAATGGTTTATATAGGCATTTAAAACACGTTTTATTATAAATCAATATCCTAAATATTTAAAGATGGAATCTTTTGAACTTAGGTATTATATACCAACATTAATATTCCATGCAACAATAATTGAATATACTACGATAATACATGATCATAGTAATACAGAAAAATCTTCATTTATATTACAGTATCTAGTCAGCCTTTATACCACCATGCAATACTAACATAAACAAGTTATGCACCAGATGGTAAAGGCACCAGACTTAATCACTTAATCCTTTTGACAATTAAAATTATCTGACTTTGGACTGTATAAACTGCAAATTAACAAAGTATGGGGCATCTGGGCACATTGTGTTTTCATGGGTTAGAGAGTTTGGCAGTTTACTGTATTGTACATTGGTAGTTTTGTTAACCCATTAAAGTGTAAGTAAAATCATCGTCCTTAGATGGGTTAAAATAGCAATGTTGGATACACCAGGATGCACTGTGGCACTGTGCTTAGTGCATATTATTTTCTTGTGCACAATAATATTCTCTGAGTACAAGGTATCAGTCAACTGACAAATGTTACAAAGTCTCTGTTTTGTCTTGAAAGCTGTCATTTACTTTTTAGCCTCTACTCGTAAGAGACTGGTGCCAGGAGCAGTGCCATCTTTAAATTTGCCAGTGAAGAGTACTCCTACTTCTGCAACATCAACACGACGAGAACTTGTTCGACATCAACTGGATAAACCTGTTGTATATCATAATTTGGAGAGCTTCAAGAAACGAATTCTGGGTTTGAAGATGAAGGGATGGCTGAAAACCGAAAATGAGGACAGTGTCATTTTTTAGTTCTGGAATCCAACATTTCCTTGCCCAAGCTAACTTGCTCTGTTGCCTCTAGTCTTGATTTTTCTGTTGCTGTGTATAACTGGTTTCTACCTGACGATCATGTGATCTACACTGAATTGAAGTGATCGGTAAAGCACACCAGCATCTCAACCATTATTTCTAAGCTAGAGAGTTACAAGATTTGTGAAGGCCTCAACAAGAATGAACTCACATATTCAAAATGTGAAGATCCCAGTCCTAGCTGTAGTTCCAGCAGTATAATTAGGCATACCATTCCCATAAAGCCTAAGAATTATGAAGATGGTCCTCCCTTTAAAGCCTGTATCTTTTTGAGATCACAAGATTGTGAATTGCTTTGTGGTAACATTTCCTGCTCCAGTTGTATCAAGCACGAAAAGTCTGTCAGCAAACAGAAAGAGAAACACAATGTACAAGCACCTCAACCCCTAAAGGATAAAGCACCTCTGTCCAAATCAAGTAAGGAACGGTTGGTTGCCACAGTGCAAAGACAGAGAGTTGTCTGCAAGGAGCTTGAGGGTCGTATCTCACAGTTGGAAAAAGAGATTGCAAGGAACAGCATCCCTATAGATGAGACTTTGGAAAAAGATATTCTGGCAATACTTGCTGATAGTGGTGATGAGATCACCCCACATATGAGAGTTTTCTGGGAGCAACAACGGAAAATGCTTGCATCACCAAAGTTTGGAAGAAGATACCACCCACACATCATCCGATTTTGCCTTTCAATCCATGCCAAATCACCAGCAGTATACAAGGAATTGTGAGATTCTGGCATTTTGGTACTCCCAAGTGAAAAAAACCCTGCGAGACTATCGGAATTTTTTCACACCTAAAGCTGGTTTCCACCCTAAAAATGTGGAGTGGTTGAGGAATCAAACAAGCCAGTATTTCGATATCCAAAGGTATGTTGTCATCGCATTTGACGAGCCTAAGTTAACTGTTAAGCATATCCAACTCAAGTCCTATTCAAAGATGAAAGTCAGCTTCGCAGTTCAAGTGTTGAGCAATACAGTGGCCGAAGCTCTCAAGCGGCACTATTTATCAGGAGAGGCAAGTGAAACAGCCAAGTTTTGTCAAATGATGAACGACTTCTTTGATTGCATGAATGTCCATTCAACTTCAGAGCATCAAAGAAAGCGCAATCCACGACTGGCTCCATACCAACACATAGATGATAGCAGGTTTGATTGCCTAAACAATAAATTCTTACAATACTTGACAAGCTGGAAATCATCGATTGATTCGAGAGGTCCATTCTCAGATGATGACAAAGGGCGTATGTTCTTGAGTGTCCAAACCTTCACTGGCCTGAAGATGATGGTAAATTCAGTTGTTGCCCTGACAAGGTTTTTGTTGAGCGAAGGATTCGAGTTTGTGCTCACAGAGCATTTTTGCCAGGTGTCGAAGAGTATGATGTCGAAGAGTACTTTGGTTACCAGCGAGCACAAGGAAGAAGAAATGATAACCCAACAGCAGTTGCGTTCGGGTATAATGACCTCAAGATTGCAACGTTGAGAGATGTTGCACACCACACTCCATTGAAGGAAATGTTTCTGGATGACATTTCTGGTAAGCGAAGCAAGAACAAAAAACCAACCAAGAAATAGTTGTCTTGAAAATGTTAAGTTAATAAGTGCACATGCAGTAATATTGTGAGAAATATCCTTTACAAACTGATTAAGGGGTGTTTCTTATCAGTGGTATAGCCAGCACAATGATTCAGTCCCGCTATGCAAATATTGCCATGCTTATATACTATCAACACAATTGAGAATGAGTTGAAATTTGCATAATGGGACCAAATCCTCAGGCTGGCTATGCCACTGTCCTAATCATGAAGGTGGTAGTAACTGTACACAGTGCAGTACCCAAATGTTTAACAGTAGAGAGGAATTCCATGCTGTTTTTACTTGTTAATTTATTGAGAATTTTGGCTCTGCATGATATATTTGCAGCAATTAGACATTTAGTGGTGGTCATACCATTTATATTGGACCTTACTTATCAGTTACTATGTTCATAATTCCAAATTAGAAGTGGACAATGAGCAATTACCACTCTTATTAAGTGCTACAAATGCTTCATTATGACTTGGCCGGATAAGCAGCAAATTTTTGTTGCTGAATTAGATAGCACTTGGACTTGGGGTATTGTTTCTAATTCTTAGCCGATTATAGTAAACTGTGATGTAGCACTTCACAAGAAGTGTTAAATGCTTTTTCCTGTCCAATCAGTACTTAAGTGTTATGGAAGCAACTCTTTCAAATGTTGGCTTATTATTAATTAAACTGAAATTTAATACTAGTAAATTACTATACAAACATTTACAATTAACACCTTTTTGCAAACTATTTACATTTAGCATTCAGTTGCAATAAATATTTTATTAACAGTGACTCAAGTTATGCTCAAACCTTTTCTCACCAAATATTTCAAGACAAAAAGTTGATGCAAGATGGGAATTGCATCTGCTAAGTAACAGTCGCTTGAGGAAGTAGCATTCTATTGCTTGCTTGACCATTAATATACATGGCTTGACATAATGAATAATTTCAATATAAAATCTTGTGCAACTGTTAATAATAGTTACAAGCTCTTAAAGTTTAACACCCGGATTCTAAAACCTCACTTACACTCAATGAGTGGAGGTTCAATCTGAGCTTTTCTTGAGTGTAAATGCTGTTTTTGAATAGCTGGAGGGTGAGTGGTACGACACTAGCCCTTTGGCACTCGAGAGAAGCTCATATTGAACTTCCAGTCATTGAGTGCAAGTGAGCTTTTAGAATATGGGTGTAAACTTTCTGACTGGTTAAAAATGCCTTTTTTATTGCCCTAGAAATTGCATTTATCACTATTGAATATATTTAGCTGGAGGTTTGATCAAATGCAATAGTATTTTAAAGCCACCTTGAATCATAGTTAATATGCTTGAATACAGTAATTTCATTCCTTGGTAAATGACATTATTCCAGTTCACTACTAGCTTTCTTCAAGTCTTTCCGTAAAGCTTTCTTTTGCTTAACACCTTCACTTAATTTATAATTGTTTACAATATCTTTGGCAAATGAGAAACACCTAACAGTAACGTACAACTTTACAATATTTTCTAAACACAGGGACTGACATTCTTTAGTGATTTCCACATCACAATTTGCAATAATATTGCACCACAAGCTTTTCAGAAGGGAAGAAGCCAAAACTTCATTCACTATTTTGTCTACTGGTAGACGAGTGACCTTGTCTTTATTTGTGTGCTTCCTAAAAACTAATTCACTAACTTCCATAAGACTAACAAGCCATGAATGAGGTGACCACAGGCCACCTCTTGATAAAGATAATATATACTCATTGTCCTCTGTTGCAGTTCGCATTGAATACATTAATGCTTGAATTTCTTTGTTTCTTTGGGACTGCCACCGGGAACAATTCTTGCTTTTTTGGTACCGGGAACAATTCTTGCTTTTTTGGTACAAAGACCTTATAACATAGCCTGCCAAATAGGCCAATGGCCCATGCTCTTGTGGCGATAAAGAAACCTCCTCCTCCTAAAATAAGTACGCAAAAAGACAATAAGTGAGATGCTACCTTGAAATGGACATGGTTAGTGCCCCCAGTTAGTAGTTGTATTTTTAACCCACTTTCTGGCAGTACCCAGAGTAAAATGCTATTGCCAGCTGATCGGTTAACTGCCGACACAAATGGTTAATGAGTATAAACATGCATGCCTATATACAAAGGGCCATTCCATTTAAAATCCACAGCGCCCCTATGGATGAAGTCAGTAAAATTTTAACCCTTTTAAGAAAAAAGATCAAAGTGTCAACACAAAACACCCAACAGAAATTTCCCCTCACATCAGAAATGCCTTTGGAGTCACCCTTCAGAAAAATCATCAATAGGGGGTTGGTGGACATTAAATAGAATGGCTGAAAGCCTCTCGACGTTTTGAGCAAAGGCCCTTTGAGAAGCTTTGTATTCTTTTATAGGTGTGTGTGTATAGCTTTGTGATAAATATAAAACTGGCTATGTCAGAAAACAATTACCTCAGAGTCAGATGGTCCCTTGTCTTGCTCAATGCATATCAACAAACGCTCTGGGAGATGAATGAGCATTAAAAACACCATCTTCTTGTCCGGATAAGGATGGAAATACTCATGCCAATGAGTGTTTGTGTTGCCATAAAACTCTTTCAGAAACTTGTCTTTGCTCTTCTTTCTTTTGAGTTTCAGAAGGAGGTCGTTCAAAAATTTCACAAAGGACTCACTTGGTTCCAGCTTAAAAACTTCTCCAGCTTGCTCTGGTTTGTAAAGCTTCTCGTCCATTAAATAGCGACCAATATCTCGGATGATATCCCTGGTTTTATCCATCGTAATTACGACGTCTCTGGTAGAAGACGAAGTTGAACTTTCCCCTACGGTTCGACCACCCTTTGACTTGCAAATTTTCTCGCAAAACTTGCAAGGAAATTGCTTGTTTCCTTCGACCTAGAGATGAAGGTTTAAGTTTGATTATAAGTTCGGTTATTGAAAAGGCATGGTTTACTTTGTTTTTGATATTTTAACTCACCTCTTCATGAGAATTTTCAACCTCAATCATCACTTCGTCAACATCCATATCGAGCATAGCAAGAGTTTGCTCAAAATCGTCTTCAAAAGCCGAACAAAACGCCCCATCATCTTCACAAAACAGCAAAGAACCCTCCTCGTCCATATCCATGTGCTCAATAACGCTTGACTCCATAGACTTCGTATGTAACAAGTAAATAACAATCTTTGACAAAATCCCCTCTATTTTCTATAAGTTTCTACTATGATTTGCTGCTTAAATGCACTATAAGCTGTCACATGACGTACTTTGTAACATGATATCCCATTTGATCACGTGTTGCTTTGAAGTTTGCCGGCCTTCCAAACCCGGTCAGTATATATTAACTATGAGCTGAGACACGTGTGAAAATCGCTGCTTACATTACTAGAATTACCTACACTAGGTATCATTCGCCTGACACAGTTCAGGTGAATTGTCCACTCTCTGGCCCGATGACCATAAACTTTGGATAAACAATGGTCATTCCTATCATCTGCAGAACCCTGCAGAGTACCAGGGGTTCTAGCTCTAACTCTTAGTGATCTCAGATAAGAGCAGAAAGCACTGCCAAGTGCTATATCACCAAATCGGTTTAGGTGCAGTTTTGAGCCATTTAGTCAAGACTGATCTATGTTATTGTTTTTTATGAGGGTAACATTATGCTTAAGACATAAGTTTTCTAATAATTTGTTATACTGTTCTATTTTATTGGAATGGACTCTACCATCATACCTCATGACATTAGAGACAGGATTTTCACCATTAGAGGTGGGTTTTCACCTCATTGATAAGATCATCCATATCCTTTGCCACTTTGTTAGCATCACCATGGGCCAAGTCATTTGTGCCAACATGAAGGATGACACTATCGTATTGTCCATCACCATCATTCTTTATCTTCTCTTCTATCTGTTTCACTCTGGCTCCACTGTATGAGTGACAGACCGACCTGTGTCCAGTAGCCCTTTCAATCTTCTTGCTGTTTTTTACCATTGAGTCACCAATGACAAGGGTTATTTTTTCATTTGTCTTTGCTGGATCTTGGGGTTTTGTTGCAGCATTTCCAGGGCTGATTTTCGAATGATTAGCCTTGTGGTTCGAAGTATAGTTCTCGCACTTTCGACTTGGCCTCTTTGTTTGCTCGTCGATTTCTACAATCTCTGGGAAACTTGTAAATTGACTATCTTCAATTTCAAGTCCTGTGTGGCTATTTTGCACAGAAATTTTAAATTTCTGTTCATTCTTTTTTAGACTTGAGGCCTTTTTCGTTTGGACCTTTTGTCATTCGTCTTGCTTGATATTCAGAACCATTTTTATACATTTTCATTTTCAAGTTCTTCCACGGTTGATTTCAATTTTCGTATTTCGGCCGCCATCTTGGATTGTCCTTCAACTAAAGTTTTATTAGCCGCTTCGGATTTAGCCACTTGCACAATAGCATTTTGTATTTCCTTCTTGTGTGTTTCTTTTATTTCAGATATCATAGTCATTATTTTATTCAAGTCTACCTGATTATGATCTTCATTTTGGCAGGATGTATTTTATCTTGATCGATAATTTCCACGACCATGTGTTCGACCAGTTCATCCTCGCTCGCTTCGCTGTCAAAAGTATTTTCGTCATCCATTTCACTAGCATAGCGTTTTAGCTCATTTGTAAGATAGCTCTCTTGGTCATCTTTCACCACAATTAATTGTTGTTTTGATTTCCCTTGCCATTTCAAAACAAAATCACGACGAATAAACTCTTTAGACTACCTGCCGGATGAAAGCCATTTCCCACTCAGATTAAGATCTCTTTTAATCAACTCCTGTAGGTCATCATAGCTTCCCTTCCAAAATAATTTGCCCTCTTGAATGTATAAACAAGTAGATTTTAATCTTTTCTCGTCATTAATGCCATTTAGTTGTTGTGAATTTGAAGATGTGGAGCGCTTTTAATTGTGACTAGTCGCCATGATGACGTAAACAATCTTTAATATTATTTAAGAAAAGTATTCATCGAATTCTCTTGCAAGTTCTTGTCAAGGCAGATTTTTATGTTGATATTTCTGAAATAAATTATAGGATTACCAAAATTCAAAATAATTAAAGTGAATTTACGAACATTACAACTTATGTTTACAGACATGACAACTTTATATCAATATTTGGGAACAATTTTTACCCATCTTTATAAAAAACACAACTTTTTGGACTTCATTTATATGTTATTAATATCTAACCTATAACAATACCCACCCAGATTAGCTTATGCTATTTGTGGGTGTGTTAATTTATGTAAGTATCAACCTATATTAAATGAATAATAAACAAACATTGAAAATAATAAACATTGAATTACACATTGTGTGCTCCTTTGAATAAACCTTTAACCATAGCAGTCTCGACATACTCGTCAATTGCGACATTGTGACCCTGCCTTCTGTTCATGCTAATGCTTATATTTCTGCGATACATTTCTCTGATTGCCAGAGGCCATGTACCACTAAAGTTTATAATATGATTGAATATTTCATCCTTGTAGTTAATTTTTCTCATGGCACAGAATAGCTGAAGCATATGCAAAGCTTATGATAAGTTAGATGGCCTGTCGGGACTGACTGATGATCTAATTAATATATGTTGACATGCATGACGCACGAAGTCAAGAGAGATTAGAGGAGAATGGGTGCGAGTTGAGTCAGTGTGCTAGAAAACAAGTGAGTAACAAGGAGCGAGATTTTGAGAGAGAATTGTGACTGTGAGTGAGAAAGTCTAATCAATAGACAAACAGTGAACATATATATATATATATATATATATATTGGGAACATTACGTTAACTGGGACACAAGGGAGAACATTCTATACTATTATATTAATTGATTTTATTGTTACTGTTGGGTTAAAGATAATATATTCTTAAAACATTTGTGATTTTGTGACTTGTCGGGAACTACGTTAAAGCGGAGGCGAATTCTCGACAGGCCGTTATTTTGCCAATTTTATTGACAAGATCTTTGAAAGCATGTTTGGCACTGCAGATAAAAGCCTAAAGCGATTATGGTTACAAGATGGAGATCCAAGTCAAAACTCGGCAATGGCTCGTGCAGCTATAGACCATGCAAACTGTGAACTTCTAAAAATACCCCCGAGAAGTCCTGGCTTAAACCCTATTGAGAATATTTTTAAACTAGTTTCAGATGCATTGCATAAGCAAGTAGAGTACATTTGTTCATCATTGTTGTACTCTATTAAAATCTCTAGAAATACAGCTCTTAAAGTTCTAACTGTCTGTATTGTACAACTTTAATACAATTAATACTTGCATGTTTAAACTGATTATACACTAGTGCACTGAAAAATGTTGATTATGATTCTTTAATTATTACCTTAAAACTATAAAAGTAGAGAAACACTTTAGTTCTTAGTAAAAATATGCACTGACCTATATGTAGTTCACTGGACAGTCATTTCCGTGTGTGCGCTGATTGGCCATGCACAGTCACAAGTTAAAATACTAGTTGCTGATTTGGCTAAGTTAACAGTGAACAACTAACATGTCGATAACATATAATCTACTTCGTAGATTAAAAAATGGGTTAAACTACTCAAGACAAAAGGATTGAAAAACATTGGTCCAAATTCAAGAGTCTGTTCAAGTCACTTTCCAGGTGGAAGAAAAACCTATTTGAATATTGCACCAACAGAATTAGGAATGCAGAAAAATGTCAAAGCTTGCAGCCAGCTCTTTAGGCCAGATATTGTTACTACTACATTTGAAGATAAAACTTCTACTATAAATGTTGACACAAATATGTACCTATAAACAGTAAAGAAGTAGATGTGACTAAAGTTTGTACCCCTATTTCAAATGAAATCAAAATGAAAGAGGAAATAGAAACTCTAAAAGCAAAGTGCAATTCTTAGATTTGATTGATTCATTCAAAGTTGAAGTCAAGTCAATGTTTGTTCCTTCATTTTTGATATTTCTCTTACCCATCGAGTGTCAATCCTGCATGTGCATCTTGGATTGGGATTTCATGATCTTAAATAATCAATTTAAGCAAAGCTATAAATTGCGGTTAATGGAGTAAAATGTTCTAGAAGACTCTATCTGCCCGAGGGCGTTTTTAGTCTGCCAACACATCTGCGTCATAACAATGAATCCGTACAAGGTCCAAGTACCTCGGTAGAACAAGGGAACCTGTTTCCTAGTCCTGTTAATATTACAAAATATCAGATAAATATTGAACTTTGGCTATTAAGCATGTGAACAACTGATGCAAACTTGGGATTAACCAATTAGAAATTATCCTGAAGGTTTTTCCTTCACATGCATACATACAATGGCCCCCTTTTTGCGCAAGAACTTTTTATCACAGTTTTGACATGCACTGTTCATTCGCAAGATTTTAGCCAGTGTGTTAACATCTCTGGCAAAATTTTTGGCTAATAATTTAAGGGATCAAAACCTTGGTAAAGAAGTGGAAATTAAAAACCCCCAAAAAAAACCAGTAATGGAACAAATGGCAAAAGTAATGTGCAAGATCACAAGTCCAAGGACAGCGCAGTTTCCCTGAGATGGTGTTCCAGAACTATAATATTGTTGCCGTTTGTAATCCACGTTTTGTGACCTCAAACGGAGTGTGTTCATTCCATATTGTTTATTTACTTCCCCAATATAATGTTCTTTAATTTACTGCTGTTACACTAGTAATATATAACTTCATGTTACTCTGGTCCTGCTGCCCTACAGAAGTCACAATTTGTATTGTATTAGTATACTATGTATGCATGTCTAATCAAGGTTACGTGCTATCCTATTATCTACAGTTGCGTGCTATCCTATTATCTACAGTTGCATGCTATTGCTACTTTCTTTAATACCATACAAACAATTACACGTAATTAACTGAATATGTAGATAAATAGATGTGGTAAGATGTAACTCTCCATTCATTCACCTTACTTGTATTCAAACTTGTGTCGCATCCACTATTCGCTCAGGCATTGCCCTGAACTAAACAGTTTCACTCATGACCGGGATATCTTAGACTAGAAATGTTATAACAGCTGTTATACAGCCTTATCGTACTGCTACTTTATACTCGTACCTAAAGTGTATACACCCTGTGGCATATATAATAGCCCCAGTCCCATGAGTCACGATTCGTAATGCATTGTTTACTGCATTTCACCTATTTTCCTCTGCACGAATCTTAACACATTTCTAACTGTTATTGATACTTTGCATCATGCCAGCCATACAAACAACATGTATTCAACTACAAAAAATTACACCCGGTACAGCGACATGGTTTTTATTATGGTATTGTCATAGTTATATAAGGACGGTTTATTCTAGTTATAAGGATGGTTTGTCCTAGTTAAAATTATTGAGATGTTCATGATATACTTAAAACCGACCTCAAAGAAACTCCAACTAGAGAGGTTATATTGTAGCATGTTAAATGTTTTCTTCGTGCAGATGTATATTTTGTTACACTAACCGTATGTACCAATATTTTGTTACACTAACCGTATGTACCATGGCTTGCACACAGCTTTATTTTATCTTTCCTTAAATTCAAGCATACACATACATGGCTGGCAGTATTTACTTAGAACTATGGTGCTATTATGAGTATTGATAACTCGCAAAACTGCATCTGAAACACATCACAACCTATATAATAAGATTAGTAAGTTATTTTCCATTATTCTCTTCATTAATCTCCTGGGAAAATCCTGCACTTATTGAGCGTCATATAATATAACTACATGCACAGAGTCAAGCATGCCCTCTGCAGTCTAGAGATTCTCCTGTTTCTCTAGATAAAACTTAGGTTAGCAAGAGCCTCTGGACATTTCGGCCGGAACTGTTTTCAATCACTTCTCTGCCCAAAATATATGCCACAAAAATGTGTTTCAAGTTATTGTTGTCTTGCTTAGTTGCCAGTTGTTCGATTTTAACTATCTGTCTCTTTCCAACATATTCAACTTCATTAATGAATATTTGTTTAAAATTGTCTTTCTTTTGCCTCTTTGTCATTGTGGCATAAGCAATGAATCTATCCAACATTTCTTACATTGTCCCTGATTTGCTGCTCAACGCAATCTATTTCTTGCCTCTGCCGTGCGGATATGTGGTCAAAGTTGGTTGGAGAGTAGTGATGGAATCTAAACATTTTATATTCTTAATGGTATTGAACATTTAAGTTATTCAAGTTATTCTGATAATTGTAATTTCTTGAGAGAAGTTCATAAATATATTCTCTCCACAAATCGCTTCTCTTCTACAGGTGTATGTGTTATTTTTGTGGTATAATATATCATTTTGTGATGTGTGCTTGTGTGTTTTTGTGATGTCCTAATGTATTTGTCTTCTTTAAACAATAGTTTTATGTGTTTATATAACTTAATGTTAATGTATTTTATGTGTGAGTCCTCACGATAAGCCATTTGTGCTTTTAGGGCAAACACTTTTTTCTGCAATAAAATGTTTATATATAAAAAAAATATTTAGCCATTTATGTAGGGTTATGGACTTATTGCCCTTCGGATAATGGGTCACCCAAAAATGTAATGATATATTTAAATGTGGGAGCTTATTTAAACTAAAATTGATCAATCATTTATCATTCTTCTTTGATCAAAAAAGCCAGAACATTTTATAAAATTGTTTAAGTGTTATTGCCATTTCAGTGATAGCCTTTGAATTTAATGAAGAATTTGCCATATTGCTTGGGACTTTGGGGGTGGAAACTTTGCAACAGCCTGCAACTTAATTAGGTTAAAGCTAAATTCTGACTGTTTTTCAAACTTTGAAATAGTCCCAGCGGGAATTCAACAATGTACTAAAACTGGTCCCTGGCCATGTAAACTTGGTAATGATCAATGATAGCTGTTAAGACATGCATAATAATAACAATAATATCATTTTTGTACAGAATAAGAACTTGTTTCAGCAACATAAATTGCTGGTATCAACCAAGGACCTGTCGATGTCTGTCCAGCTAGACTTAAATCTTAAAAGTGATGATTTTCTCTTCAAGTCACTAGGTAGTTTCTTAAAAATAATTGCCCCTTGGTAAGCAAAGGTTTTCTTTCCAGTTTCAGTTCTGATCTTCGGAAAGACAAATGGACAATATTTGTGTTGTTCGCACATGTACATTTAGCATGTGCAACTTTTTAAAAATAATCTTGAAAGGCTTTTGACGCTATTCCTTTTAAACATTTAAAAACCTCAAGTGCACAGGACCTATTTCTAGTTTTGTTCACACTTACGGAACTTCGTTGACCATTTATAACTTCCATTTTTAGTGCAAAGTTGACGAAGTCAAGTTTGTACTATTGTGATGGGGTGCAAAGCATTACGTCATTACGTGACTCAACAATGGATCGATCGATGGATGTATAGTGTAAACAATTCAATCCGGGGGGAGCGCTTGCAAATTATTTTCGTAGCTTTGCAACGTTCGGCCATCATATATATTAAAAAATTTTCAAATAGGATTTTATATTTTTATTCACAACAACAGATGTTTTTCTGATTTACATCATCTAGCATTTAGAGAAACAATCATAAAATAAATATCAATTTTAAGATATGAATGGCTAATATGTGTAGGTACTTTCTCGCCCTCCGTGCAACAAAATCAAATGAAACAACACACATGCTCTGCACTGCGCCAATTTTAATATGGCGGTGTCAGAGGAGTCGCAGTACGATGTCGTGTATAGAACGGGTCTATCATTACTATCAAAGTCAAAGATGCAGTCACTTTTAACCATGTTTTTGTGCTTATATCATCTAACAAAGAAACAGAGTGATACAGAAAATAAAAAAGTGCCTGTGGAGTGTGGTCATGATAGTTTTAATATAAATTAGCTTACACATTTTATTAAAAATAACTCAATACTACCTATAAGGGTTGTATAAGTATAAACAACTCGCATCTTATATTCCCATTTTGTTGTAACTGTAAAATTTTACTCCGGAGCACAGGCATGCAGAAAGAGACTATGCATGGTTCTTAATTCTTTAATGTTTATATTAAATAACGATGGCAGTTAATGTCATGATCACAGACACGTACAGGCTCTTGACAACAGGCAAATCTTACTTCATTTATATCAAAACCTGATTAAATTATTATATAAGACGTACTTAGTTATTGTTATTTTATCTTGAATATTAAGCCCTTCAACCCAAGCATATGCGTAAGCATCTGATCAAACGCTATATACACTGTCAAAATGTCAATGTAGTAAACAAAGTAGTTAAATGTAGTTCTATAAATAGCGCTGCAAAGCCTATACATTTCAATCACGCAACACAAATATTTTAGCGATTGTGATTTGTTCTAGAAGACTAAGCACTGTATGTGCTGCCTCTGATGTGCTGTTTTAGCATGAACATATTTGATTTTTTTAAATTAAGGAAATTGAAGGCTCATGCTTTATATTTTCTAACGATCGATATAGTCATGTTTATTCAATATAGTCTGCATATTATATGCCAAGTCTGCAATTTCAGTAAGCAACTTTATATACTTTGTATTCTGCATTTTATACATTTTCTGCAGTCTACACTATAGTTTATACTGACTTTCAAACACTCAATAATTCATGAGCTAATTGGCAAATCATGTCAACAATAATATGTCACGTGCAGTGGCTTTAAACTTGATAAAACACTCCTAATTAGTAATCTTTATATAAAGAATACTAATAAGGCAGTATCTATTGTAGTTGTGTCCTCATTAGTATTCTTTATATAAAGAATACTAATAAGACAGTATATCTATTGAATTTGTAGTCATGTTTGAAGCCGTTTAATAAACTCGCAGGTCGTGTTTTATTAGGTCTAAAGCCACTCGCGCTGTGCGCTCATGTCTTTAAACCTAATAAACCGCACTCCTGCTCATTTATTAAACAGTATGTAAAGTCTGTATGCTATTTGTCATTATAAAACTCATTAATAATTCATGAGGAAAATACAAAAGAAACGAACGTTTAATCAATGTTTGTAAATCGCATAAAGATTTGTCCTGATTAATACATAAACTTCAGCTTTGATTTTCTCGGCTTAGACAATGCATGTTTATTTTTAAATTACTTCGCCAATGAACTCATAAGATGGGTCATTTCATAAGTACGATAAAACATTCGCATCTCGCCTTTGGCTCGAGTTTGTATATCAGATAAAAATCTCTAGTACTTATGTTCCGTTTATAGTATGTGTGGTAAAATTATATTTCTGGAAATGTAAACAGCATACTAAAGTAATCAATTAAAATTCTGTAGTATATACAGACTATAAAACATTATTAAAAGTATAATAATACAGACCATACATGCACGATAAAGGGTGGATGTGGGGCCTATATATGGACCCCTTATAGTGTGCACACCCCTTATAGTGCTTCCTGGTCAGTTGTCATATCAACTTTGCACTATCCTTGGGATCTCTGAGTCCTGATTAGTGTTAGATAACTTCAAATAAATGGTGTTACAGTATAAGATCATCATTTTGTAGATTGTTTCTGCTGTCGATGGGCTGACATTCTGTTATATTGCCATATACCTTTTATGGCATTATTCTATGGGGTCAAGCTGCTAGGGTTCACCTTAACAAGATTCTTAAGCTTCAAAAGTGTGTTCTTCGATTAATGAACTTTGGGAAGTATACATCCCATGTAATTTCTTTTTTATTTCGGATAAAATATTACCTATCGATATGCTTTATTTCAAGTCTGTTTCTATGCTAATGCGCGATGTATATAACAATACCACAGAATAGATAATGGACCAGAAGTGTCACTCAGACGATATTTTGTCCGAAATTTTACGAGTGCTGACGTGAAAATACGCCATCATATGACGCCATCCTGGAGTGCACACAGAAGTTTTTCATAGGCCAAACATAGGTACAAAGTGCCGTGTGCACTCCAGGATGGTGTCATAGCACGTAAAAAATTTCGGACGTTTTCCTTCAGCCAAAACACATAGGAGAGTGTCCCTTCTGGTCTGGTATCTATTCTGTGACAATACGACGCCTTTAAATATTTCAAATTTATTTATCTCAGCATGTGAAGTTAACAAATGTAACACTAGGTTTTCCTCTGTCAGCAACTTCTATGTTAAAAATCACGTTTCAAAAACAGGAGTCAGGATATGGAATAGTATATCTGATGATATGTGCAACTCTTCTAAAAACAAATTCAAGAGAAAATTGCATGAGGATATTATTCTCTATACTCATTGAAGAGGATGATTATGTTGATCTCGCTACAATAATGAAAATTTTCAAACATAAATTAAATTATAGGTTATGTTCTTACCTTGTTCTTTTTATTCTTTTTTTTGTTGATGTTTATGGCTAAATTACAATTGTGTAATTTTAAATCACATAATATTATTTCTCTTTCTCACCTTTTGTAATACTACTTCTCAAATATTTCTCTTTAATTTAATTATTTGTAATTGTCTGCCTCAATTAGCTTTTGCTATTTGCAGACAGATTGTTATTGTAAATATTTATAGTTATTAAAAAATTGTTGTTGTCTTATGCAATACAGAAGTTTAACTCTTGATGTTGCTTTCTTTATTGTCTTTTCCAGATGTTCAATATAATTTAAGTTCTTGTCCATCATAACACCTAGATATTCATACACTTGCTATTGCACAATATTGATTCCACAGACTTTTATTTCCAATGGTCTTGATTTGGAAGTTTTTTGATGAGTACTATAGAGAGCACTCTGTCTTTGAACGTTTGAGGTTAATTACCAAATTGTTTTGAACAAACCAGTTGGAAATCTGTTCCAGGTCATTGTTGAGGTGTTCTTCAATTCTTTCACAAATTCTGTTGGCACAGTATATGACAGTATCATCAGCATACAGTATAATTTCACACCGCCTTAGATGAATGCCAATATCATTGATTGGAAGGACAAATAACAGTGGACCCAGAATTGAACCCTGATGCACGCCACAGGAAATTGGCTGAACCAATGATTCAACACCCTCAAATGCAACAAATTGTGTTCTGTTCAAAAGATAATCTTCGAACCACCTAAGTTCTTCGTGTCTAATGCTGTAAATGGTCAATTTCAACAGCAAGCGAGCATGGTCTACGGTATCAAATGCCTTTTGTAGGTCATAAATATTGCACCAGTCATTTTATCCATATTTTTTGTCTTATGGAATCAGAAAATGTTGTCACTGCATGTTGAGTCAATGATTTGGTTTGGAAGCCAAATTGATTCTTTGAAAGAAGATTATTTTTTAAGATATGCATATAGTTGTTGGTGGACTGCACGCTCAAACACTTTGGAAAGCACCGGCAGGATAGAAATGGGCCTGTAGTTGTCCAAAAGTGATCTTTCTTCAGACTTGTATATTGGTGTAATTTTTGCACATTTTTCTGCTGATGGGAAGTGGGAATTTTTTAAGAATTAGTTGATTAGGCTTGCTAGTGGCTTAGCCAATATATCAGCGCCATCTTTTATAAATGATGTTCAGATTTTGTCATATCCTTGGGCTTTCTTTCTGTTCAGTTTCTTCATAACAGTTTCTTCATAACATCCTTGATCTCTTTACTGCTGACCTTCTGAAATGTAAAAGTGCAGTTTTGAGGGTTCAGTTTATGTTCGAATTTGAGTGATCATGGTGTGTCCAGGCTATGTCAATCAGCTTTGGGAGAACGTCCTGCAGCCTTTTTCCAATACTGGTGAAGAATTGGCAGAAACCATCTCTCAACAACAACTTCTTTTGCGATCTTCATTTTAAGCCTGAATATATCATTTTGCATTAGTAATTATAATATTATTTGTTTGTATTTTAGTCTAAACATGTATTAATTCTGCTTGTTGTGGGTCACTGCTCTCCTCACATATGCGTCATTGATTGTAAACGATAATGTAGAGTCCAAAAGAAAAGTTCTTGCCACTGGTAGCATTCCTACGGACAACTTGCCAACAAAGAGTCACAAAGTTGTGATGTTTTAGCGAGATCTTCGACTGATGATTAGCCTAGCACATTAAAAGGCACAGCCAGTCTAAAGAATTGTGTTGTTGTGTAGGAACGTTTACCTATGTAGGGGGCTGTATAACAATAAGATATTGGGACCTATTGAATTACTTGAAGTTAATGACTATTGACACTGTCAAGAATTAATTGTATTTAATAAGTTTGCATGGTGATATAATTAGTTTGCTGAAAACACAACGATTATTTATTTACCAAATGATTTATTTCGATAATCATCTTCCACAAAAATTCCATTACAAGCACTTGTTCACTTTTTGAAGTCTTAATAGCACTTATCAATATTTGGTCTCAGACATAATGTAAGGACTTACAATTAATTGGGGTTGATAATGTAAATACTGTTTTGTAAATAGACACCTTAAGACTGATGTTTACGGCAAACTGCTAGCGAAGTTTTTGATTTTACAGCTACTATAATAGCTATATTAAACACTATTAAACGTGTGGTATTTAGCAATGATTTAAGAAAGCAAATTAACCACTAGTCATATATTCACCAAATTTATTATTTAACATGATGTATCTAACATTTAACATCATTATTTACTTTGGCATTTAAATTTCATGTGTTAACGACTACAAGCCCTCATAACAGTTCAAGTATGAAATTTATACGCCAGATGTAAACTTCAAACGCCAAATCTTAATTTACTGCTTTGGTGAATACACGACTAGTGGTTAATTTGCTTTCTTAAATCATTGCAAAAGAGCACAAGTTTAATAATTGTTTAACAGATTTCATAACTGGTGTAAAAGCTATTATAATAGAGTTGTAAAATCAAAAACATTGCTAGCGGTTTGCCGTTTGCTGTAAATGTCAATCTTAAGGTGTCTAATATGATTGCGAATACAACATTTATCACATATGAATGAAGTTGCAACACTAGAGAGTAATTAAAGGTTATGAAGATTCTGTGTTAACACTCTACATACTGCATAGCTTTTATGAATCTCCTGTGGGCAGAGCTGGAGAAATTTAACTTAAGAAGCTAGCATTGTGCTGCTAGCTTCTTAAGTTAAATATGCTGCTTCATTGAAGTTCTACTGGGGAAACTGCTGGCACTAAATGGATTAATCATACTATTTCCCCATGTGTCTTGTTAACCCTTTATGTGGTATTATGCCCCAATGCACCTTGCTTTGTTATTTTACTTTGTCTAATACCAGACATTTTTACTCATCAAGAGGAGGGTGTTATATTCAAATAAAAGTCATTGTGTGAGAATTTCTATTTCGAGACATGCAATATTTACAATGATAATAGAAAGCAATTTAATGTGAAATATTTACAATTACAAAGATGATAGCATCACTTTCTTTTTAAATCTGTCCTTAAGGCTTTCTTTTTTAGCTGATTTGCTTTTATCTTATATTTAGTGATCAAATCTCTAGCATGAGAAAATGAATGAAGTCTTATATACAGTTTAATGATATTTTCCAAGCACAGTTTCTGTGTGGAACTGTACCGTTGATCTTCTGTTGACACAATATTATCCCACAAACATTTAACAATGGGCAAGTTTAGGGTTAACCCACTTTTGATAGCTGTAACATGTTTCCTGAAACAAATTTCTGCAATTTCTACTATCTTTACCAAGTCCCTGCACCTTGTAGCAAGGCCTCCCCTTGTTCTAACAGAAATGTAGTTGTTGGGATCTGAACTTTTAATGCTCTGCAATAATCTTTGTAGCTCCTGGCTGTTTTCTCCTTTCTTGGTTCTACTCTGTTGGTAGAGTTTTGCAATTACATATCCTGCAACATAAGTGACAGGTTCATACTCTGTTGGGTCAAGTTGTACCTGTTCCTTTGGCATGTTTAGGCCAAGGTTTTACTGCTGTTATAAAAATTATCAAACGTTCTGGGAGAGGAATCATTATCACGTTGATTTTTCTGTAATCTTTACAAGACAGTAATTCACATGAGCATGGGATTAAACCATAAAATAATTCCAAAAGCTTGCATTGATTCTTCTTTCTACAGAATGTTTGTTAGATTGGAAAATTTTGAAATCTAGAGTCTCTGAAATGCGATTTCAAGTGTTTTGGCGGTGAGATTTTGCAGAATTCCAAAGATTATAAAGTACATCAAGCACATGCTTTTTTTATGATCTCACAAACGTGCCTTCTCCCAGTCCTCGGAATTAGATTTACTAACGGAGGGTCATATTACAAAACACATCATGTAGTTTCAACTTTCAATAGCCTTTGAATTTGGCTCATGAAATCCTTCGCAAATTGAAGTGAGTGATACCAATGGCCGATCCAATATAACTCGCTGTTTGTGAATCAAAATTCTCAAGCAAAATAAAGAGTAATACTTCAATTATACTTTGTAAAATGCATTTTTTATTCAATGAATTACAATATGCTATAAATATCACTTGTATATTATAACGATATTCATCGCAAATCTTTCATGCAATGCAAATCATCCAAATTATATTGTTTTAACCCTCCAATGCCAATGCTCTATTCTGGCCCATTTTATAATGGACAATGCATTTATAAATTATAAATACAGCAGGAAAGCTATAAGGCCCGAAAGCGCATTGTAAGTTGCAAGTCGATTGCGTGTAAAAATGTATTAAAGCGTGTTATATTTCAACTTCGCATTTATCATACAAGATACATTGCAATATATTCATTTCTGTTTCATAATTTTGGATATTTTCATACATTATAGCAGTGCACACTTTCCGTTTGGCTTTACCACCCAAATTACGACCATGATCTTTGTGAAGCACATAGCAGAGAAGTCCCAACTTAGTGCCTTCTCGTTGTTGAACAGAACAACATTATAAAAGCTGCTCGCTTGATATCTTAGCTGCCCCACAATAATCCTCATTCAGAGACAATTCAAGTTTATTAAAGGCTGTTAAATCGTCTCGTAAAATCGGCCGCGTACATATAAATACTCGACATCGTAAAATAATTCTCCCAACTATGACAAACCTTCATATACGGGAATATGAAAGACTGCTTTGCATGAATTTTGCAATTTTCAAGGACTGATATCCCCCCTGTCGCGAATAAGTCCGAATCAGTCCAAAAAAATGAACCAATAGAAATTGTCAATAATTTCAAATTGACCAATCAAAATGAAGGAAATCGACTGATAAAAACTCCCTTAAAGTGCAAATCAGTCGGACCACCCCATAAAAACTCCCTTAAGTTGCAATTCAGTCCGACCACCCCACAATATTTTCAAATTGACCAATCAAAGTAACGAAATGGACTGATAAAGACTCCCTTAAAGTGCAAATCAGTCCAGCCACCCCACAGATCAGTCGAGATAAGTCCAAATGACCTCTCGACCAATCAAATAAGCATAACGACCATCCGATTCTGCGAGATTCTTGCATTTTACCGCTGCTCTAGATAAAGCATATATTTATTCAAAACTGAGCTCGTAAAGACGTATACTGGACTATGATATGAATTTCATATTCGGGAATTAATTATTCAAATTACGAAATAATAAATTAATTATCCTTTGCAAAAATACGTCAGTCACACGACTGATTGGACTTACCCTAGATCCGCCCTGATCCAGATATTATTTCTGCACCATAAAGTTTCTCTATAATCGTGTCTTTGATTGCTTTGACAAAAGAATCAACATCTTCTTTTATACAAATGCTGGGATCAGTAAGATGACTTCCTGAATACCCTATGTTTTATACGTTGAATTTTGGTTGCGTCAAATGCAATTACCCTTTCTCATGCTATGCGACCAGGCCTTATCTGCCATTTTTGGGTGGCAAACCACACAGGGCCAGAGAACGACAACAAATTTAAAGGGCGAGTTTAGAAAAAATAATATAGAGAGTTTTGGCAAATTTTTATGATAAAAAAAGTTTGAAAAATATTTAACTGGTGTATTATCAAGATATATCTTCAAGCTGCACACAGAAGGAGTTTCAGTGCATTTCTTTTAAAATTGATGGAAATATAACTGGTTGAAATACAATGTTGTGTCGCTAAGCCAACAAGGTGAGGAGTAATTTCCTATTTTAGTACACCAAGTTTCACCTCGAAATAAACATGTTCTTTTCAGATTGAAAACCTTTACATTATAAAAATGTAATCATTAGCTATTACGTAAACTAGAATTACAGTTTAAAGGTTACCTTATTAGATTTTAAAAGGTTTTTTATTGTGTTTTTAGACCAATGGTCGCCACGTAACTGCTATGCCTGGACAAGTTAAATGTTTTGTCTCGGGCTGCAGTAATTCGTGGTACAATAAAGATAATGACAATGTTAGTTTCCATCGTTTACCTAAAAAGTGAAGTCTAATCGAACAGTACGAAGAACATTTAAAAACTAAGCTTCCGAAGGCCCAAAATGCCAGAATTTGCGGCGAGCATTTTAAAAACGGTAGACATGAGTTTCCAAATGAATTGCCTTTATGGCAGTTTCCACCAGAAAATCACTGTAAAAAGAGGAAAGCTCCTACTGTTCGAGGGCCTATTCCTAAACCTAAGCCAAGAAAATTTTAAGACATATAAAGAAAGATTACTGAAAAAGAGGTTGGAGAAAAACCAAGTTGATTTTGATAATTTGAAAGAGCAATTACATGACCTGGAAGAAAAATTAGCCGGTGAAAAAGACAAAGAAAAAGAAATGAACGAGAAATTAAGAAAATATGTACATGAAAGTGAAGTTTTGCAAAATAAACTTAACAGCAGTTTGGCTATGAGAAATTCATAAGTGATGATAGTAAGATGATATTCTACACTGGTTTGAGCAGGAAACAGTTTAATGCACTTTGGGAATTCATTGAGCCAGAACTATCAACACCAATACGAAAAGATATCAGCCAAAAAATGAACTTTTTGCTGTGCTGGTGAAGTGTAGATTGGGATTAGAGTTTGAAGATTTGGCTGACAGATTAGGGCTATCACGGCAGACAGTGTCTAGAATTTCCGAAGGTTGGATAAGATTCCTAAACTTCATAGTTGGCAAAATTGATTTACGGCCAAGTGCAAGTTATATAGAAGCTCACACGTTTGGCATTTTTTCTTCAGAAACGTCCAGTTCGTTTTTGCTGTACAAGAAATTCTTCAATTTTGATTCCTCTCCTATGATATTTTGCATCTACATAGAACATATCATTTCTAACAATCTGATGTTTTTTGTTTTTGAAATTGTTACATTTTTGGCAGGAAAATGTGACAAAATTGGTGCCAAAAATTTATATAATAGATACAGCTGATGTTCAGTATGAACCTGAAAGAGTATACTGTAAGAACCTCAAATCTGAAGTCCGTTTTAAATTATGACTATTCATTACGAAGTTATATCAATTCAAAATACAAGAAATCCGCCATTTTGTTCTATTTTTAGTAACAAAATGGCGAATTTTCGAAATTCAGCTAGCTATATCTTCGCCATGAATTGGGCCATTATGAAACAGACTTCACATTTGAGGTTCTTACAGTATGCTGTTCCAGATTTATTCAGAAGAAAACCCATATCTATTAATTAAATTTTTGGCGCCAAATTCGTCACATTTTCCCGCCAAAAATGTAACAATTTCAAAAACAAAAAATATCAGATTGTTAGAAATAATATATATTCTATGTAAAGGCCAAATATCATAGAAGAAGAATAAAAATTGAAAAATTTCTTGTACAGCAAAAACAAACTGGATGTACATATATCGATCATTTGCCCACATTGCCAGTTAATGGGTTAATAAGAGACATTGGTAGATAGGTTTGGTAACCCATTTACTGGCAGTACTCTGCCACTGACGAGTAAAATCGTCTGGCGTTAGACAGAGTAAATACTAAAGTAGGGCGCATTTGTGCACATTGCCAGTTAATGGATTAATATTCATCATTCTATAAATACTAACATTTTGGACATTTCTCAGATGTTAGGAGAGGCTGAATGTAATCATCGTACCATTCCTGTAGTTTGTTCTTTAGGTCAAGGAAGAAAGCGTAATTAAATTCAATTTGAAATGTTCTTGGTCAATGTCTGAAAAAACGACAAATTCCACAACTTTCTTTCCTGAAAGACCATCTGCATCTGCACTTGCTCATAATAGTAGCCCCTTGCATTATCATTTTTCAGATGTAGCTTCCCATGAACATCAATGGCATATGGATACGATTTCTCAGATTGTCTTTGCTTGACAGCTTGAATGACTGGCCGATTTCTTTGACTGGCTAGACCCTTGATTTCAAGCAGGTGGTCCAACTCAGGGATATAACCATCTGGGGATGCTAGCAGAATGCCATCAATATAGCAACCACACTCCTCAGCCACTCTTCCAGTTATTGCTGTGTATCTTGCTCGAGCTCTAGCTTCATTCTCTATCCCATATAGCAAGGAAGGGGGGATGTTTTCTTCATTGTGGACAGCTTGGATATTCATAATCCGGTTAATGAGGTTGGGTCTCCCACGCTCTGTTGAATGCAACAGTTTCCTAACTATGGATGAGGTTATTCAACACTGGGTGGTATGCATGCCATAATGAATTGTTCCTCTGTCCCCGAGTTGCTAGTTCAATGTTTAACATTGTTGAGGTTTCATTTGCCAACTGAGTACAACTTCCATCAGTGTTCTGCTGTAGTTGTTCACCAACATAATCCGCAGGCTCACCAACTTTGCAATAATCATGATCATGCTTTACAATTGAGGCATATCTGTGGCTTAAAACATTGTAAACAGAAGATTTTGTGTTGGTCGAGTTTACACAATGGAGAAGTTGAAGTTCTCTTTGCATTTCAGACACACTTGATGGGTGTGACTTTAATGAGCATCTTTGTTTAACCTTTTTTGCAATTTGTCTTGCTTCACGCTGTTGAGGTTTAACTTTCTTTTTTGCTGACTCAACCTTTATGTTGTCAATTTCAGTAAGCTTTCCTCGCCATGGTTTGTTTCTTATGCCAGGTTTGCAATTTTGAGGTGCATGCTAATTCTAATGTAAGGTTGCTTGTGCGGCTATGTTTCTCCAATGCATAAAGTGTTGCAGAAACGTGGCAACATAACCCAGACTTCCCAGCAGGGCATCTACTATTGCGGTCTGAATCTTAACGATTTTTCTAGAAGCAAACATACGATACCCTTTATCCTGCAATGCTTGTGCTGCTTGTTCTTGTGTCTTAACATATCTCTCTACTGTCTCAAAACTAACAAAAGGTATATTTTCTCTTGCACTGTTCCGCTGCAGGCAACTTTCATGTAAACTATCAATGTCAAGGGCTGTTTCTAGTGTTATTTCAGGAGTAGTTTGAATGTTGCTTAACATGTCAGGATGTTCAATGTAGCCTTTAACTCTTGAAATTAATTCGCACTTGTTTCCAGTTAATTTTGCACCCTTAACATTTCTTAAAAACTTAACCATTGTTCTTTCGCCCATTTTTCCACGCTAGTATTTTCTGACATGTTAGACTTTATTTTACTTTACATTATCTTTGTTGTACCACGAATTACTGCAGCCTGAGACGAAATATTTAACTCGTCCAGGCATAGCAGTTACGTGGCGACCATTGGTCTAAAAACACAATAAAAAACCTTTTAAAATCTAATAAGGTAACCTCTTTTCGTATTGGTGTTGATAGTTCTGCCTCAATGAATTCCCAACGTGCATAAAACTGTTTCCTGCTCAAACCAGTGTAGAATATCATCTTACTATCATCACTTATGAATTTCTCATAGCCAAACTGCTGTTGATTAATTTTATTTTGCAAAACTTCACTTTCATCTACATATTTTCTTAATTTCTCATTCATTTCTTTTTCTTTGTCTTTTTCACTGGCTAATTTTTCTTCCAGGTCATGTAATTGCTCTTTCAAATTATCAAAATCAACTTGGTTTTTCTCCAACCTCTTTTTCAGTAATCTTTCTTTATATGTCTTAAAATATTCTTTTCTTGGCTTAGGTTTTGGAATAGGCCCTCGAACTGTAGGAGCTTTCCTCTTTTTACAGTGATTTCCTGGCAGAAACTGCCATAAAGGCAATTCATTTGGAAACTCATGTCTACCGTTTTTAAAATGCTCGCCGCAAATTCTGGCATTTTGGGCCTTCGGAAGCTTAGTTTTTAAATGTTCTTCGTACTGTTTGATTAGACTTCACTTTTTAGGTAAACGATGGAAACTAACATTGTCATTATCTTTGTTGTACCACGAATTACTGCAGCCTGAGATGAAACATTTAATTTGTCCAGGCATAGCAGTTACGTGGCAACCATTGGTCTAAAAACACAATAAAAAACCTTTTAAAATCTAATAAGGTAACCTTTAAACTGTAATTCTAGTTTACGTAATAGCTACTGATTACATTTTTATAATGTAAAGGTTTTCATTCTGAAAAGAACATGTTTATTTCAAGGTGAAACTTAGTGTACTAAAATAGGAAGTCACTCCTCACCTTGTTGGCTTAGCGACACTACATCGTACTTCAACCAGTTATATTTCCATCACTTTTAAAAGAAATGCACTGAAACTCTCCTTCTGTGTGCAGCTTGAAGATATATCTTGATAATACACCAGTTAAATATTTTTCAAACTTTTTTTATCATAAAAATTTGCCAAAACTCTCTATATTACTTTTTCTAAACTCGCTCTTTAAATTTGTTGTCGTTCTCTGGCCCCGCGCGGTTTGCCACCCAAAAATGGCGGATAAGGCCTGGTCACATAGCGTGAGAAAGGGTAATTAAGACCCTGTTTACACGGTACCAGACGAATTTGGAACTGGTCTGAAATTCGGCCGTGTAAACACACGAGAACCACAGAATATTACATCTTTCACCATGTGATACAATAGAAACTAGAAGTTACTATCGCAAGGAAAGTGCTGCCTCACCCCCAAGGGACCAAAGGCAAGGGAGAGCATGCACAATTTGCTGAATAAGGGACTGTTTAGTTTATATGATCCAGCTTTGCCAGGACGAGATATGAGGCGGGAAGATTTTGATATATTGAAATAAATCATGATGCATGATTCAGCAAAAAGTTTAATTTTGTAGAGATGGATTATAGTTAACTGTAAACGAACGGTTGTTCAAAAATCTTCTTCAACTACATGATCTTTACAATATTTGAGTTCGGTTAACCAGCTTTTGAACTTTCGTTTAGCCTAGTGACTTATTTCAATACATCAAAATCATCCCACCTTCCGTCATGTAAACAGCCCAGAGTATACCTGTTCGCAGGTTAGGCGCTGGGCATGATCTAACTTGCGAACGGGCATACTCTGGGTACAAGATTGCTAACATGCCTGTTCAGGATGCAGGAAAAGACCGAAAAGTGCAATTTGAATATTAAATTCAATTTAATTTTCCAAGTATGTTACAATAGTTTGAACTTGATAGATATATACAGTACAAGTTGTATTTTACAAAATATGTTTGGACGGAGAACAAAATAAACCCAAAAGGCTTTTACAAGTAGCTCCCCTAGTATTATATTGATACATTTATAATATTTGAAGAATTATTGCATAATCAAGAACTAACGTATATTTGTGAACTAACGTATATTTACATTGATAAATTATAATATATATTATATGTATGATGCAATAAGTTCAAATATAATAAATCTTATTTTAGGCTATATTGATATTATTTGTTTTGAGATGCTTATGCTTGAGATTCAATGCTTATAACTTCTTGCTTTTGTATGCAAATTAAAAAATTCATTAATAATTCATGAGGAAAATACAAAAGAAATGAATGTTTAATCAATGTTTGTAAATCAGGCACTAAAAGTGAGAAGAAAATAATGAACGTTTTGTTCTTTACTGTATGATTAAAAATCATTAGACCTAATTAAAATGTTCCTTATATGGCATGATTATGACTCATCTACTATCATATAAGGACACATGCAACCTACCAGGAATTGTTGGTGGCACATCAACAATTGGCATGCTTTCTCTTTGCTTTTCGAGCATCCTGTTCATTGGTGGTGGTGTTTCATCTTTTAATTCTTTAATTTCCTTTGCTAACTTCTTGTCCAACATTGCATCAACTATAGTGTCATATATTTCATCAACATAATCTTTAAGAAATACAATAATATAGTTATGCAACTATTATACGAGGGCTAAAACAATCTCCCCAGATTGTCCATATGCCCAATTGCCCCCACCTCCCTATTTGTAATCCTGTCAAGATATGACCATTAGTGTTGATGTTCGACAAGGAAATCAGTTTAATGTTATTATCATAACTACATACAGACCAAAATTTTGCTGTACTTTGAGATTTCTAACTACAGCCTCTCCATTTTTAAATTTTGGATACACAACATGCACTTGCTCAACACCATTCTTCATTCGGTTTTTCCTGTTTAAGTTGTTGAAATGAATAACAGCAGGGTGCATGCCTAAAATAACCAGAAAAGAGTTGAATGCATCAACCTGCCTTGATGTTACAAAAATAACTACCAAACTGTTTCTCACCTACCCAAACATTTTTGGAGAAAGCTGGTTTAGTACTGAGTGGAAACCTTCCAGACAACTGGTCTGGCCAAAAGGAGATGCCTGCTTGATTCCATTCATAAGTCTCTTGTTTGTGAGTGCAGCATGCATTTTCTCAGATGCAATGGAGTCTGAAATTAAAAATGTATAGTCCCTTTTTTGCACAATTGAAATGGAGAGGAATTATTAGACTATGGTAGTTTGGGAGAGGTATGCCAAATTAAAAGAAGTACCACACCATTATGTATTTTTTGTGTTGAATAGACATTTTAATAGCTATATTACCACACTATAACACAGAAATATAGCCACTTGCGTGGTTGAATTTCATCTGAATGTGCACACTTGTCAAATACAGGATTTTCCAAATTTTTGTGTGTATTGACCACTCTGGGTGGTGGTCCTTGCACTCCAAAATAAAAAATGGCACATGGTTTAATCCATTCGTTTAGTATTTCATTTCCACTGATCTTTGAAATCTTTGTTAATACTTTTGTGACCTCTGAAATACAAAATTGAAAATAAAAACTAATTAGTTTTAAATAATCTACCCTTTCCTAATATAACAACCCCCCCCCACACACACACACACATCATAATGGCTTCTATTACAATTACAATCTAGATGATAACACAACTATATAACGTAGGATACTGTAAAGCAAACCAATTGTCAGTAAATATAACTTACTTTTCTGATAACATACTCTTCTTTAAATGCCAAATGTCAAAATAATGCTCGATTGTGGTCAGCTATTCTCTCCTGTGCTTTGCATTTCCCGAATGCCGATCAGAAACAAAAATCCAGTGCCCAGAAGATATTCCATGCACCTTACAAAGCCATGGTACTCCATCGCAGGACTGCTACCTACTTCATTTCTCTAAAAAATTTTAAGACACCCAGTAAGTATGCAATGTGATTTTATATCATTCTGTTGTATACAATTTGTGCTTTCTAACATACCTGCACTGGTGTAAGATGAATGGTACTGTGCAACAGAATACAGTATAGGCACAGTACTTAGCACTATGACCCATACTGTCATGCCTTCCATCACCAGCTGTCAGGTCACTATGGCTCTTCATTTTGGTGATTAACCCCTCCTAGTGTTCCAATGAAGGTTCATTCCAGGGAATAACTTTTCCTACAAATATATTATATAATGTTGAGGTACCATAACTAAACATTGCCCACTATCTATTTGAATTTTTAAATTATTATTGATTAATTATCACCACACTTACTTACACCCCATATCAATCTGATATGCTTGAATACTCTCAAGGTTTTGGTGGCTGATGTAAGCAACAAGTATTGCAAATGACAGAAGGAAATTGCCAGCTGGAATCATTGTGCCTGTTAGATATGGCTGACTAAACCACTTGCTTGTCTTCCCACACTTTGGATTAGCACAGGTGGTGGTTACTTCAGCCATTGTACCATTCTCTTGCACTTCCACAAGTGGATGGTCGAATTGGCATGAATGACAGAATTTGAAAAGTGCCAGTAACTGTGTGAAGAACACAATAAACTTTGGTTCCCTTCTCAAATTTGAATTATCCAAGAATATCCTAAAAAAACAACATATTTGAATTGTAAATGCTTGCAGCTTCACTACCTCACATATCATGTTAATACAGTTTGTGTACTAATCTGTCTGCACATATGTACTGTTTTTGGTCACTCTTTCGTGTATGTTTCTACTCTAGACTTACATGTAATTGGTTGTATATTAAATTGTTACATGCCAAATTATAGTTGAACACTTACTTTTTATGTTGTGGGATTGTTTCATCCTCTGCCTCTGTTTCAGTTGATTCCTCAGTTTCTTCCTCATACACATCATTTGAAGCAGGCATTCCAACATCTGAACTGTAAACATCTTTTACATCACTTGTCACTGTAGGACTTGAGAAATCATGTGCTCTCATTTTCTTAATAGGAGGAATGTCTTCGTTTCCTGCATCTCATGATGATCATAGAAAACATTATATTAGCTTATACTAGGAATTATATTAACTTATACTATATTTGTACTTGTCTGAAACAGAAATTATCGACAGTACTTGAATGGCTTTCCATTTCCTTTCTGTACACATCAAGCTTGTGTTTTGCAGAGAGCCAATTGGACTTGAGCTGCTTATTTCTCTTCAACAGGAGAGCACAATTGCTACACGCACCATGCTATTGAAATAACAAAATTTGGGTTGTGACTAATTTGCATATTCACCATATATTTGATTTCATTACACATCATTGCATGAAATAATATATTAAATAATAATATTACTGTGGTGTGGTCTGTGTGACTAGTGATACAGTTTCAAAGTTCAAAATACTTACGATATTCTTTGAGGTTGAAGGTTGCGATTCCTCAATATTTGAAGGTCGTTCTTCTATAACTGCTATCTATAAATGTAGACCACTTATTTATAAACGTGCCAATCTATTAATCTAACTTCATAATTCCCATGTTTCAAAGTCCAAGATACACTTTCGTTTGTTGACGTTGAAGGCTGAGACGCCCGAGAGTCCTCGGTTGTTGTATGCCCTCCTTCAAACGTTATCTATAAAATTAACATAGTCCTATCACTTATACACTCAAGTAAAATAATTTAAAATCTGGATGTTTGAAACATGAAAGAATATAGAATACATGTGACAATAGTTTGTCAAATATGATGCAACATACCTTCCCTCTATGCTTCATGTGCAAACTATGTTCACTCTCCAAAGTAGTCGCTTTTGGAAGCAAAGAAGGCAATGGTGGTGATGCCAACTTCATCACGCTTAAGCTTCAGGAACTTATACTTTTCTACAGTGTCAGAACCATACTCAAAACAGTCTTCTGTGAAGTGTTGCGAGCAGACCAGGCCTTGAAATAAGTGCCGGTCACTGACTGGTAAAATTTCACAGTTTGACCGGCAAATATCGTCGCCTGGCGGCAACAACATGTGTAACTTGCATGCAGCCTTAAAACATGCTCGCAACTCAAACTACAGTTGTCATTTGCGACTTAGTATATTAATTTGCCAGTAAACAATGTTAATGTTATTGGTAATGATTACTACTACACTACAGCTTTGATAAATGCCATACTTCTACTTTGTATATAAATACAATTAAAATACACAATTGTTTCTAATGTTACGAGTCACACAAAAGATGAGGGGGAAAAGAAGCTAAGGAGTGACAATGACCGGCATAAATTCCGCTATGACCAGTAAATTTAGTGATCCACAGGTCATAATGACCGGTATAACATCCAGATTTATTTCAAGGCCTGGAGCACACAACTGAGCTTACACTTGGCTGCCATTTGTCCTGTTTCTGCTGAATGAAGCTCACCCATTTCTTTCGTCTGCTTTTCACTATATGTCTTGTATCATCACAATAAGGTATACGATATAATGATATACCTTTTGTCGTACTAGCTGTGTTGTTGTTACAGCCATAGACAATGCACCATTCCAGCATTATTTAAAAAAAAGCAAAGCATACAACAGACAAGAATGTATATATTTATTAGGAAAGACGGCATGCTTGCAAATTGGGTTCCTGAGTCCCAGTCCCCCAAGCATGACAGACTTTTTTGCAAAAAAGTCAAAATAGCCATGTTTGAGGCTTAATATCTCAGAAAATATTGAACTAAAACAAAAAAGGTTGAAGAACTTATTAACTAACTTTTTGTGCTCTTTCAAAATCCATAAAGATCCTACAAGTGATATAGGCACTTTAAATAAAGCAGTTCAAAGGCTACAGCTTTATCAACTTGGACGTTTTCCCCAGATAAGTGCATCAGAGCTAAAAACAAAGTAGCTGGCTGTAACATTTTTTTACACTAAAACCGTATTGGTTTCGGTTGGTGACAGAATGCCAGCTGTGAATCAAGTAACTACTGCAGTATACCACATATTTAATTGAAATGGAAGAGTCTTCGCACAGCCATGATCTTCGAGTATGGTTTGCACCGTTGCCCTTTGGATAAAACCATTATAATGTGATACTAGTCATACACACATGCTACTCCATTTTGTACCTAGTTAATCAAATCAATATAAACCCTCCCTATATTTTTCTAATTTTCTTATATGCCAGTTTGGAAGATGCATGCATAGGGCACAGTTTAAAAATCACTTTTCTAGAGCTCTGCTGTTTTTAACTACCTGATTGAAGTCCATCTGTACACATTATACTGCACAAATTTGTCATTATAATTATAGGTTTATTGGTACCAGCACAGTTAATAGAAGGGGGATGGTTAGGCTAGTGTACCACGTGACAAAATATGTTATTGTCCACTTGTATTTTGATCATGTGACCAATAAGCAGTATCAGATGCTCAAAGCTCAAATTACATTCATGAGTGAACATACAGCTGTAACAAATACTGTGTATTTCTTCCACTGTTTACTTCACTGATTCAAACTATTATGTTAAGAGGGATTCTTGGGCATATGGATGGCAATAATTGCACCTTTTTTGGTTGTCCGACTAGTGGAAAGCACAAGCTTTCACCATTCAGAATCCCTTCAGTAAAGTCTGTTGATGGCGAATATATGAAGGAATTGAAGCGAAAAGCTCGTGAAGAATGGCTTTGCTTGATCTCCTCAGAACACAGGAAACGACAGCAGAACTGAAACAGAACTTACTGGCCTATCTGAAAATGTGTCTAGTTAACCCATTGAGTTGCATTGTGCCCTGATGAACCATACTTAATTATCATTTTACTCCGTCTAATGCCAGATGATTTTAACTCTTCAAGGGGAGAGTGCTGGCTTAATGGGTTAATAACTCTAATCAATACATTTGTAGAAATTGTCCAAAGACAAAATTAAGGATATTACTATATAGATCTATAGTAAATCTTGTATTTTAATTAGTTTTCTAATATTGAATACTGTGCATATCTATCCTTGATATATTTTGCATGGCCCTCCTGAGTAAATACTGTAATAATCAGTCTTATACGAATAATTATACATTCATAAAATTAATTAAGCTGACCAATGGTGTCGTGAATGAGTTAATAGAGAGTTTAAGATACCCCGGTTTACGGGTATGAGTATCGCCATTTTGTTTACCAATTTTTGCTGATGTCAGCAATTTTACCTGTAATTTCTACCCGTTTTCCCGCAGTAAACCGGGGTCTCAACATCTTACCCCAATAAATAATGCACATATGCTGGTCAAAGTTTTCAACAATTTATGGCGAACCTCAACAGCGAAAGTTGCCATTCTCTGATCGGTTTTCTCACGCCGGAGTATCTTGGATTTCTTAAGTTACAAGTTATTCCCGATTTACGGGTACGGGTACGTGTATATCACCCGTACCCATAAACCGGAATCGGGGTATGTTAACCTCTCTAATTAATCACTGATATTACCTTTTATGCATCAATCAATATTTTGCAGTGCCATGTGTAAGGTGGGCAAATACAGAGTAACAAAGACATATTAACTCATTAAGCTGCAGAGCTTCCCCATTGACAAGTAAAATCTTCTGGCGTTAGACAAGTAAAAAAATGTACGTAGGGCACACTGGGACGTATTGCGACTCAATGGGCTAACTAGAGACATTGTCAGATTTTTTGGTTAACCCATTAAACTGCAGAGCTTCCCCTTTGACAAGTAAGATCATCTGGCTTTAGACAAGTAAAAAAATATTATAGGCACACTGGGGCTCAATGGGCCAACATTTTGATATTTTCATTGAATATTATTTACCTAGGATCTGGTAAATTGAAAATGTTATATTCCCCTCACCTGTGTTAGTTGCCCTCCACAGGGTCAAGCAAAACAACAACAGTGCATTGTAACAATACCCTGGTTCCAGAGGCTCTTTACGAGGCAAAAGAAACAAGAGGCGAGAACAGAGAGCCTCTGGTCACATCGATTGCAAATCCTATTTCCACACTTGATCACATGCAAGATTCAAATTCTGAACCTAATCAAGTGTGGAAGTAAGATTTGCAATCGATGTGACCAGAGGCGCTCCGTTCTCGCCTCTTGTTTCTTTCGCCTTGTAAAAATCAGCCTCTGGAACCAGGGTACCACAACAACAGTCCTGAAGCCATAAAATGCATTTTCTGAACAGCAGTAAATAAGTTATGATAACTTATTTACTGTTGTTGAGGAAATAATATGGTTATTATTAGGTGCATTTGGAGTATTTGGTTTGACTGTTTGGCACTTTCATTCACAAGGACCACATACAATACATGGATTTGAAACACCTAACCATATATTTTATGATATATTATCCCACAATTCTAAACTCTGTTATTATACATGCATGTAAACTACATTCTATAAATTTATAATGTTTACACCACTCACTAGGCTTCATAGACATAGACTACAGCAGGTCTACAATAAACTTACATGAGCAGAGTCTAACATATAAAATATATAGCTGACTAACTTACATATTTCTTAAAATAAACACACATGGCATGCCAATAGCAATGGCTATCAAATAGTATGAGAGGCCATAGTATAACTATTTTTAGTATAATAGAGGTAATAGTATAACTATTTTTATAATACTTAATACGTTTCATGAGCACAAATATGGTAATATATTCGAGACAAATGAACTGTGTAAACAATTCGATATGTTATTGACATATTTACAGTAATATGTTATTCATAAGACTGACCTGACAGGGAGGTGATTCAAACAGCACTGTTGTTCACTTCGCGGGAACTGCAAATGAGAAGAATCGCACACCAAAACGTTTCAATCTGACTTATTTCGGAATTCATCCACAACCACTTTCTCACACAGAGATTTAATAGAGGCTAGTTTAGTCGCCTTTTCGTTAAAAGAAACACGTTCGTTCATAATACACAGAAGCTTGTCGAGTGGAAACATAAAAGCCGCCATATTTTGTCCTTGCAACGAGTGGCGATTAAAATTTAGACAATAACAAGTCAACGTCGCTCTGAAGTCGAAGCGACTATTGCAAACAGTAGCATTTTGCTTCATTCTGATTAGCTTGCTTCGTCTAACTGTAGCAAACCAGTCACAATGCCGTATTTGCAAATTTTTGCAACGGTCAGTTTCAATCTGACCACTGCAAAAATTGGCAAATACAGCGCTCTGATTGGTTTGCTACGCTTAGATGAAGCAAGCCAATCAGAATGAGGCAAATGCTACGGTTTGCAATGGCTTGCTTCGACTTCGGAATGATGAGATTTAGTATTGCTGTAAAACCCACAAATATGGGCAGTATTTTCGGGTGGAAATTTGATAAATCCCAAATTTGATTGTCCAAAATGAAATAAAAACTCGAGAAAATTTTATCAATATAATTTAGTAAATTGGAAAAAAAATGCACTAATTAACAATGAAGAATTGAAAATATTTGCACTAGTATAATTAATTATTTAATTTTTCAAAGGTACACCCTGGAAAAATATATCTTGGGAAAATCTGACCGTAGCAAATGCTACGGTTGCAATGGTCTAAATCCGCCCCTGAGTACAGCACATTGAAACTTAATGAGTCAAATATTATCCTGGTTATCAATCTTGTTCACTTTATCCATCATACTTCATTTTGTAGAGCCTCTTTAATGATCTCAGCTGTGGAAATTCTCTGCATTCAACATGGTCAATATTTTCAAAAGAGTGGGCTTTTTTGTGGGGTTAATATCAGTAGCTGCATTTGCTAACTGTAATAGGATTGTGCTGCTGATTTTCTTCCCAATTACCTTACAAAATCTCCCGAGTGAATACATATCACTGGCAGTTATAGCACAAGATTCCTTCAAGACTTCTGGTGCAATGTGTTTTGTACACTTCCCTGTATTTCATCGCCAATGGTCAAGAGATTTCACAAACTTTCCCAAAGTCAATTAGGTACCCCTTATTTTGGTGCGACTGACACATTATTGGACTTCAAGCCACAGTGAAGATATCCTCTCTGGTGCATGTGGTCAAGTGCATCAGTGATGTCATAACATATGCAGAGCCATGTTTTGGTTGACGTTTCTGAAGCTTGATGTTGGTACAGTGGGTCAAACAGCAACTTGAACACTGTTATAGACCGACTGTTCTCCCCAACAAATTTCATTATCAGGGAGATTGGCTTTTTGTCTAGCTGCACCTCAAGTAACAATGGCATACATATGTGTGACAATTTTGTGTTTTGACTTTAGATTCATTTTACGCAAAAATAACACAACATTTTCACGGATACAAGTTTGAATATTTTGGAAGAGTTCCTTGGCCATCTGTTTGTAATTGAATGTTTCAGTGAGAACCCACTCAATCATTCGCTGCAAAGCAGTTGAAAACGTTCCATGTTTTTGTTGCTATTTTTAGACCAACAACTGGTCACATGGCACGTTTTTAAAAATTTTGGGTCGGTTAAAAAAATTCTAAAATTATGTTGAGTTGCATTAACGCCCCAAAACCCTGTCAATTTATCTTAAAATCATTGTAAATAATTTTTCTTTTATTTTTCATGAATTAATGCTCACTGTGAAACCTGACCCAGTCATTAGCATACCTGAGTGACCACCATCTAATTTATAAGGAACAAAAACGTTCTATTAAGTATTTGGACATACACAATCTTATTGCAAATGGTAGAAAGTTCCAGATTTTGCCAGGGACTGATAGAGGACGAAGATATTATGTCTGCTGCTACTAATCCAACTGGAAATCCTGATCCAAACCCAGTCACAATTGTACGCCATACCATTCCTAAAATGATCAAAGTCCAAGAGGCTCATTTTGAAGTGACACTCTTTTATTGATCAGTTCCATGTGATATCCTTGCTGATAGCAAACATTTGAAGGAATCTTGTAAACCTTGTGCAACTGCCTCCAGGAATCTTGTAAACCTTGTGCAACTGCCTCCAACACAGTAAAAGAGAGCTGCACAAAAAAAGAGCAAAGCCTCTGCAACCCCAGCTAAATCTAAAGCCTCTTTACAAGCATGTGGTCCAGACAAGTTGTGGGCAACAGCAAGATCAACAAGATTGCAAGTGAAAAATCTTGAGGACCGCTTGCAGCAAATGCAGACAAAGATCGAGCAGCAAGGGATTAGGATTAGCGAAAGCTTGGAGGACATTTTCAAAATCATGGGAGACAAAGCCTTGAAGCAACACCCCACATGAAGTTCTTTTGGCAGGAACGAATGAAATTGTTGCAATCAGCTAAAATAAATGGGTAAAAGGTACCACCCCCAAGTAATCCGCTTTGCTCTTTCCATTCATGGGAAATCTCCATCCGCTTATAGAGAACTATCTGACAGCGGCGCCCTTATTCTCTCAAGTGAAAGATTTCTTCAGGACTATAAGAACGATTTTAAACTGAAAGCTGCCATCAACAAAGAGAACGTCGAAACCCTACGACTATGAGAAAAAAAACTCATCTTTCACTCCTGTACAAAGATATGTAGCAGTTGTTATGAATGAGATGAAGATACAATTAAATCTTGTTTTTGATAAAGTGTCTGGGGAACTTATTGGCCCCATCGACTTGGGTGACCCCATGACCAACTTTACCAATCTCATTCAACTCCCACTCAATCAACATTCAACTCCAACTGTAACAGATGTAGGAGGTATTAAATTAACCACATCACAAACATTGCTAATGCTTTTTATAATTATTTCTCCAGCATTGGTTCTAATATCACTAGTGCGATATCAACAGTTAACATACCATTTGAACCTTCCTAAACAGACCAATTTGCAACAGTTTTGTAATTTTTCCAACAAATACCTTTGAAGTTGAAAATATAATTAACAGTCTTAATCCATCTAAATCAACCGGACCATTTGGTATTCCTACTAAGTTACTTAAGATTCTCCAAACTCTTGTATCTGGGCCACTTGCTTATTTAATAAATTCATCATTTTTATCAGGTGTTGTACCTGATAAATTAAAAATAGCCGGTGTATAAAAAAGGATTAAAATCTATTGTATCTAATTATCACACTATCTCATTGCTTTCAGTTTTAAATAAAATTCTTGATAAATTAATGTCTATCTTGAAAAACATCAAGTACTATTTTCAGGTCAATTTGGATTTCGTGCTAACCATTCTACTTCTTATACAATCTTGCTGATTACTGATAAAATCCAAAAAGCAATTGAAAATAAGCTATACTCATGTGGTATTTTTCTTAATCTGTGCAAGGCTTTTGACTGTTAACCATAACATCCTGCTAAAGAAACTAGATAAGGGGAGTGGCAAATGAATGGTTCTCCTCTTATCTGCAGAATAGACGACAGTGTGTTGCAATTGTTAATACGAGCTCTGAGCAACAAATGATAACAGGTAGTGTTCCTCAAGGATCAGTTCTAGGACCACTATTGTTTTTGCTCTATATAAATGATTTTAAAAATTGTGCATGTGGAGTTGATTTTCATCTATTTGCAGATGACTGTAATTTACTTTGTACTCATAAAAAACTTGAAAGTTTAGAAAGAAACTTAAATGATCAATTGAGTAAAGTCAATGAATGGTTATGTGCTAATAAATTGTCTTTGAATATTGAAAAATCCAATTTTGCTCTTTTTCTTCCACCCCCCAAAAAAGCTAATTTTCCAATGAAACTTGACATTTGTGGTAAAGAGATTAAACAAAAGAAAAGTATAAAATTACGTATGCTGTCATGGTTTGGGGGAACACCTATAAAACTAATACACTGCCCTTGACAATCCTTCAAACGAAAGCTATACGAATTATTACCTTCTCAGACTATCGGGCACATACTTCTCTTTTTTTTAAACAGCTTCACTTAAACGTGTGGAAACGAAATGACTGACCGAAGTAGGTGCCAAAAGCTGTTCAATGTATCAACAAAAACAAGTGCATGTAAAAACTTGTTGAATCTGGACAGTTGTTTGTCTAACAATGTGTGCCATAATAGTGCGGACAAGAATAGTAATTTATTAGACTTATTATAGAAAGTTGATTCAGTTTGCCAGTGATTTAACGTAGTAGAAGTTAGTCTAATTGAAAAGAATCAGATAACTGTAACCAAGAAGCACAGAGATGGCGATTGTAAATTGTGATCAGCTAGACGATGTCGCTAGAGTTCAAAATCCAGTAAAAATACGTGTTGTTTTCTCAGTGAACGAATTTGTAATAATCAGTAATTGAGATCAAGAAACCCAAACTAAACCCGAAACTAGTGAGGAAATTTTAGAATCATCAGATGCAACTTCGGTAGCAGTATTAAAGTTTATTTCTACACCCTGTACTTTATACTCAATGTAATGTTTGTTTGTGTATTTTCACATGGTTTTTGTGTTATACAAAATTGTAATTACATTGTTTACTCTTTTTGCTTCAATAATACACATTTGTTCAACAAAAGGCCTGAGAATATAATATTATTTTTAGACTCCTTCGATAATGACCGATATGTAACCGCTTCGGCCTTCAATGTAAACAATGACGTCACCGGTGGATTTTTCCACCAGTGATATTTGGCGTGCTGCAAGTGGCGAAAGTCCTTTCCACAGAGGAAGTGAAGTGTGGTATAGAAGGGCCTGGAAAGGACTTTGGAAAGTCTACATCACGATTCATTTTCTTTTTTGCTGATTCTCCACATCTCATGAAGACAGCCCGTAACTGCCTGTATAATTCTGGGTATGGAAGTCACAGTCGTCAGATGTGGAATGATGGGCAGTATCTGATATTTCAACACATAGCAGACCTCTACTACAGCGACAAAGATTTTTCTCTGCACACCCTCCCTAAGCTGCTGACCTTAGATCATATTATGTTGACCTCTTTCAGCAAAATGGAAGTTAAATTAGCAGTCCAGGTCCTCAGCAAGTCAGTCGCCATTGCTCTGAGAGAAAGTGGTAAAGAGGATGTCACCGGTACTGCCCAGTTCTGTGAAATGATGAATGGGTTCTTTGACTGTACTAATGTGAGGTCACTGATCGAGCACATCAGGAAAAATAATTCATTCATCATGCCATACAAGTCTCCTGTAGATGAGCAATTGACCTGGTTGATTGAAAGATGTTTTCCTCACTACCTGGAAAGCTGCAAACAAATTACTCTGACACACGAAGGAGAGTACACACCTAATGCCAGACACAAAATGTTTATCTCTTCCCAACATATGAAGGCCTGAAGATTGCTGTGAACTCTCATGTTGATGCAATTAAATTTTTGCCCACTGAGGGATTTAAGTACGTCCTCACAGAGAGATTTATGCACGATATCCTCAAAACTACTTTGGTCGCCAAAGAGAGAAAGGAAGAAGGACAGATAATCCAACTGCTCAGTAATTTGGATACAATGATCTGACAATAGCTTCCCAACGAGACATTGCTCCAGTAATTAGAAGTAATGTCTCGGAACCCTGTTATTGGAGAACTAATCTCTGTGTGGTAATTCCAGCCATGTAATCTATTGTGTGTAATAGTTTGTGTTAACTAATTTTGTGTAATAGTTTGTGTTAAATGGCAAAATCTGTAAAATAAAATAATGTTGGTGGATGTTATGAATAAGTGAAATGGCACCAGGTGAGCGAGGAACCAGTAAAAAAAGCGTCAAAAGAAATAATTTAGGCAGGAACTTAGTCAGAACATTATAGGCAAACTTTCTATACAACAACATAACCATAACTGGTGCGCATAACCTGGCTGCCAGAGCTAGGGTCTTGGTTCTAGGTTGTATTCTAATCTTTTCTATATCTAATCTTTTATTGAATGTGGCACGAACATGGCCGCTGTTGCAAGTGAGGAATTACGAGGTAGTACTTTATTGCAGGCAAGTTCAACATGATCACACTTCATGTTGATTTGAAAGCAATTCTTGAGTTCCACTACAGCATTTTGCAGTGAATCTGATGGGGGCGGGGTCAACCTAAAATGTATTGATGCTTATACTGTACTGGAGTGAGAAAATGATACAAAATTGCACGTATTTGCCACCAAACACAAGGCCAACACATACAGTGAACAATCAATTCATTCTGATTGCTATGTCTCGATTTAGAGTTGACCCCCCCCCCCCATCAAATTTATGATGTCATATGAAACCAAAGAATAGAACTTCTAAACTATGGCTTCTGATCACACAGGGGGATGAAAATTAAAAATTCTGTTTCTACTACTGTAACATTTATCATTTATAGACCTGGAGCGAGGGGGATTCGGCGAAATATTACCCGAAGTGATGATATTTCCTGAGGGGCTTTGCCCCGAGGGAAATATCATCACTGAGGGTAATATTTCGCCGAATCCCCCTCGCTCTAGGTCTATAAATGATATATTATACCAAAAATTAAAAGCCTCCAAAGTTGAAAATTAAAAACTTGACACATACCTTCGTGAATACGATGTTTTATTTTCGGATTAACGCAAGTATTCGTCGATTTTCTTTCGAATCACATATCGTTTGGAATATTAATAACAACATTTTTCAAAATTTGCTTCAAAATTTTGAAAAAGCCCCAGGTTTTATGTTTAAAATTTCATTATTCATCACTCATCAATACTATTTATATTTTGTCGGCCATGTTTTCGTCATGCGTGTTGTCTCGCGCGGTCTACGCGAATAATGTTCCACCCCAAGTTCCCCGGGGAACATGGGGTGGAACATTGTCAAAAGGAATGCAGGCTCGCTAATTGATGACATAAGGCGTGATATCGCGATTAATTTCATGCTCACGTGGCACAAACTAAGCTTCATGATTGGACAATTTGAATTTAAGGTATAATATTGTAATTTGTAACATAGTTCATAACTTATAGTTTATCATTTAATTGCAGTGATTTAATGGTTCTTGCTTCATTTTAAGTCCTTTCGTAATGATTTACTTTTCGTCTGTTTTTCCTTTATTTTGTATTTTTTAATATAGTCCCTTGCATAGGAAAATGAGCGAACATGAATATACAATTTCACAATGTTTTCCAAGCATAACTTCTGCATAGAGCTTGATTTTTCTATGCCAGATTCGAGCACAATGTTATCCCACAGTGATTTGATGACTGGAGAGCATAGTGTTGACTTGCAGATTATCTCAGTAGGTATATTTCTTAACACTAGTTCGCCTTCACCAACATTTTTCCTGAAGCAAATATTGGCTTCTTCTACAACACCCATAAAATGATGGCTACCTCCTCTGCTACAAGCAAGCATGAAATTATTGTCCAATTCAGTCAACTTTAAGGCCAGTAATAGAGCTTGCAATTCCTTGTCACATTCGTTCTGATTCTTAGATCTAAACTTCTGGTATAGCTTTGAAACTATATACCCTGCGACGTAGGAAAAGGGCCCATGTTCTGATGGGTCAAGTTTTAAATCACTAGTTGTAGTTGTTCCCATTGGTTTAGCTCCCGCCTTTTCATGATGAAGGCAAACCTTGAAAAATCCAGCTAAATGATCTGGTATTTCTATCATAATTAAATTTGCAGCGTTAGAATGTGGACAATTTAAATATTCTCTCGAATTAGGGATCAATCCGTAGAATGCTTCAAGTAATTTGTCTTGGTTTCTTTTGTAACAGAATTTATTATACAACGGCAGTACAACGTCAAAAAAATTTGTTGGAAGGGGCATTTTTAATGGCGTTATTTAGGACCATACAAATCTTAGGTCATCAAACGAACTTTGATTGCCTCGACAATGTCAGTAGATTTTCTAATGAAAAAAGTTGACTTCTGTAACTTTGTCCCATTCGGTTGGCACATTGACAGATATCTGCCTTTGCGGTGTTTGGAATTTGTGTGTTTTGTTAAGCCACCTTTTGACTTACAAGGCGAGCAAGGAAACAACTTCTTGCCTTCTTTTTGTTTCTGTATCTAAGATTGCGAGTGATACGTTTAGATTGAAATCCTTGTTTGACTCCTCGCCTATATTTTCTAAATCTTGATATCCTCGGGAATAGTCCTCAATGTCAGCTTCTTGATCGCTCCCTGCCATAACCTTGGTTTTTCTTGCCTTCACTGTGTGAAATGATAAATATTTTCGGAAGACAGAAGCAGCAAGCTCGTGGATGTATATTTTAAACCACCTTTTAACATTTGAGAAACGTTTTGCTCAATTTTATTGTTGCAGTATTTCACCGCAACAATTTCGATGCTACTCTAATTGCATGAATATTTAATATTGTGAAGGGTGGCAACATATATTAACTGCTATCCGAAATACTAAAAGTTTTTTTTGTAAATCCTACATGGAAGGTTCACAAATAAGGTCACAAATAACAAATAACAGGTTTGGAAGGTCACAAATAACAAATAATAGGTTTTAGTATTTTTGCACAAGTGAACATTGGTCAAACTTGACGTATTAATCTGTTTTGTTATATAGCTAGCGTGAACACCAAACGTGATTGGCCGATTTGTGGTCACGTGACTTCAGATAAATGCAATGTTTCCCGCCGGGCAACAAGTGAAAAATTGTTGCCCACCCCAACCGGCCACGTACATAAATAAACAAAATGGCGGCACAACTACGATAATTAGAAACTACGATTTTCCAAGTTTGTGTTCAAATAAAGAATGTAAGAGGGAAGAAAAATACAGAACAGGAAACAGGATATGCTGCCGAAACTGTTTAGGTAGGTTCTTTAATTTTAAACTTGTTTACTCTATAGAGTTTTTGCCACGAAAAACAATTGTTGTATATGAATGTTGTTGAAGTTGATTTTTGTTCGTCGCCATATAACAAAACACTTAATGTCTGTTCCCTCGGGAAATAGTTTTGTTTTTCCTCGTATCTCAATGTTTCCCTCGACTTTGTCTCGGGAAAACAAAACTAACTATTTCCCTCGGGAGCAGGCATTAAGTGTATAATATTCACCTAGAGGTGAATACAACAAAAACGAAATTTTCAAAATGGTGGCTAGCTGTTTTGTTGAAGTTAGTGATAAAGAAATAAGTGAAATTAAAATAAATTCAGACCAGAAAAACACAAAAAATAACTTGTGCAAAAATACTAAAGCAATCATTCGCCTCGTCTCAGCGACTATTCCCCGATTATGTTGGGGAATTAGGGACAAAATTGTTTCAGAGTCGAAGCAATTATTGTGTCATCACGGTCAATATAGACAGGCAATGGGTCGTACTGGACAGGCAATGGGTCGTACTGGACAGGCATTGGGTCGTACTGGTTAGGAATGGGTCGTACTGGACAGGCAATGGGTCGTACTGGACAGGCATTGGGTCGTACTGGACAGGCATTGGGTCGTACTGGATAGGCAATGGGTCGTACTGGATAGGCAATGGGTCGTAAAAGAAAATTGTCTCTTTTCCATATGGAAATTTTGAAAAATGGGAAGAAAAGTGGAAAATGAAAATTTTTCGTGTGGTAAGTGGTAACACCAAACATGTTTAATTCACATTTTGCATTTTCTGATTTTCATATATATTTTGTCAAAAGAATTTCCAAGAAGAATTTCATGCTTCATTTGTTTATTGTCCATTTTTAAATTGTTTAAAAATGTCCAGAGAAGATGACAGGATACAACATGCGAAAGATGTGTTAAAGAACGTGTTACAGGAATTGGAATCCGAGCCACAGAGCTCCAACCCGATAAACAACGTAACAGAGCTACAGCTACTCAGTCTCCGAATATCGATGTCGTTGATCAACAAAGACAAAGCACAACTGATGATTTTAGGTGAGTCAGTGAAAAAGGAATGGAATCCATAAGTGTATTGTCAATTTTCTTTAAAGGAATATTATACTTATAAGTAAGTTTAATTGTAATTATATAGACCATAATTTTGGTGCTACTTTCCCATTTTGATGCATGCAACACATGTTCATTAGTAAATTTATAATTTGTTTTCAAATACGCAAATACCGGGATGGGGATGGCAAAAAAGAAACAATGACAATAAATCAGTCAAGATTTTATATACATAATTTCAAATACCCCAGGCTGATAAATCAGTCAAGATTTTATACATAATTTCAAATACCTCGAAAAGTTATAAAATATGATTTGAGATTGTATTAAATGTTGTTTGTTTTTAATGACTATTTTTACAAGGTTCTGCAGCAGGCCCTGCTGTTTTATGTGACCTTCCCATGATGCAGCAGGAACTTGTTAACATAACAAATGTTAACAGAACTTGATAAATCCAACATTGGGTATATTTTTGTTGCTGATATTACTGTTATTGTAGTTTTAACTCTAAATATTCCTTTTTGGATTTTAATTTCTTAATAAAATATTAGTCACCACAATGATTTAACATAAATTGCCATATTTAAAAATGTTATCATAAATGATTATATGGCAAATGTTGATGCATAACACCACTTTTAGCTGATTAATATTTGTGCTTTTTAAGTGAAATATAGTATTCGGATTGGTTAGGCCAAGGAAGGAATGAAATAATTCATTGCAAAAGACAGCATAGGTCTATAGTTATAGTTATACATAAACAATTTACAAGGTATATTAAACACACACAATAAACAAAAATACTTGAACTTGTCTAAAAGCAGCATGTCAATGGAGAGTTCATTAAACTTTGAGCGGAATTACATTTTATACACACACTTTTCCATGTGCGGGGATCCTCAACATCGTATGTATTTTCTAATGCTAAAATATAGTACATAAAAAGAAGATTCTTGAATTCTGAAAATGTTCGGTCTTTGGATGTAATATGATTAGGTAGTGTGTTACATATTCTTGATGTTTGGATTTTGTAAGATTTTTTATAGGTTGATGTTCTTGTATGTGGGAATTTTATATTTGTGCGAGTTGGGGTTAAATAATCTTGTCTGTCTTTGACCCTGAGTTGAGGAAATGGAAGAATTTTTTTATCAATATTAAAAATGTCGTGATTTGCCTTATACAAGAATACTACGTCCAGGTATTCGTGCCAGTAGCTGAGAGGGAGCAAACTGGTTGCAAGGAGTCGGTCTCTATATTCTGTATCACAAATAAAGGGAACATTTAAAATATATTTAGTTGCACGCCTCTGAACTCATTCTACTCTTTTCACCAACTCAACTGTTTGGGGAGCCCATACTTGGGTGGCATATCCTAAGTGTGAGCGAACCAGAGAAAGGTACAGTGTTCGTCGTATTGCAAACTCACGAATATTTAAAGTTGATCTTCAAATATAACACAGCATTTTATTAGCTTTGTTACTTTGTTGTTTAACTTGCTTTGACCAAGTGAGATCATAATTCGTCCATACACCTAAATCGAGTTCACAATCAGTCTTTTCTAGTGTGGTATCTTGTAGTTGAAAAGGGAAATCTATTTTGTTGTATTTCCTGGTGACCTGGAGGGGGTTTTACATTTTGATGTGTTAAGATGCAGACCAGCATTGGATGAGGTGGAATTAAAGTTGAGAAGATCATTTTGTAATAACATTGCATCAGTCCTGGAGTTAATCACGTTAAAAATCTTAGTGTCATCAACGAAAGCTGCTACATTCAAATTCACGATGGAAGAGGATAGATCATTGGTATATAAGAGGAAAAGTAGCAGGCCAAGAATGGAACCTTGTGGTACTCCAGATGTCACTGGTAGTGCTGTCGATGTTGCACCGAGAACAGTAGTTTGTTGTCGGCGATTTTTCAAGTAAAAATTAAACCACATTAAGAGATTTCCTCCGAATCCAAATTCTCTGAGGCGATGTAGAAGATGTACGTGACTAACCTTATCAAATGCTTTTGACATATCCAGGTAGATCACATCAATCTGCTTTCCGAGATCTAATTGGCTGCCAATGGTATCTAAAACTTCAATTAGTTGTGTCACAAATGATTTTCCGGAAATGAAGCCATGTTGGCAAGAATTTGACTGAAAGCATGTTCTTCGATACTAATGAATATGCAACGCTCTAAAACTTTAGAGACAAGTGAGAGAAGAGAAATTGGCTCTTAGTTTTCTACATGATCTTTATCCCCTTTTTGTGGATGGGTACAACATTGACAAGTTTTGATTCTGAAGGTACTATTCCACTTTTTAAGGACTTGTTAAACAGGAGGCATAGAGAGGGAGCGATTTCGTATGCAGTTTCGGTAAGTAATCTTACCAGGATTGCATCTGGACCATGTGCTTTGTTGTTATCAAGATTTCTTAAAACTGAGTGCACTGTTCCTTCCGACAAAATAATGTCATTAAAAATAGTCGAGAAGATTGATACAAAGTAGCGGTTGAAAAGTGTTGCAATGTCCCTAAGATTCTCGGCATATTCACGAACATTGTCGACACTTGTTTTTATTGAAATTTTTTCCGGGACAGAACGTGTTGCACCTTTTAGTTTAAATAGTGACCAGAGACATTTGGAATTGGTTTGGATGTTTGTGCAGAGAGAGGAAATGTAGCTGGATCGGCTGATTTTTATCATAAGCTTGATCGTGGCTCTGAGAGTTTTAAACTTGTGGCGGAGATAGTCACTGGGAGATTTTTTCAATCTTTGTCTTAAGTTGGACAGATTCTCAGATTTGAGTGATGATCTTAAAGCATCAAAATTGCCACGTTGGTAGTCATATACTGTTCTATTCATATTTACTGGAGATTTTGGAGATATAAGGACATCAAAGAGTTGGGAACATTGGTAAGCACAAGGTCCAGCACATTGTTGTGTCTAGTTGGTTTGTTGTTAAGTTGAGATAAGAAATAGTTATTCATTAATTCTAAGAATGAAATTTCATTGGCTCCTGTTGTATTTTCTGGGGAATTCCAGGAGATATGTGGCATATTAAAATCACCACAAGGATGATATTCTCATAGCAGCTGCAAACATCATTTAGATAGTGGTTAAAATTGTTGAGCCAATTTTGATCAGCGTTAAGTGGACGGTAGGTTGTAGTTATTTCAGCAGAGATAATTTCTAGATATTGATTTTGGTGAACTTTTCACACAAACTTAAAGGAATCAGTTTTAATTTCGAAGTATAGTGTAATCGGAGTTCAGGATTTCTGAATTATAAATGTTTCCATTGAGCCAAGTTTCATTGACACAAACAATATCAATTTGTTCAGAATAAACTAAGTTTTGAAAGCAGTTTACGTTACAAACAGTTTCAGATTCTGTTAGTTTATGGGTACTCCTCAAACTATGGGCATTCATGGCTAACTATTTTACTGACCTATTTACATGGGCATTACAGGGACCAGGGTTAATAGCAACATCTCCTGACAATAAGATCCATAACAGAACGTGCAAGTTATTATTCTTGATTTGAAACAGCAAACCATAGTGATAATTAGAGGATAATGAACATTTCCTTATGTTTATATCACATGTTGATATCCAGATGTGGCTTAGTCTGCCAGATATAGATATAAGTTCTGCAGAAATAATAATATTCTTTGATGTTATGGAGGTGTTTTGTGAAACTAGTACTGGTTGAGATCGAGGTAGAAGCTTCAGGGAGTGGGCAAGTTCATTGTATTAACCTTTTAATGCGGGGAAATCCCCACGAGTGAAACCAGATATGTTGATCTGTGTGATAGTATTCACAGTGACCACGTCCACAAGAATACAAAAATTAGTCACCAAATATTGCACCCAAAAATCACAAAATGAATGAAAATTGTGCTATTTGTGAGATAAACGGAAAACCAAGATAAAAAATTCACTTTCCTAACTATGATACAACTCCGCAAATCCTTTAAGTTGTTGCTATGAAATGCAACCCCAGACAAAATTTAAATTCAAATGTTTAAATGGTCAGTACATCCAAATAACACAAAAATTACACACGATAACAGGAACACAATTTATAGATCGCTTAGAAAGTTGCAAGTGAATAGAACAAACGATAACAAAGATATTCAATATATGAACCAAAATATTGGGTTGTAGTGTGATCATCAAAGCAATATCAAATATGGCAACGGCAAAACATTGAAATAGAAATTGTCTAGAAATGATACAAATACTTGCCTTGAAACTCCAGACACGACTCCCAATGTCAGGTTGAGATACTTGTCTTTATACGAAGACATTTCATCATTACTAGCACTATCAGTTTGCAAAATAAAGCCAAAAACGTCTTCAGAATGCGATTCAAACAAAACTACAACACAATACATTTCAACGCTCGTGCGTTCCCGTGCGCGATAATCAGGAAAATTGCTCTAAAATATTTGTCTATCTAGGGTAAACAAACACTCTGGAAGTGATTCCTGCAGTCTTTTACCAGGAAACTGCAATGCTTTACCAAGAATTTGGCGTCCGAAGTTGGCCGAACACTTTCCGATCACGAGAATTGCCATAATAGGCTTAGATTATTTTGCAATTTCCCGAGACTGCTCCGAGCTATAGAATGGAAGATGGCGATTCTTTTGGTATATTTTTTATTATTATACGTTGAAAAGAAGCAAAAAGACGAGCATTTGAATCAGGCGGAACATTCAAAATGCAACAGCAAAATTGATGTGTCATTTGAATAAATTTCACCGCATTGATCATTTCAAGGTAAGAAATTCGCTTGAAATTGAGCGAGAAACACTAAAATTATATGAATATTTCTGAATATATAGTATCGATCAAGCGGAATTTTTTGGTGGTATTTTCGTATGTCTACTGCAAATACTCGCGAAGTTCTTTAATATTTAATCTTCCCGTCATATACGTCGGAAATTAATATTGGCGGATCGAATGAGTTAACAGGCTTTCTGGCATCCTTGTGTAGAAAAGTAGGACAAAAGTAGGACTAGAATTTTAGGAAAAGTAGGAATAAAGTAGGAAAATGTGTAGAAAAGTAGGAGAAAAGTAGGAGTTTTGGAGATGCAAATAACACAAAAATATACAAAATTGGCCCCCCTAGGATATATGTGGTAAGGGGTAGACCATTAGATATCTGATGGGGAAGTTGTGTGAATTTTTGGTGCTCAATATTTTTATGTACTCATTCATCTATGCAGGATTTTTTTCTCAAAACTTTTAAATTGTATAGGTATAAAAGCTAAGGCATCAGCTCTGCAGCAACACAATTCAAATGCATGTATTGGGCTACACAATGCACCAATCAACACTGCGGCAGGAGCATATATCAGGGCCGTAGGAAGCTCTTTTCGATTGGGGGGGGGGGAGGGAAGCTGAAAGCGAGGGCCGCCGAAGACCCAAGGAAATGTTTAAATTTAGAGTCTCTGAAATGCCATTTCCTGGACTTTGGGGAAGATTTGACAGAATTCCAATGGTCAGAAAACAGCATTTTAGTATGTCGAAAAATTTACAATTTAGTATAAGTTGCAGAAAAGTATGGGTAATATCTTCATTCTTTGCAGGTTGTCATGGACTAAATGATAAAGGTCTGCATGATTTCAAAAAAAAAATGATTATTAGCAAATTATTGGGGGGCTGCAGCCCCCCCCCCCCTCCACTTGCTACAGCCCTGTGCGCCAGCTCCCCCCCCCTCCACTTGCTACGGGCCTGCTACGGCCCTGTTGTTGGAATCTCTAGATCGTCGGAAATGGCACTTTCAGAGTCTTCATTAATTTATTGATTAATTATGATTCTAGAGATGCTATGAAATTTTATACTCGGAAAATGTACTTCTTCTCCTGAGATCTTATGATCTGGGACACAAATAGGAAATAAAAATTACGAGTCCTATAGATCAAATTACGAGAGCTATAACATACTGATTCCCCAAGCTGTCTTAAAAAAGTAGGATTTTATGAGAAAAAGTAGGAAACTCAAGCAATTTTTAATAAAAAATAGGAAAAGTAGGAAAGTTGAAGAAAAGTAGGAAAACGTAGGATGGCGAGAAAGCCTGTATCATTATCACCTATTGTATTGCACTGTGAATAAGCAGTTTATTGTCTACTCGGCACATAACGATCAACAGTTTAATACAAGAAATGACTATGCAGTGATAGACGGCAAACCCAATATATGCAAAGAAAAGTTAAGACCCGCATCAACAGAATATTCCAATGAAGATCTATTAAAGGATTAGTGTCACACCAGGAATTCGCGGGCTCAAACTCCTGCTGGCGGCCATTTTTCGGGACGAATAGATTAGATGATCTGGAAAGTTTTTACAATCCGTCATATATTTAAACCATCCTTTTGTAATCCTTGCTCTTTTTGTCTGATTTTTATCAGAAATGTGCCAAACAAGGTATTTTTATCGCTATTTGTTGTATTTGAGTAAAATGTAAACAATAACAAAAGCCCGCAATGCATGACCCCGACACTAATCCTTTAATGTGTAAAGATTCAATCATCAATTATATTCAATACGATGAATACAAAGTTTGGAACAACTTTTCAATACTCTATAAGAACAAGGTGACTGTGCTATTATACTCAGTATCGAGTTTTGAATGATGGCGTAAAGATTTGCAACTCCAATGTCAATTATTCCCTACATAGTTATCAGTGCATGGATTAACTCCACTGGTAACTATGTAGAGAATAATTGGCAAGTACGTACGCAATAAATGTGTGAAGGAGACAATGCATAATAAAAGTTGCGATACACCTATTAGAAGCCGTTTGTTGAACCGAAAGTATTACACAGTGAATAAGCAGTTGATTGTGTATTTCGCACCTGACGGTCAACATTTCACAAGAAATGACTATGCGGTGAAAGACGGTAAACCTACTGTATGCGAAGAAAAGTTAAGATCCACATCAACAGAGTATATAACCAGGAGGATCTATTAATGTGCAATAATTCCACTGAATAAGATATAACTATATGTATAGGGAATATTTGGCGAGAATGCACAGTATAGAAGCTGCAATAAACCCATTAGATACATTAAGATCGACTGCTGGGAATACAGTATGCTTTAGAGCTCTCCTTTAGAGTTCTCCTTTTTAGGGTTCGCTTTAGGGTTCGCCTGGTAACAAAGTACGATTATGGTGTATATAAAGGCAAACTTATAACATGTGTGACCGAATGCGCCAATGTTATCTTTACTATAAAGTATTGAGATGAATACGGTGTATGGAACAACTTCTCAATGATGTACCAAGGTCGAATGTATTATGATGAGTACAGAATAACGCCAGATGGCCTACAAATTTGTAATTCTTCTAACCGTCTCATCAAAGAAAAATGGCGGAATTTCATTGTTTTGGAAAAGATAACGAGAGCTTTTAACCATTGTAATATTATCCTGCGTGGCAGGCCCTCAGTTTTAGGGGGGGGGGGGGCTGATTTGCAATGGGCAGGTATCTGTGGACGGTTTTTTCTCCGAGAATTTGGAGAAACAAACTTTACTGTTTTCATCATACCTACCAATTAAAAGTTTCACAAGGCAAGATTACGGAGTGATTTTGGGGTATTTTGCAGTTTGTTCGGCAAAACTCAGATTGACCTGCAATGATTATTTGGTCAAAGTAAAGTACGGTAAACAATACAATGTTTTTGAAAACTTTTCACTGGTTTACAACAACAACAATTAACAACAAGATATACGATTATCGTGACTATCGATTCAGTCACCGGACAGTCTTGAAATGTGTGGTTCCAATTGATTCAAGAGTTCAGGCCATATGAAGAACGCAAACTTCATGGCGAAAGTAACGACGCGCATCCTGTTATCATCATTCTTATAAATTAAATGCATTTTAATAAAAATTAAATATTGTGTCATTTGGCTTATCCGCCATTTTGGGGGTACTGACTCTCCCAAGTCTGAGAGTGTGCGCACCGCGAAATGCGACTTTTTGATAGATAGATTTTTATTAAAAGCTACTTTCCAGCTACGCTGGTTGAATTACGTCGATTTTACAATATATAACTTTAAATATTAGACATGTAACCAGTAAGTCTACTCAATTATTACAGTATAGCATGGATGGTACAAAAGTGTTCCTAAAGCGGTTAGTGTTAGTCATTGGAAGATCATAGAGGCGTTTGTGTCTTAAGTTATATTTCGTTTGGTGTTTTAGCGGCAGCAGTGCATGGAGTTTATGGTCACCGTCAGTTGATATTTTACAGAAAAGCTTTTCACACAGTGTTTGTCTTCGGACCGATACGGAGTTTGGTCCAGATTGTTGCATGCTTTCTGAATACGGCTGTCCCCTGTAAATCATAACCAAGGACCGTTTATGTACTCGCTCAAGATGGTCAGACAAGTACTTTGGTAAAGAGTGGCAAAATACCTTTATATAATAACTACAGTGAAACACGCAATTTGATTGGTCAACAGCCGTGCAGGATCAGACAATCCTGCACGGGAAATTCTGAACAGAAATTCTTGGACATAATTTTACAAATATACTCGCATTGTAAAGTTGTTTTAGTTGTATGAATAAATTAGTTTTTTCACGTTGGTTTAGTTGTATGAATAAATTTCTGATTAATACATTGCTATTCAGCAAGAAGCAACGCGTAGCGTTGAAATTCATCAGACCATAGCATGCAAGTACAACATCTCTCGCTTCAAAGTTGATCAAACGCTTCGCAATCTTCACATATTCTGGTCGAGAATCTTGAAAACTACTTTGGCTCTCTGTTTAGCGGGTTTTCCATTTCAAATTTCGTATATTTTATCGAAAAAGTCCCTGTATTTTCGCTGTATATTTTCGCGAACTTGCGATCAAATTCTGTTCACATATGTTGTTGTTTTCAATAGCGTGGAGTAGCGATTCTCTGATTGGTTAATTCACGACTGTTGTGAGATTTTCCCGTGCAGGATAGCATGATCCATGCACTTGGGATGTTGCTCGACTTTCGGAAAGCGTAAAAATACACTCGCCTACGGCTCGTGTATTTTTACGCTTTCCGAAAGTCTCGCAACATCCCGCGTGCATGGATCACGCAATCCTGCACAGAAAACCATTCGGTATTCCTTTAGTGATGCATAGTCGAGGGTGGGTCTAATACAGGTGTATGGTGGCCGATCGCCGTAATTCATTTTTTTGTTAATATTTAAAATAAAATTTAATGTGAATGTCATTAAAATGTAATTTAATCGTCAATTTACAGTTACAACTTTGAACAGTCACTTTTCACATTGTTTAGCCTTGTCTAGATTCCGATGTGGGAAAACAGTACACCAAAAATGACGAACATGGGCCGGCGTGAGAGAGGCTAATTCAATCCCACCGGTAAAGCGGGTTCATGCCCCTAAATAGCGACAAGACAAAATCAAGTAATATCATTTATTAGTATAACTGCATTGGAGAATACATACAGTAGTATTAACGGTATGACTTCTGGTAGCGAGCTCGGGGTCCTGGACCACCAAACTTCTTCGCTTCACTACGTCTGGGATCAGCGACCAAGAGCGATCGATCGTATTGGGTTAGGATATCCTTGATTTCCTTCTTTGACGCCTCATCCACATCTGGTAATGAGTTAGGGAAATAGAAATTAGAGAGGTTAATTAAAGGCGCTGTTACACTGCGAACTTGTCTCGCAATTTTGCTGCGACACAAGTTAACATGCCTCGCAATACTTAATAAGTCTCCAAACATTTTTGTTGCAACAAGCAGTGCACAAAGTAGAACAACCGTCGTAATTCAACTACATGCTATTTACGAGTTAAACTATTTTTTTGCCGAGGCGCACAATAAATCACCTTAAATTCCTTCGGCATTCACGTCGGCAGTTGTAATTAAGGTAAGGTAAGGTAAGGTAAGGTAAGGTAAGGTATAAGGTAAGGTAAAGTAAAGTACATACGAAAGTTATTGTAAACGAATATTATAACGAGCGTAAATGATACGATATAACATCGAATGTTGATGTAATCCAGCGACATGCTGAATTTGAAGTGATGAATTCACCGAAATGAGAATTTTTTTCTGGCCTTTTCTTTCTAACATTGTAGCTATAGGCCGTGCTAATTTTAACCTACAGATTCGAATTTCAAGTTATGAAAGTGGTTCAGAGAACGAAAAAAACGAACAGACGCTGTAGTTTGTAAATTTAAGGTATAACAAGTGGAATTATCTCTGCATCATAAAGGCCCATCTACACGATACGACTAGTAGTATACGAATCTTATCCTGGTCACAAGATAGGAAAGTATAGCAGAAGTGTAACTTGAATCAGTGCCTTTGTTGTTTTACGTCCACGAAAATTTTAACTCGCTAACGCCAATCCACGCCATCCTAGCTAGTACAGCCGGAAGTTTTTATCAAGTTTTGGTAGGTACAAAGTGCCGGTTGTACTAGCCAGAATGACGTGATTGATGACGAATCGCTTGTAAAAACGCAGACAAATACTTGCTTGAGTGAGACTTCTGGTATACCTTCCTATTCTGTGTCCTGGCGTATGAAACGATTGCTGACGCCACTATTCCTGTTCATCAGCTAAAATGGCGAAGTTTGAAATGTGACATCTTTACACGTATTTATTCGAGTACATACGCCAGGATAAAAATCGTATGCGACTAGTCGTATCGTGGAGATGGGCCTTAACTTGCGTCGGCAATTGCCGAGTGCCGAGGCGAAATTCGAGGGTTGTCTAAGAGTCAGGTTCTACTTTTCGCAAGGATTGCGGCAACGCATTGTTAAGCATTGTACAGTGTAACATCCCTCTTGCAACTTGTCTCGCAATGTTTACTCACTGAATGTCTTCCTATTGGCTCTTGGCTGACAATTGGCGCCAAACGTAAGCACTCGCGGTTTTGACGCTACTTTTAACCAAGATCATTGTAAGTTGTACGAAACATATTCTTTGGTGTAACAACGCTTGCAGTGAAATTCTGAATTGATTTTCTTAACACCGCGAGACAAATTGCGTAGTGTAACAGCACTTTAAGATTTAACAGGTTCAGATTTGACTTCCACTACCGCTACCATCAAGGGACCATTAACCAATCAGATGCGTTTGATATATCCGATTAACCAATCCGAGGCGTATTAAGACAGTGAAAGTCAGTGGTAGTAGAAGTCAAATCTGAACCTCTATTATCTAAAGGTAGCAGACCGTCAACGCCGTGCCCTGTTCTATGGCAAAGGGGAATTCATAATACTGTTTTTCTCTACGGCTTAGCATTTGTGCATAGTGTAGTCTTGTAAACGTCTCCTTCGTTTCATACTGTACTGTATATAATGGTGAAAACACCAAGCTTTAATTTACGTTTAATTTCGGGTCGTATAATATGCGACTTTCATTAGGCTCCAATTCAGTGCACACGGAGAGCATTTAAACAAATCTCGCTTTCACCCCCATCTGCCTTTGGGTTAAAATCAACCTCGTACCCAGGTTCTCAATCTTCGCTCCCACCTCGCTTGACGTCCTGGACGAGTCCCACACGTCCTGGACGACTCCGCGGTGAAAATCGAAAACAATTCTTAGAGGTAAAAGGCGTTTGCTCTGAGGATTGGGCCACCGAAGCCCCATGATATACCTCGAGACTGAACTTTGAATGAACAAATTTAAACATGTATAACTGTAGTACACCACAAGACTTACATTTTTGGTAATAGGCAACCAAGGATTTGGCAATAGCTTGTCTGATGGCTAGAAAACAGAAGATCAACATCATCAATACATATTTTTTCAGTTGAATGAAAACAACACGCACCTACTTATAGCCGTCTTTTATCCCAAATTTTACAAATCAGCCGATTAATCAGAAAACAATTGATTAATTCGGCATTTTGAAATAATTGGCAGATTATTGCACGATATTGTTGAGGATAATCGGCAAAATAATCAGTTGTGAGAAGATCAACGTTAACTTTCACACTCCAATCCTAAATTTATTATTCTCACATCGTTCTGATGGTGTGTTTTGTGAACAGGGACCCCCTAGCCCTGGCCAGAAGGGTGCAGGGGGGGGGGGTACTATTTTTCACGATAAAGCAAAGAAATATTAGAGACAAAATGAGATACAATAATTTGAGTAATAACATGATGATAAGCGAACTGTGAACAACAATTACAATTCAATTCAAATACAGTAGTCAAGCAAGACTTTGCAGTAGTCAAGCAAGTTGATGGGCGGGCGGCACACATGACCGACATAACTCGGCAACAGGCACCCCTACCAGATCATGCTGGATTCATTCCTGTTTGTGAAACGTTTTGAAAGCTTATCTAGAATATGATATTGAGCGGGATTTAACTTTTTTTAACAAAAGTATTTTCATTAGTGTTTTTTTCTCTTTTTTTTCTTCCGTATCATATTTAATATTCAATTTAAACTAAAACATCCAAATTTGAACTTTTCAAGAGAACTATTCAAGGTCCAAATTATCGCAAAAAACAGCTTCTGGGTAATTCCATGGTGACTCATGTTCATTCTGAATCAAACTATCAAAGGAATTTTGATCTGGTGTAATAACTAAATTATATTTTTTATGTCACATTTTAGCATGCAGGTACAAATGATGGTAGAAGATGAAAGATGGTTTTAGAAGGTCCAGTGGAAGATTAGCGAAAGCTAAACTGGCATATTTCCTTGTAAATTAACCTTCTTTAAATAAAGTTTTAATAATAATAATAATGGTAAGGTACTGATTCACAGTAAAAATTATACATTTGATTGTAACATGATAAGATTGGTGGCCGCAAATTGGTGTGTGACTCCTGTTACGACAAAGTGACATGAGGTAACACCAACCTAACTACTTTTGAAATTCTTCGGGAACTATAGGAAGGAGAAACATACAATGTCTATCAAGTAACAGACTGTATGTTAGGCAAACTACCAACACAAAGAAATTTAATTTATTTTTATATTTTGGATTACAATAGTAAGGATTGCTTCATAATACATGTGACTCATGTTACGTGACTCATGTTACGTATAAAGTACATCTTCATATTTTAGTTCAGAATTGTTTGCAATAGCTTCTGAAAATTCTTGACAACTTTTTTTTCTTCAAAAAATGTCATTTTTTTCATTTTTTTTGTCATTTTTTTTCTTCAAAAAATTACCCTTCTACGACACCGACACCGAATTTTTAGAACAACAGAAAAAGCTAAATGCAGCATACAGCGACTTTGCTATACAGCATTTAGAAAATGATTGCTGTCATTTCACGCTGGATGAAAATGAAGTTGTCTAAAAACGTCATTTACATGAGTTCTAAATTAATTAAGCTCAGTTTTCACTCGCTTCTTTTACTTTTGAAGCCCTAAATTCGGCTAAAAACTCTTCAGTGTCAAAATTTAAAATTCCAAAAATCGTGCATGTTTGTTTAAAAAAAGCAACATATGTGATAAGTATTTATCAAACCTCAACAAATACACATTAACTGATACAGAAAACTAAATTCTATCCTTTTATTCAATTAGTTATCATAAGTATAAGTTTTTCTGTGCGTACACGCATGCGTCTACTCGCAAGTCGACAGTTGCTATGTCAACCTAACACATCGCATGCAGGACTTAGCACAAATTTCTGAGACATTCCAGTGAAATGGAAAAAAGGTGGATGCTAAGTCCTGGATATCAACCACCTGCACTTTTGCTAGACGGAATAATTGCAACTTTATTCACAATGTAAATACCTGTAGCGACATACTGCATGTATTTATATACTGTAACACAAACTGATTGTACAAAGACATTCATATTTCTGTAAAGGACAGAATTTTTATATATTTTAAAGTTTACGTTCATTTTGAATGTTGCATCAAACTTAAAGTATATACAGTACATGTATTGTGGTGAAATTGTGATGGGTCTTTAAAAAGTAAACTGTTTTCAAAACATTGTTTCGTGAATTTGATGTACTGGCTCCGCTTGATACACCGTTCTGGAAAGTGCTCACTATAGAGTCTCTTTTTCGTGTACACACGTAAAAACGCACAAGTTGTTACAAGTCTGCAAACAAGTTGTTACAAATCTGTTCACCAGCTGTCAACAAGTTGTCTTCGCACTGCTTGTTCCCAGTTGTTCCCAGTTGTTGTGACAAGTTTGGAACAAGCTGCATGTATTGTTAACAACTTGTAACAAGCTTGATGGCATTATGAGACTTGTCACAAGGTTATTCTAACAAGTCTGACACAGTCATGATAAACAAGAATGTTACAAGGTTGAGCTTCGCAACTTTTAGAAAATTTCTTCGCAATACTCGAAATCGCTTTGCAATTTGCGAAGCGTTAATTAAAAACCCGCAAGTTGGCAAAGGAACATTTTCTTACCATAGACCTGCGAGATATGACCACCACCTTTTACTCGCACTCGAATATCAACACCTTCAAATTTTTCTTTACCCAACAACAGAATTGGTTCTTCCAGCTACAGAAAAGAACATTTGAACATTATAACGTTTGGTGTCAAGTGAATTTGGAGCAATCTTTAATACAGTAACTGTAATTCACAGTTAAAGCACCTTCTAAGGGCCTTTTCAGACAGATGTATAATAGTTTTTCTTGTATAGTCCTCTAAAGACTAAAAAAGGCCAAAACATATTTCCAGCCAGGGCTCGAAGTAGAGAAAAAAATATGGTCTGCCAGTCAAAAATCTTTTGGCAAGTGAAATAAATTTTAGCCCGCCATTTTTATTCATTGAACTGCCAAAATGGCAATGTCTCTTATGAGTCATGTTGTAAAAATCAATGTTTTCATGACATGCATTTTTATTGTTTTAGGTATTTTACGACAGTAAACTTGGATTTACATTTCAAATATAAACGCATTTAGTCAAATAAATGATCTAGTGTATATGAGTTGTGGTAAGCAAATGAAATGAAATACAGTATATCTATAGAATTTCACCTGCTATTTTCTTACTTTGACAGTTCAAATTCGTTTTTGCCTGCCATTTCTAAAATATGGCCTGCTTTTGCCCAATGGCAGAATGGCAGCCTGCTATTTTGAGCCCTGTTTCCAGCAGTTACAAAATGTGGTGAAGAAAAAATGTGAAAAAAAGTTGATTAATTTAAGATTCCAAAATATACAGAGCTTTGCTCATCACAGGACGCTTTCCATTCAATGGCCTGACCGGTCAGACATGGATTTTTGTCTCTGTATCAATGGACAGATCTGGTCTATGTTTCTAAAATATCTAGTGAAAGTGGACCTCATTCTAATTTTATCAAAATTTTCCTGTTAGATACAGGGTCCAAAGCCCAAACGTTTTGTGTTTCATTCAACAATTTGACTTTTCTGGCTGTGTTAATGGAAAGTGCCACAAAGGATAAAAATGTTGTAAAAATCATGCCAAGTGTGTGTGTGCCATACCTGTAGATTTTATTTCTGTTGTGCTAACTCCATGATTTTTGGAGTTAGCCAGTAACTCCACAATTCATATTTCAACTCAGTTTTGAATTACACAAGTTACTCATTACACTCCAGGTGATCTCGTGTTCGTATTTTAGCCAATCAGCGCTCAGAAAGGGTTGTCCGAATAGAAATCCATTTTGATGTATTCAGTCAATTATATCTTTCGTTATTCTTTATGAAACTAGTTGGAATTTTGTAATTATGTTTGCTTATGAGAACTACTGTATAGCTCTGACAAAAATATGGAATAGAAATAAAGTATATTACAGGAGATATTCAGTTGTTTTAATCATAAAATGGATTTCTATTTGACAACTAGTGCCAGTACTTTTCCGCATATCAAGATCATCTGGACTCAAGTGCATATTTTGGTTTGGAGTTGGCCCTTTAGACTTTGGAGGTAGCAATGCTCAGGGCTTGAAATAGCGGGTTGCCAATGGCCAAAAGCAGGGCATATTTTAAAAATGGCAGGCAAAAACAAATTTAAACTGCCAAAGTAAAAAAAAGGCAGGTGAAATTCTATAGATATATTTAATTTCATTTGCTTACCACAACTCATATATACGGTACTAGATCAATTTAGTTGACTAAATACGTTTATACCAAGTTTACTGTAGTAAAATAGACAAGTTTTAAAAACAATAAAAATGCATATTATGAAAACATTGATTTTTACAATATGACTCATATGAGACATTGCCATTTTGGCAGTTCAATGACTAAAAATGGCAGGCTAAAATTTATTTCGCCTGCCAAAATATTTTAGACTGCCAGGCCATATTTTTTCTCTACTTCAAGCCCTGGCAACACTCCATTGCTTTCTAGTTTCTGCAGCCATGGTGTGTACTCCAAACGAAGTGCTTACCTTGAACTTCAATGTTTCTGGCTGGACAAGATGAAGAGGTTGACCATTCACTCTCACCATTCCATTACCTTCCTTACAATATGCCACTGCTGTTGCAGTTTTCTAAACAAATGTAAAAAATAGAACAGCCAGTGAGAATAGTTAACCCATTGAGTGGCAGCACTCTCCCCCTGACAAATAAAATTGTCTGGCATTAGACAGAGTAAACTAATACATAGTGATGTTTGTGATGTTACTCTGAGTGTAGTGATGCACCGATATGGAAATTCATAGATATTCCGACAACCGATATTGAAGGGCCAATATTTTGCTGATACCGATATTCTATGTCATTTCACAAAATTCAAAGACGACATCATGACAGTTCTACTTTAATACTTTTGAATTTAATTCAGTTGTTTCTAAATACTGAAAATATCAAATGAAATGCTGCAAATGCATGCAACAAACTAGTATATTGTACAGTGTTTCCACTTTTAGATTTTGATTTTCAATACTTTCAAATCAAAACTTATCAAAACTTTGATTTTTCGTAATTTTTAGGTGTAAAGAATTTGTTTAACTAGTTTCCTTAGATATCAGTAGTATCAACAACAAAATTACCAATACAGATATTTCTATTTTAGTACAGACAAGCTGATACCGATGCACCGATATGGATATCGGTGTATCACTACTAATAAAGTAGGGTGCATCTGGGTGCATTGCCACTTAAAGGGTTAACAGGGTGCATGGGCAAATAGTCTGATTAACCCATTGAGTGGCAGCACTCTTCCCTTGACGAGTAAAATCATCTGAGGTTAGACAGAGTAACCCAATAAAGTACGGCGCATTGCCACTTAAAGGGTTAATCCACCAAGTTCCAAATCATGCACCCAAATGTCCCCGATTTTATTATTTTCCTTTGTCTATCACCAGACAACTTTACTTGTCACAATTTTACTTATCAGGTTGTTTCTGATTGTTGGCGCTACCTGGACAGACAGACTAATCAAGATTATATTTTAGAAGAATCAATTGAATTAACAAGTACGATCATACTATAGTGGACCAGGAACTGTGTGACCCAGTTTTTCAATCTGTTGTATAAATCGTTACGGTAAACGTTCAAAACCTTCGAGATTTTGACTTGATAAACAAATAACTAGACACTAACCAGGCAGCGTAGACTGAGTTCGCTAAATGTTTTGCTTTAATTATTCGGGCACAGCAAAATGTGGCTATAGTATAGTATAGTGCCGTGTATAAATGAGGTGTAAATCTGAACAAAGCTGCATAGATAACTAAATGCGCAGTTTTCAAAAGTATTTCCTCACATTTGAATGCGATAGATAAGTTAAATGTCCCACAATATTTAGAATAAACATGCCGTGCCTCAATTTAACCTTTGCTGTACATCAAATTTTGCCATGCTGTGCGGGCCATTGGCATTGCAAAATATTGCAGCTACATGCAGTCGTGTATGCGCCATGTAAATGGGGCTTAAGTTAAGGTAACAAATTATCTGAATTGTTGCTAGGTTAATGCAGTTTCATCTCACTTAGTCATGGCTTCATAAATGCATGCTCGTGCTAAAAACAAATTAACATGTCTTTGTTTTTGGGCGATTCTCCCGTCACGTGTGTGACATTCAGACAACCATTTTGTTGTTGCTCAGAGCCTTAGGCTTTAGCAATAAGTGGGGCCTTGAAAATTATAAGATATTTATTGAGTCTTGGGTCAACTCTATTAGCACACACGGTTCGCGATTTTCTATGACTATGAATATTATATGATAGCCAGATAGGAGTATTACTCCTTTGCGCTTTGAGAAACTAAGCCAGCGTGTTAAATTTAGTCAACTTAACACTCATAATTAATCGTTTTAATTAGTCACATTCTTGAGAAGCTGAAGACTATTGTGATTGTGTTCACAACAAATTATAGACAAGACAATGTCTTTCTTATCATTTGCATATATATTTGCTGAATATTAATGATATGTATATATTATTTGCTATGAATACAGTAATCTTGCTTCTAAAGTCAAAAATGAAAAAACGAAGACTGTCAATCGATGCGGAATATTGCTTAGAATCAGGGTCTTAGCTAGAGGGCCGTGTTGGCCATGTTATCGCGGCCAAAAATAGAAAAACACGGCTAGATAAAATGAACGCGGCTTAATTAATTAAATAAGGCCGTGTAGGTTCATAAAATAAGGTGTTACTGCTTACAACAGACAGCATTTCTTCCCATTTTCGCTGTAAGAAAGTTTCTAAAATCTACTGTAATTGATGAAATTGGAAAAAGTGATCTGTGATGTTTTAATGGATAATGGGAACCATATGGTATTATATAAAATGGTTTTAAATACCCCCAAGAGTTGCTGAAAAAACTTAATATTTTAATGTCAGTACGCAATGTGAGCCTAGCCTTGTATTTGGTTGCAAAGCCTACAACAACCACAGGCATTGTCTGTTGTTGGCGAGCATAACTAGAAATACGCACACCCAGGTCATTTAGAAACACGCCCAAGATCTAAAATCCTAGCTAAGACCGTGCTTAGAATAATTATGTCAAGTTTCATTCCGATTGGACAAGTAAAGACGGAGCGTTAGGGTTTTTTCAAAGACCCCCCCCCCCTACTAAACTTCATTTTGTCTTTATACGGGATCCGAGCTCGCCTAAGTGAGATCCTGCCTCCACTGATCCAATATCTTGGATGACCGGACCATGGGAATTTTTCATATAAACACAGTTACTTGGGCTGGCTCACCTAAGCGGGATAAGTGTTATTGCTCTGTTTATGCGAATACACTGTTGTATTAAAATAAGATTTTGTCAACAGATTTAAATCTTAAAAGGCCTCTGTGAACGATTCTGTGGGTTCGAACCTGGAATATTGCTCGCGAAAGTGCAAATTTCAGGTTCGTGAGAAAATATATTTATATTATACTATTTATAGCGGCGAGAAACACAGAGTAAAATTGGTGTCGGCAAAGCGAGTTAGCTCATGTACTCAGGCTGGCTCGCCTCCATATAAACAGCCCTTTACTTGGCAAAAATATGATGTCGATAATATCATTTTCGATTTGCGAGGACTGGAACTGGTTTGCCGCATATATATTTCCAAAAAGGCTTCGGTGCTAGCTATCCACAGGAATAATGTCAACAAATTGTAGAATTACCTCAGAAATTTGAAGAGGCAAACCAGAAAATTCTTCATTTGCCTCACTATTCGCTCTGAAGGCTCAATTATTAGGAAGAATGGACTATAGTTGGTGGTGCAGGCATTAAGTGTAATGCATTGGTCTACAATCCTGTGAATAACTATCCGAATTCTATTTTAAATGTATTTATTATTTTATTTCAACACGTGTTCTTGTGCTCTAAACCTTACACATCAACACTGACCTTACGACCGAATACTTGTACTGATTTCGACATTTTCTACAAAAAAATATACTCTGTAAGCTAATTGACAAAATGGCAGCAAAGAAAACACAATAAAAGTACAAAATCTAGCGAAAAATCGGCATTTTTTACCAACCTAATCAAACTTTCCTACAAGAAGTTTTTACGTTCAAAGAGAAAGACCACTGCGCATGCGTGCCCGATGTTGCACACGATGTAAAATGCATACATCAAAATAACAATTACCTCTCCGATACGAATCCGAACTTGCCAAAATAACCTTTTGACGTATCCGTTGGGCAAACGATCAGAAGATTCGAACAATTTGCATTTTGTTCTAATAGGAAAATGTCTGGCAAATTTTATATTCTTGGGTTTATTTGTTTGGTAGTTGGCATAGCTGTTTATCAATATCGAAAGCAAGCTCCACAAAGTGTTGAAGAAAGGACGGCAATCGCATTGAGGAAAATTATAGGAAATCGAGCAAGCAGTTATAGGAAAATTGCAGTTGGGTATGTATGTAATTGTATTTAAAATATAATATGTTGCTCAATGCTCAGCTCATTTGCTCGTCTCGATTAATTAGTGCATTAAGACTGGTTTGTGTGGTTATATTGAGAACAAATTTACTTGCCCTAAATAAAAATTTTCTGTGTGTTGGTGTTATGTACTCAGGTGAATATGATGTTTGTGATGTTACTCTGAGTGTATATCCACACTGGGCAAGCTTGAAAAGTATGCCTGGCCCAGGCCTTAAAATATCGGTCGGTCACGGACATTGTCCGACCCATTCGTGAAATTGTCCGACGTAGAGAGGAAACCACCGGACATTCTGTCCGACCAAAGTGAAACTGAGGTTTATTGTTTGTCCGACCCGAGTGTATTGGCGTCCGGCCTAACTGTAGCTTTGTCCGACGTAAATCAAAATGTATCCTAGCCCACGACTAGAGGCTTGTAAGTTAAATGGAAAGTCAGAGTACTATTGTATAAAAGTTGAACTGGAAATGTTGTTTTAACGTAGTCAAGCGCGGGGCGGCGAGCGAAATGGTGAAGTGGAAAACGGACTTAAGTTGTCGAAGTCTTTTTTAATACTGCTTTTCTGGCAAGCAAGTTAATTTTGGCTTGAAAATAAGTATGAAAGAAACAAATTATTTAATATATTTACAACATTTACCGTTAATTCATTTGTGTCATTCAGACTTATTTCCGAGTCAAAACTGAACTGAAGGTCACCGGACATATGTCCGACCCAAACTCAACGTCACCGGACATTTTGTCAGACGGCCCTGGAAAAGATATTTTAAGGCCTGCTGGCCACGGTGGGAATCGAACCTACGACCTTTGGAGTACTAGCCCAATGCTCTGCCAACTGAGCTACGCGGTCAGGTCAGGTCAGTTTGAGTATGTGATATTTCGGAACCGAGTCTAGTTCCTTCGATTTCCATGCAGGTTTTTGAACAACACCAAGGAGCCAGTTGCCCAAAATGTCCATATGACATATTCAAGGTTTGACTACATCACAGGTGTTCATTGTGGGTGATGTCTATACAGTCATAATCACTTAATAATATCCTAACAATCACCCTAACTCCCGCCGAACGCCACATAAAACGTCATATTGATGTTTTTGTCTAACATGATATTAGTCAAATGTTTACTCCATTCTGATTGGCTAAAGACCATAGAAAAACAACTTTATTGTTTTACAAACTTGCAGGTTACAATATAAAGTTATAAAGACACTGAGTCGAAAAAATGGGAATGATGAGTTATGATCATCACATGATACACATGATTTTTATTTTATTGGTTATTACATCCAGTTCCGGAAAGTACGTCACTTTGGCTATTGAGCCTCGTTTTCATGTATATGACATTAGTTAAGATCTGATGTCTCAATCATGAAGGGTCTATAGCCAAGGTGACTTACTTTCCAGAAGGGCATATTTTCTGCAATGTCATATCAACTGTCAATGGAGATAATTATTAATGAGATAGTGCTGTGCAAACTCCATTTTTTTTCACCTCCAGCTCGGGCGCCAGCCAAAAAAACTCCGGCTCAACTCCGGTAATTGACTTCTGCAAATTCCTTACTGTTCAAGAAATTACTTCCTTGAAAATTCCTTTGTTCTAAACTATGGCGTCATATCACCGCCAATATTCATGTATATCATGCTTTCGACATTGAAGTTAAATAGGACATTCAGCACCTACGTGCTTTCGACATTGAAGATAAATCTGACATTGAACATGCAGAACATTCAACATATTTTCGACATTGAAGTTAAATAGGACATTCAACACCTACGTGCTTTCGACATTGAAGATAAATCTGGCATTGAACATGCAGAACATTTAACATATTTTCGACATTGAAGTTAAATATGACATTGAACACCTATGTGTTTTTGACATTGAAGTTAAACCGGACATTGAACATGCCGCGCATTTAGCACCCATCACAACTTCAACGTTCAAAATATGTTGAAAAAAATTACCACATGTTGAATATTGGCGGAGTTGAACGATAGCGTCAAATCTCCGCCAATATTAATTAAGCTAACACAAGATAACCCCCCGGCCAAATTCATTCGTGTCCAGACCTCTAGAACATATCACATGACGCAAGCCGAGGATCGAATTCGCCGCATCTTGTTGCTGTATTGGAGGCCGTATATTCACCATAATATTCGCGTATATTCGCTTGTTTGTCTTAAATTAATTGACTTTTATAGCGCAGATTGAATTGCTAGAGACGCAAAAATTATATTTTAAAAATTCCTAATAATCGCATTATAAATAATCGATACATTTTATTTAGAGTGTAATTGCAAAAACAATGCGTGCGTCAAACTGAACTTTTGTTGCGGCAGAAAGGCAGATGGTTTTCTTTATATATTAAATCGTGAGGCCATGTGGTGTAATTTGATAGTACTTGTCAATTTAGCATAATTTTGCGCACTTTTCTAAGTTCCGGATCCGTGAGCCTTTAATAATTTTATTTGTCATTTACTTATACAACAATTCAAAAAAATCCTACCTGTTTACAAAATTTTTGTGTTACACACTTAATAGGTGTCTTCTTACTAATTCAATAACTGTTACACAATAAAGATTTTTGCTGTCAATTGCACTAGAATTAGCGTTTTAATAATAGCACATAATAGTTTCGTGAGAAAATTTATTTATCTTATACCATAAACTTTTGATTATGATTACGGGCTAGTATATCGAATGGTGTGAACGTTAGTAATGTGACGGGGTCATAGACGTCGGGCTTATATTCGGGGACTTATAATCGGAAGTTTATGGTATAAGATAAATAAATTTTTTCACGAAACTATTCTCCTAGTTGAAAAATTAAAAGGATGTACTATTATTAAAATGCTAATTCTAGCTAGTGCAATTGACAGCAAAAATCTCTATTGTGTAACAGTTATTGAATTAATAAGAAGACACCTATTACGGTAATTAAGTATGTAACACAAAAGTTTGTAAACAGTAGGATTTTTTGTAAACAGTTGTATAAGTAAATGACAAATAAAGTTAAAAAAGGCTCACGGATCCGGAAAGAAAAGTGCTCAAAATTATGCTAAATTGACAAGTACTATCACATTACACCACAACGATTTAATATACTAGGTTACCCACAGGGCAGTAATGCTGCCTTTGACAGCAAAAGACAAACTACAGGGTGTTGAACGAGTCCTTCAGAAACATCCTATTATTGTTATCCTAGCCTGCGTAGCGGCTCTCAGAGAAAGTAGACTTTCTCTGATAGCCGCTACGCAGGCTATTGTTATCCTTGTTAACCCATTTATTGACAGCACGGCCCTACCACTGACTGAGTATTAAAAATCGTCTGGCTTTGGACAGGGTAAATACTAAAGTCATTACTGTGATGATGGATTAACAAGAGCCATTGGCAGATAGGTTTGTTAACCCATTTACTGGCAGTACCCTGTACCACCGACGAGTAAAATTTTCTTTCCGTCCGTCATTCATCCGTCCGTCCGGATCCGCGTTTTATCCTAACTCGTTTTTAAAACACAAAAGTGCGGTTCGTCATGATCAACATTTTCAAAAGCGACCAATTAGACCAGGGGTTAAAGGGCAATGACAATGACATGCAGGTGACATTTAACATTGCATCTCACTAATTAAAATTTGCGTGTTTACTAATAATGTTTATCAAAGAAAGCAAAAATATATACAAGACAATCTCACATGTGAAATTTTTTCACTTACGTACTGCCTTGTGATGCAGTACAAGTATAAACACCAAATGACAAAGCATTTGTAAATACTAAAACATAATTAAATCATACGGCACATTCAAGATTTTAATATCGTATTTCAGCCGCGCGTTTATACTGCTTGGCGCATTCGCTGCGTTATATTTATTATTTATTTATATACACAGAAAAGCATGTCATTGTCTTTGCGGACCATAGGCAAAAAGCATTCGTCAACCACATACCAAATTTAAGCAATCGTTAAATCATATACATGTCATGGAAAGAATATGAAAATAATGTTGAATGAAAGCTAGCATCGCGTATAATGTTAAAAGCACCGCACTCGAACCACTGCGTATAACTGCAAAAGCACCGCGTATTATATAAATGGTGAAAGCACCGCGTATAATGCTGGAACCACAGCGTATAATGCGGGAACCACCGCGTATAATGGCGAAAGCACCGTGTATAATGCCGAAAGCACCGCCGTATAATGCTAAAAGCACCCAACAAAATGCCGTTTGATCACTTTAAGCCAGCTATGGCTTTCCATAAAAGAAGACTAGACCAAAGATGAAAGATGATCACATTGCCTGTTTGCCTTATGCTTGACCGCGCTGCACCACGGTTAAAATTCACTGGTACCGTCATGCAATGCGCCAAATAGAAAATTTTGATATCGACCCACAAAACAAAATTAGGATCTGCTGCCTTGCTCGCTCGCTTCAGGCTCGCTCGCTGCGGCAGCAATAAAGAAAACCATCTGCCTTTCTGTCGCAGCAAAAGTTCACGTTGACGCACGCATTGTTTTTGCCAGTACACTCTAAATATTAAAATGTATCGATTATCTATAATGCGATTATTAGGAATTTTAAAATATAATCTAATAAATAAAATAATATCAATTTTTATACATTTAATAACAGCTGTTGACTGCATGTTGTCTCAATCGCTCAGCAACTTCAAACAGAGCATCTGCCTGCATCTCTTGCGGAAATTATTGCCTCTCGGTTCATTCTACCAGATTTTGCGTTTTTTGCGTCTCTAGCAATTCAATCTGCGCTATAAAAGTCAATTAATTTAAGACAATCAAGCGAATATACGCGAATATTATGGTGAATATACGGCCTTCAATACAGCGACAAGATGTGGCGAATTCGATCCTCGGCTTGCGTCATGTGATATGTTCTAGAGGTCTGGACACGAATGAATTCGGCCGGGGGGTTATCTTGTGTTAGCTTAATTAATATTGGCGGAGATTTGACGCTATCGTTCAACTCCGCCAATATTCAACATGTGGTAATTTTTTTCAACATATTTTGAACGTTGAAGTTGTGATGGTTGCTAAATTCGCGGCATGTTCAATGTCCGGTTTAACTTCAATGTCAAAAACACGTGGGTGTTCAATGTCATATTTAACTTCAATGTCGAAAATATGTTGAATGTTTTGCATGTTCAATGCCAGATTTATCTTCAATGTCGAAAGCACGTAGGTGTTGAATGTCCTATTTAACTTCAATGTCGAAAATATGTTGAATGTTCTGCATGTTCAATGTCAGATTTATCTTCAATGTCGAAAGCACGTAGGTGCTGAATGTCCTATTTAACTTCAATGTCGAAAGCATGATATACATGAATATTGGCGGTGATATGACGCCATACTAAACAAAGACAAAGGACTTTGTGAAAGTCTAACTAATAATATCAAGGTAACTTACAGTAGTTACTTTCTAGAAGGACATATTTTCTTTGATAATCTGACTGTCAAATATAGTTATTAATTATTATTAATAAGATAATTATTAATGAAAATAACAATGAGTTTGGTATTGGTATATTATGCTAATTATATGAGTGCAATTATGGTAAAAATATTTTCATCATAATAATAATTATAAAAGCATAAAATTTAAACACAATAATAGTATCACAGCATATTAGCTAGCAAATGTGGTTGTGTGACTAATACTTAATACAATTATAACTAAGGGACCGGTCATTATTTGTGGTAGGGGATGGCACCGAAGAGAAATGTTTTTCGTGGCAAAAATTTTGCTGACCCAACCATTAAAAAGACAAAAAATTGATTACCCAACCTCTCAAATATAAATTGAAAAATAATTACCCACTCCTGGCCAAAAACTTTACAAAAGGATACCATTCAGTTGTCACACATGTCTTTTACCACTTCTATGACATGAGTTTGATAACGGCTTGTGAAATTTTCTGCAGTCTAAAGTTTCATGTTGTCTGCACAATCATGCACTTTCTTTGGAAACACCATTTGTTTTGTCAAAATGACCATAATGACTGTGATTCTGAGAGATAGTGACTCTGATTGATTCACGTATTGTATTGACAAATGACTGTTGACATTGCTTTTCAGTCTCCAATATTTCAGTGGGTCATGCTTTGGAAATGACAATAAATTTTTATTACCCAACCCTTGAGTTGTTTTGTTTTTCATTTACCCAACATTTTACTTACTCAAAATTTTGAGTACCCAACCTTTTTCTCTTCGGTGCCACCCCCCGCCATAAATAATGACCGGTCCCTAACAGGTTTTTTTCAGGATTTTCTCTTGGGTCCGTTTTTGCAGAGAAGGTTGAGTTTAGCTGAATAGCTGGGGGTGTGGGGCAGCTGTGGGAGGCTGACACCTGTACCCAATAACTGTAGTTGAGACGCAATGTGTTAAAGCAGACCGCTATAAACTGGATAAAGATGGCAAATGCGTTGTTTTTCTTGTGTTGTGAAATGAATTCCAGCCATTTTTATCTGATTGTTGGGTTTCCAACTGAAAACTAATTTCCACAAGTTACGAATTTAACTCAAACAACTTACTGCACTGAAACTTTGGTGAGAAGATTGAGTTTCAAAACTCAATTCAAGATTGAGTTTTTGGGGCCGTTTTACGGTCCTAAAAAATCCCTGAAAAAACCCCTGAACTAACTAATAATAAAATGGGGGCTAATTTGACTAACTATTAATATTTTGCATAATTACGTACAGCAGAAATCATATGATGACGTAAATGGATTTCTGGAATGAAATCTACATACTACTTAATATACAGTAATGGTACTTTTTATGTACATTGATTTAATAATATGACTAGTTATCTAATTCCATACAAGATACTGTATCGGTGACTAAATTTTTCGAATGCTACGGTACAGGCGATATAACCGCATTATTTCAAGGATATATCTAGCTGCAATCACTGATAAATCCTGAAATGAAGGCAAATAATCTTACAACAAACTAAACAATTATCATTTGTTTCAATTTGGTAAAAAATGGAATTTCATGAGGTGAAAGATAGAATTTTCCATTCCTCTACAAGAACAAATCTGCATTTTGAAAGCAGATAAGTGTAATTCGTTGAACAAGAGAGTAAGAGACGCGAACTGTTGTCAAAATGCATTCACCGAAAGAGTTTCTTGGCGGGAAAATTTGAACGTACGCAAGATCGAACACCACGCATGAAGTCCAACAGAAAACGTCGCCATCAAACAAAAAGGATTTTTTTTAATTGTTTAACAATCATATACTGTATAAAGATCGATGGTAAGGAGAACAGAACATAAGTCCCTTATTAAATCCCACCAAAACATAACAAGACAAAGATTACCTTGTACACATACAAAACCACAGAGGGGTAAATCCAAATTAAGATTTCGAAAACGCACCAAAGTGTAGACTTATCAACCTGGCTGAAAGCATATTAGGGTGTGTAAGTAACTCAGAAGATTTTAGAGAACATAAACGACACAACGAAAAGATACGAAAAGCGTGATCAACAGTTTATGCACTGGGTGCGATAATTCGCGTACTAGTATGTACCGGAGGTACGCCAATATTACGGCCTGGTACTTATTTGTTTTCAGCCACGTACCACATAGGTACGCGGAACTACTGTTATATGCGTACTTACACATGACCTTTCCTAGCCCAAAGTATTCAATATCGTAATTTAGTTGGTATATCGTGTGCCTGAGATGTCTTGGCATGAAACATGATTGGAATGATGGGGCTATGAAACGTTGGAGTCGATTGTTTGTATATGCATTTGTGCTTCTTGTTCTAACTCGTAGTTTGAAGATATATACTTTTCAGAAACCTCTACTTTATGAACTTTATTTTAATGACTAAGTATACATTGAGTATTGAGTTTGTACTAGAGCAAGTACGCGGCAATAATCATTATATCGGCAATAAGCATACCAGTCAGGTACGACTAAAAATCTTGAATTATCGCACCCTGGTTTATGCCTATATAATAACTTACAGGATAGAACATTGCCATTGGGGAGGCGCATACTTCAATAAATAAATACATTAGTGAAATAGACAAATTCATAAATCGTGTTCGCAGAAACTTTTGCAAGTTTTCTTGCACTTCCGGCATCGTGTATCACAGGGCCTATGAATGTCGCACGTGGCCGAGAGACCCTGGGAACGAGGATGCAATCTTACAAGAGAAGAACGGTGACTCCCAATTAGGTCTGTATACCGAGATGATGGTTTAGGAGCCTTCTATATACATGCAACTTAAACGGACGGGCATCTGTCCCAACACGGAAAAAATTACAAAGATTTTTAAAACTCTAGGATTACAAATAACCATTCAAGCTATAACCTTAAAGAAGTGAATCCCTTTGACGTGACCCTCGACCTAAGAACAGGCACATATAAATCGTATAGAAAACCTGAGACCACCCATTTTAGATCAACACAAGCTCCAACCACCCACCAAACATCATTAGACAGCACTGGCGAAATATCGGGGAAATAATTAGCGAGATAAAGAAATATTTGACAGGCAGCGCCGTGCTACAACGACGCCCTTAAGGCTACCGGGTATAAGGAAAAAGTCAAGTACGAACCGTAAGCAACAATCAACCACGGCAACACTAAACGAACACGGAAAATAATCTGGTTCAACCCACTTTTCAGTATGAACGTCAAAACTAACAGCAAAAATCTTCCTACACCACTGGTATACATGTCATAGACAAACACTCCCCCAGGCCCAGAGCACAAATTACACAAGGAATAACTTCAAGGGGTTCAGTTATAGACTTATAGTTGCATGCCCAATGCATCCAGTATAATTAATTCCCACAACAGAAAGATATTGGAATGCCAACCTAACAACACGACCCCGGATTACAACTGCAGAGATCAAGATTCCTGTCTCCTTGGAGGAGAATGCCAAATCGGTGACAAAGCATGGGTGACAAAGCATGGGTGACAAACAACAAAAACTGCGACTTTTCCAGTGGATTGACATACAAAATACACAAAACACACGCATTATGTATGTGCGTGCACCTAATATACAATATTTCATAGCATTGTCTACTTTCCAAACCCTGTTGAAGATATAAGAAATCCATTAAATACATAATGTTTATAAGTAAGCCACAAACGAGAGATCCCAGACGCATGTATAGAGATCCTATTAACCCTATCCCGAAATTAAAATAAATCCGGAATAAATCACGTAAAATTAAACAAAAGTTAGAAAGTAACGAAATACTTCGCCACAAAATGAAAATAACGAAGTAAAACGTTACTTCTTAAAACGACTTCGTTCCTTTTACTTTGTTTACATCCTGACTTCTCAAAAATAGTACTCAAGTACAGTAACGAAGTACATTTGCTTCGTTACTTGACACCATTGAGAACATGCAGCATAGCTAATCACTTTACCGATAGTCATGGTGTGGACCATTCAAGTCTGCAATTTATGTTGATTGATCAACACCATGATGTTAGGAATCGAGAGAACTTTTGGATAGGCACTTTACTTACAAACCTTATAGGGGTTTGAATGGTAGCTATGGTTTTGTTCAACAATTTTGGTATTAATTAATTCATATAGACCTATGCACGTTAGTAAGTATAAATAGACATATTATTCTGTAGTTAGACTATATTTCTGACGACGATTGTGGCATGCAGCCGAAAATTTAGTTTACATTTTTAATAAAAATGTTACTTTGAGTCGTGGTGGACTGTTTAATTTGTTCTATATATATAGGATATTACGCGGTTGCGCGGAGATATGGATTTTATAATATGTTCGAGTGGTGAGATATCGTTCTTGCCACGAGAACATATAAAATCCATATGTTGTCCCTTTCCGTGCAATGTTCTGTTTATTATATGGAAATATGGACTTATATTTATACTGTATAGTGACACAAATACGCAACAACTAACCTTTAAATAAAAACAGTCGAAAACACAACAATGTCAATGGCTTTAATAAAATTAGCCTATATATATATATATATATATATATATATATATATATATATATATATATATATATATATATATATATATATATATATATATATATATATAGTTTAAGAAATACTTTGTCGTTCAAAACCGAGAAAGCATAGTTCTTTTTTCTCAGATAACGGTCAATGCTTTGGACAATTGCTCGGAGAGACGACGACTCGTACTCTTTGCCGTTTTGCTTTCGTATACAGACAAAATGAAATTCTTTATAATCGGCTGAAGTTCTTTCGGGGGAATTCCTGTATCTCTCTGTCCTCAGAACTGTTGTAAATTGCATGGAATTCCTTGAAAATAGTGATATCGCGTATATCATCTTTTTTGTTGTGTTTTCGTTTTCTTGTTTGTCACAAAACTTAATAATGTCGTCCTCGCTTAAAGATGCTGTAAAGTCCGTTCTGCGCATATATTCTGCGCATCAACACATTCCATCAGTGGGGGAGCAACCTTTGGAATGTTGTTAATATTTCGCACTTGTAAAACAGCGAAAAAGACGGGAAATGTTATGTCACGTGATATATGGAAAATACGCCACTCAAGTCCCGGATGTAGTGGCGTATGAGTACTGCGAGTGTTTTTACTGTTTTAGTTCCCAACAAAAAACCCTTATCTATATATAGTAATATAAATATATACTGTATATTCTACAGCTCACTGGTACAGTACGTAATTATAACTCTTTCAGTTAAAACTACCACATTTCTATGCTTTATAGGACAAATGCAAACATTGATTTGATCATTTCTGGTGTTGCTTTACTCCGTGAGCTTGGTGTTACCGAACAAGGTGTCGGCAAAGAATGTAGTGAAGTCAATTCATTGGCTGTCTTGGAGGAATGTTTCTCGTATTTTATGGCCAAGGGAGCTGCCGCAGAAAGAGCAATCACCACTCAGGAGTTAAACGCTGAAATTGTTGCCGCAACATCGCGACTATCAGATTCACAGGTAACAGGATACGATATGTCATCATCCGTATTGTTGAAATAGAAATAATTTTACCGGTACGTGTTTCTATATACAGTTATAGAAACACGCTTGGGAGTTTGGGAGAACGAGAAATGACAAAAAAGTCCAATATTATTTTTTCCTAATCTATTAAGTCTATTGAGTCTATAACTGTCGATAGGTATACTAAGATGAGTTCCTTGTATCACGTTTAACATTTTTATCGTCTATATGACACCAGCTTGGTAGAAGATTGATTTTTTTAAGAAATCAGTTTCTGGTCTGGGTTGTAAGACATGCAGTTAGTTTTCTTCTCAATTTATAATAACTCATGTGCATGGTATTTTTCTAAATAAGAATAAAGTGGGATAGGTATAAATAACCTCGTAGTTACAGTTATGAGCAAGAGTTATCAGCCTATCAAGGTAAATATCTTTAAGTGATTCCTACTTTGTTTGAGAGAAAACGTCTACTGTCGGCGTTTTCTGAATTCAACCCGTAAATAAGTTTGGCGACTCGTATATACATGTTTTTTTTCCAGTACCATTGAATCCAATTAATATTGATTTGTTATGATTTTTTATACTTTAATTTTTAATTAATTTCAACAAGGCAATTTTTTCTCCCACACTATAAATGTTAGTCAGCGGTGTAATAAAAAAAATGAAACTCAAATATTTGGTGTGGAAACAATTATCGAAACGAAAGTGGAAACACTATGTTTACCGATTTCCCGCGTTTTTTCATAGTTGTTTTCTCACTTTTCTGGCATTTCTGCAAGATTTATTAATTAAATTATCGTGTTCCGTAACTTCCGTTGACCAGTCAGTAGCACGCTGTGGATTTCAGAATCAGTGTTAAAAATGTCGCTTCCTGTTTCTGCATGTTTTGAGTCTTTTGACGAGAGGATACATTAGTAAAAAAAATTAAGATGACCATCGGTTTTGCCGATTAATCGGCCGATGGTGGGTAAATATTGGCTGTTAACAATCGGTATCGGTAATCGGCTTTTTTTAGACATCGGCTCATCTTTAAAAAACATATACTTTATTCATGCTCATTCAATTATTAACGTTGCGCATGCCCTCTGAAGGTCAAAACTCACAATCGCAAAACCTTGACATCATGATTGTCGTGTTTATACCTGTTTCTTAATGGAAGTTGTTTGTTATTGTAGCATTTTGCAAAGCACGTCTTTCAATTCCACGCCCCCGTTCATACCAGGGGCGGATTGGCAGTTTCTGGGCCTCAGTCAGGAATAAAATCTGGCCCATGCATGTATATGAGCTGGTGTATATAAAATAATAAAGAATATTTAGTATTATAGATTTGAAAATACAATAAAGTCTTTAAAACAAACGAATCATATTGCACACGTCCGTTTGACCACTGTACTAGCTTTGGATGGCAAACTAAGGGACCGGTCATTATTTATGGCAGGGGTGGGGGCCGAAGAGAAAAGGGTGGGGTAACTGAAAAATAATAGTTGCTTTAGGTGGGGTGGCCAAAAAATCCTTGCATGCAGAGGTGGAGTAAAAAAAATAACCTTACTTTAATCACACACAATACAATATATACTACAATCAGTGTTTAATATGTGATTATTCTAATTTTTTAATAAAATATTATTGCTTTCCAAAATGTTGACAGAAACACCCCCCTCAACCCACCCGTAAAGGGTCATTTTTATATTCATTTACACACAAAATCTCCAAAGACTCCAATTACCAGACAAAATATATACTGCCTATATATAGGGGCTGTTGAAGATCAATTATATGGTGCAACTGCAAGCCAACCCCAGGGTACCCAAGCTGGCCCAGTTTTGGCAAGATCCTGCCTTTGTTGTTATTTCTTACTAAAGTTCACCTTGTGTATATATGTGTAAAGAGCGGACCCAGCTATAGCTAAGCGAGATCCCGCCCCTTTAGCCCGAGATCTTGCTTCAGGAAAAGTGACCTTAAGTCTGTAGCCCCTAACCCCGGGCATCCAGCATCACCCCCATATAAACATCCTCTCATTACATATCTCAAAAAGTATATGTACAGTCTATTAAATTTTCAGGATTTAATTTTTGGGCATCTACACTTGATACGTACTGCATAACTAATATTTATATCCAGTATGTGCTTGTAAACCATGTGGACAATTCAGGTAGCAAATCATGAAATATGCCCCATGCCCCTTGTGAATGTGGAGAATCATTCCAATGGCTAGTTCACAATAGACTCTAGCCTTTGGCAACTAGCTGTTTTTTCTTTACTAGCAGATCATGTATACATGGATAAAATAAGAGAAATCTATTTACCCGTTTTACAGATTAATTTAATTGTGTATATAATCATACTTGGAATTCGGGTGAATATCTTTATCTTCACACTGTATAACAGCAACTTTTTCTCATTAATTTACAGTAACTTTCTAAATTCAGATATTCTCACATGGGACAAATACTTTAGTATCGTTGTATTGTTTACGAATTAAAATATTAAATTGATTTCATAAACTTCAAGAATTCCTTGGGAATTCTTAAGGAATTCCTCTAAAATTCCGTGATATGATAATACATGTGATTGTCTATAGTATTAAAGGAATATTAAAGGAATTTCAGAGGAAATTTAGAATTTAGATAGTTGCAATCATGGGTGAGCACATATTTTGTGAAACTGTTTCAAAATAAAATTGCATTTTAATTAATAAAGAAATGCAAGAATGTGAAAGAAACCAAATTATATACAGTGAAACTTTAAAGTGGGAAAGAGATAGGGTGGTGAAATACGGTCAGTGTTCTAAAATATTGAAGCATATGGTTATTAATATATGTTTTAATATGGGACTAGCGTTGCACTAGCTATCTCGTGAAAAGGGAATATATAGCGTTGAATACAAACTATAAAAACCCATTCATATTTCAATTTTACAAGTAGACAAATTTTAAGCCTTCAGATAACTATAATTCTTTATATAGTACCTTGCTATTGTAGGGGTAACCCATAATATAAAGGCATGACTGTTAGTGTTCTTTAATTAGCCTACTCCACAAGAAATAAGGGGCAAGGGATATTGGTGAACAAGTATTACCAATCAATCCTATTCCCTTTTAATTATAATGTCCACTGTGGTCAAAGCACCCTATAATAATTATTATTTACTCTCTAACAGCAGATGATCTTACTCATCCAGGGCAATTTTGTACCTTGATGAGTAATACGCATACAAAATACTAAACTGTTTCATTACATATTTTATGTCTGAATCTTTGACATTGCAACAAAATAGGTTTGGGTGGGGTAAAAAAATTTTCTGGCATTCCACCGGTGGGGTAGCTAGAAATTTTGTTTCGAAAAAGGTGGGGTAATGATTTTTTCCGGCTTCATTATACTTTCTCTTCGGCCCCCACCCCTGCCATAAATAATGACCGGTCCCTAAACGTCAATAATTTGTTTTTATTGCATATTGTTTTTAGCTGCAGCGTAGTGCCCTTTTCAATTAATATACTGTAGTCAAATAATCGCCAGCACTATATGAATAATTCAAGATTTTTCTGCGTTAGCGAGGATCGTATATATAGCCTTGCATCATTCAATTTCCTTTTCGGAAAGAATATTTCCTAAGACACGCCGCCATGTTTTCGGGACAAATTTTTTGCTAACAAATTGGTGGTCGGAAAGGGCCAATCTTGTTCCACGAATCATCATAGCTCAGCGAAAGAAAATACAGGGTGTATAAAAAATTGCATAGTTCGAAAATATTCATTAAACTGCAAATTTTGTGCTGTAGTTCGAGTCTGTCCTCCTTTTAGTAATTCGATCCAGGCCCCCAAAGCCTAGTCCGCTCCTGATTCATACTCGATTACATGTGTGCGTCGATTGTGCTTTTCACGCTTAGTGACCAAGTTTTTGCGGTTTGAATTTTGACTTTGAGAGGACAACCTTACAATTCCATTACCTAGTTTATACATCCAATGACATTTTCCAACTGAATAATTTCTATTAGCATTTTCTAGGTGGCAATGCTGCTTTAGTGGGCTTAAAGTTTACGAAACTGCTTCCGGAAGGACAGGTTAGTAAATCTGAGTTTTAATACTTTTTCAGAAACTTCATCTATATATGATTAATACTTTTTGATGTCCCGTTCGAGGAATAAAGCCCTATCAGTACGTATGCTCATATATGGTGAACTTGAAATATTTTTTCGCTTCTCAGAGAACTGCTATTTCCCAGAAGTTGAGCTGTAAGTTTTCGCTAGGCAAAGTTATTCTATCAAAATTTGTCAACACATATACTTCGTTTCTTCGTAATACTTCTCTGTGAAAAATAGGTACGCGACGCGTACATGTATCTGCGAAAAAACTTGATTTACATTTTGTATTTTCTTGAAAGAAACTGAATAATGAAGATGACATGGGACAATTGAAATATTTCATCACTTATTATAATAGCAGATAAGATTTAAAACAGGGCTGTACACAGCGGAGAGGGAGGCAGGGCAAGTGCTCCCCCCCCCCTCCCACCCCCGCACCGAGAAAATTTAACTAACTTTATAATGTGATTATGATTGTAACAGATAATTATGCAGTCAAGAAATAAAAATTTCATGCAAACAATATTCAAAGTGTCTATACAGCCGGCTATTTAGTAAACTGTCACCTGTCAATTCAATCCATAATCATCAAATTTTCAAAACTTTATTGTAATCATATGTAGCAAAAGTTATGTCACTTGTTGTTTACACTTGCTAATGTTAACTGTTGAGTAACATACACAAAATATTTGGTGAACATGTCGAAGACCACTGAATAATTGAGAATGTTTTGAAGGTCATGAGTGAAGTATATAATTAAATTCCAGTTCTGTGCACAGTTAATGATATACCACACTGTTCGGTTTAACACATACAGCACATTCACACAAAAACAATTGTGTTGTGGGAGATTATCGGTTTGAGTAGGTATCACAAGTTTAGTTTTGTACATTGTGTGCCATTGATCAAATCCACCATATAAGATATGATTATTCATTGTAGCTGTTAAGTTATTTTCCATACTATATAATGAATTTAGGTAAGATTGTCTTGCAAGTTGGTTGTTCTGACAAAATATCCAGCCAATATCCAGTACATTTATTCTTCATTCTTGTATTAATCTCTAAAGAAAAGTATTTATGTTAGAAAGCAAAATGACAATGTAATGATCGAGGCTCGGGAGGGTGAAGATTCTTTTATTTGAAAATGTTTGTAAAAATTTTGTTTAATTAACTCTAATGTGTAAAACCAAATAAAATGTATAAGTATTTTAACTGATAACATCTTCAACCTTTGCTCTAACACTACATTTGATGACAGCTTTATAGTTGGACTGATGTTTTGAACAGAGTTACTGAGTCAATATACAGAAATACAGGACCAGGATTTAATTCAATATCTCCTGAGAACTGTCCAATAGGTTCCTTTGATACTGTTAATTGGCAATATTGCCTGCTATGTTTTCACTGTTTAAAATATTACCGAAGTCACAGAAGGATTGTTTTTAATGCTGTATAAATCTTTTTGTGAACTGTGTTGACAAATGGCTTAAAATATCCTCGAAAATATCCAATATTTTATACAGTGTAATATATTAATAAAAAAATTCCAGAGTGCATTCCATGTAAACGCTACGCCGAAGATACGGCAATATTAACTATAGATAGTATAGTAAATATTTGCCGAACTGGCGAACTCATGGATTATAAAATATGTGGGACATATATATTTGCCCAAATTTGGTATTTAAATATATAATATGTGGTATTTGACTACTTACCAGATGAGGATAAGACTCCATGTTGATAAATAACTTCGGAATAATATCGCAAGTAGAATGGCGAGAAAACAAGACAGCCAATTCAAGATAAATTGATAAAAATATCAAGATATTTTTGAAAGAATAACACGATTTATACACGAGGCCTGGCGAGGCTAAAGTATACCCCCGTTCGCAGGTTAGATGCGAGCACGATGTAAACAATTGATGTAAACTAATCGCTGATTCGCTTAAATTGGCTTAAATTATATAAGCTCGTCGCAGAATGGCTATGTGTTAACATACGGTAACAGTAACATTAACAGCACGTTTGCGATAGCAATATATCTGCTTCGCAGATACAAAAATGTTACGGGTGCTGAAGCATCCCAATTCAAGAGTATGCGCTTTAGAAACCACTACATTTTTTTTGCATTTCCTGTTCCGTGTATCCCAGGGCCTATTAAGGTCGCGCGCGGCTGAGAGGCCCTGGGAACGAGGATGGACTATATTCAACTATTTTTATTCCACCTAATATGATCAGAGTTGGTGGGAAGATATTACACTCAGCTTAAAATTTCCTGGTTAACATAGAGATGACACTATTTGGGTCAAATTGCTATTTCTGGTTAATTTTCTTGGTTATTTTATCGTATGATTATTTTATAGTGTGGTTATTTTATAGTGTGGTTAGAGTAATGGGAAATCTGGTTCTATTTGACCTACATTTCCAGGTTCTATTAATTAAACAGTTTCGTGTATAGATAACCTGGGGCCGGTTCAAAGCTGGGTTGGTTTAACCCTAAGTTAACCTAAAATTCAAAGCAAACTTCCTGACAGCTTGTCTATAAATTTGGAAATATTTCTTCAGAAATCTTGTCAGGATCGGTAGGGGTTTACTTCTCTGAAGTTTTAAAATAAACAGACGTGCAGAAATACACAAACTAAAACAGCAGGTTAAATTTTAACCCAGGGTTAGTGCTAATCCACCCTTGAGCAACCGGCCCCAGGGCCCCAGTTATCTATACACCTAAGACGGTGTTGATGGGGTATATCGTGAATCGTGATTCACTCAATTGCGGTTACCGTCAGTCGTGAAAACACTAAACATTTACCGTGAAGCGTGAGGAAAAAAGTACTGTTTATCGTTTCAGAACACTTTTCAAAGATTTACCGTTGAAATACCAAAGTGTTACCGTATTGTTACCGTTAAAATATCAAAATTTTTACTGTTTACTGATTTTCAGGACGTCCTGGTCAAATACAACCAGATTTCTGGTCGAATTTACCAGACTATGATAGGAAGTGACATGGTCAGTTCTAATATACTGCCCTTAAATTCTCTTGACCTTCGAACGCGATGTCACTGCATGTCATGGTTATTTTAGTGCTGTATGAATAATTAACAATTATTCACCGAAGTGAAGGTGAATATAGTGCAAGGATATTCACCGAAACGCAAAGCTTTGAGATGAATATCCTTGCACTATTCACCGACACTAGGGTGAATAATTGTTTTAGCATAATAAGCATACCGTATTTACTCGTTTGAGCGCCGCGGCGCTCTTTAAATTTTCAGAGCTTCAGATTTTCAGAGCTCATTCGGGGGCGGCGCTCTTTAAAAAATCTTTTATTTGTGAATTATAAGAATTTTTAACAATAAAATAAACAAGTTTAAAATGTCTTTGTCACTAAATGTCCCCATTTTGACGGCGGAACGTTTTTACACTGTTTACAAGTTTACAAAATATCAATGTCACTGTCCTCTTCATGATCCGAGTCCAACTGCTGCATCGTAACCATTGTTGGATATGCCTCCTTGACATCACAAGACGTAAATTCGTCGCATTGAAAGGGACTCGATTAAGCGCCGCATTTGAAAATATTTAGCGCGGCGCTCATTCGGGGGCGGCGCTCTTTAAGAAAATTTGATCTCAAATGCGGCGGTCAATCGGAGGCGGCGCTCAATCGAGTAAATACGGTATACCATAAAACAAAAATGACCAATAAACAACGAGAATATTTTTTAAACAATCTGTATTTCATGCAGCTCCCGTAATAGTTGTAAACAAAACAGTATTTCAAACTTTTAGTAATTTTATTAATTAGAAATAGCTTAAAAGAATACCTCTACACACTGTTAAACAACATTTTGTGGCTTTCTTCGTGTTTGGCGAAACCGCAACTTCGTTTAGTACAAAAACGTAGCTAAATTGCGCAATCCTGAGCCCACGATGCCGCAATGGAATGTCACACTTGCGACAACCAAAAAAAAATCCCCGAAAAGCCAAGGGCATTCTATGACACTGGCTGCGGCCAGTGTAATAAGTTTTTGTATAGTTTATATATTCTTGATGTGTGTGGTGATTGTCCCCAAACATTTTTGTATATATCCTCCTCCCCTAGGGCTAGGGTTTATAGATAAAATTCCCATGTATAACAAAACTTTATTTGGCTTTTCACGCCCCTTAAATTAAACTCCCCGTCTCTTTATACATGCACTACATGTAGAATTAGTTTACTGTATATAGATATAAAAACAGTTTATTAATTGCTTCCAGGTGATGTTGTGTGGTCCAGTCGGTCCAAAATTGAAGACCTTACTTCCGGAAGGAATGCTTATTCCCAAAAGTTGTGAGATGAGCGGAGATGAGAACCATTTAATCTTGGAATATCAACGACATGAGAAATGGGGAAATATTGAAGCGCCTGTTGCTAATAGATTTATAATGTCTCATGATGTTGCTAATTCTGCTCTGAGTACACTAGAATCTTTTATTGGTAAGTACATGTACTGCCTGTGACTTGTAGTTCCAGGCTTTTAGATAGGATGTCAAAACTGCCCATCCGGCAAAAATTCCCGTCGGTGTCACGACCTATTTTTGTGGACGTGGTCAAAATTTTATATTTTGTTCGAAAAGCATACGCATGGCGCTTGAATTCAATTGTCATAATCCAGAGCGTTTTTAGGCAAAACTATCAAAAGTATGCATGTAATATCCAAAAAGGTAAGCTGACAACTTTTGGGGTATTAAAAATAGCAAAGTTTGTAAGTTAAAGAATATTTGTTTTGGCCGTCCATGGCAGTCTATTAAATTAAAAGTGGCCATCTAAAATTTTATATATAAACATATTTAATAATAGTGTTTGTCCCAAGAGCACAATGGCTCATCAAGGGGACTCACACCCAAATATTTAAAATCTGTATATACAGTATACAGTAGCTATGAGGGTACAAAGATTTACGAAAAAAACACAAACAACAAACAAAATTAAAGACTAGGACAACAGGAGCAGTATGGTGCATGATAGATAGATAGATAGATAGATAGTGTATTTAAAATTCACCTTGCAGCTGAACAGCTGAATTGCGTGATTTACAAGAGTATATAAAACATTATTTAAAAGATAGAATATGGGTTAATTAGGCATATTTACAAATGGTCATTAAAACGCTTAGTACTAAAAATTACATTAACTTCAGTTACTAGACATAGGAATACAGAAAATCCGCCTGTATTCAAAATAAGATTCTGCACTTCATGAGAAATATTACGATTGGAAACACAATCGAAACCACTTATCCCATTCAACAAAATTTTAACTTTTTTCTTGTTGTTACGGCCAGCGAGCACCATACGTTCCATCTAAAGTACGGTTGGACGGCCACCTAGAGCTGGTTATATAAAAAATATCGTTAATAGTGTGAAAGTTAACCAATCAAAATCACGTATTTTAGACTTAACAACTATTTAACTATAAAGTAGTGGCTAAAAATAGTTTTATACAACAGGAGCTGGTTGTGCGAAGGCTTTCCTACGTCGCTCGTTAAGTGGTATTAAGTTTGCTTTTTCCAATCGTTCACTGTATGACAGCCCGGGAAAAATTATTGATGTTACTCTCCTTTGAACACGTCCTATTGCTTCGCCGAGGCAGATACTGTAGGTAAAGTAAAGTGAAACACTTGAGAATTCGCATAAACGGAAAAGGTTTATGATTTCCTTCGAAGATACCTTTGCACGCTTTAATTGAACAATAAAGTAAATTTGCTTATTGGCCTTTTCAATAATATCTGTAACATGTTTGGACCACTTTAGATCATCACTGATAGTAAGCCTAAGAGTCTTCGCATGGCGAACCAAGTTTGAACATCCGGTGTTTAACTGATCACTAGGGAACGGTGTTCTGGTTTTATGGAACTGGATTAACAGTTCTTTACATTTCTGATCGTGTTGGAATTTGTTTTGATCAGTCCATGTTACGAGTTCATTGGCTCCTAAATTAAGTTGACTGGGTTCATTCTTTGGAACGACTTCAGAGGCCGTCGTGTCATCTATACATTTCCAATAGCTAAAGTTTGACAGTTTTAGGTCGTTTATCATAAGGATAAAGAGCCACGGTCCCAGCTTGGTCCCTTGTGGAACAGCGCATGACTATAAGCTATATATTGATTCTGTTCCATTCTTTTTCAGAGGAAACAATTGCGTTCAAGCCTGATCTCATCGTGGTTTCTGGCTTCCACTTGCTTGACAGTCAAGATGAGCAATTTTGGAAAAAAAGAATCACAGACGCAGCCGTTGGTTTTTCCCGGCTCCCTCACTCGGTTCCAGTACACTTAGAGCTCGCCAGTATGAGCCATTGCTCTGTTATGATGGCTATTGTCGAGCAGTTGTTTCGTCTTGTGAACTCTATTGGTCTGAATGAACAAGAGTTAGCTTTTATATCGAAATGTGTGGGAGGAATACATTCCGACATGACAACAGTGAAGAAGGAAGATGAAATAGGTACGACTGGGCTTAGACTGCTCACTAACATTTTATGGATTTGCAAATGAACCCATAACCTTTTTTACTAACGGTGGTAATCATTTTATGATTGGTTAAGGCAGGGGCTTAGCGCGCAATCGGGCGTCCAAACTTGTGATTTGGTTTACAAACTCACGTTTCACTCGGCAGTTAATCTCTTTAGATGGTGTAAGGACTCTGGTAAAAGTTTGCGTATTATCACTTTACACTTTTGAGAACGAAATCACACAGACAAGATTCAAAACTTGCTCAGTAAATTCACATCCCGGTATTAGCCAAATAAGCTATATTATTTGGAATTGCCAATGATCAATGTACTGTAGATAACAAAAGTTATTGAACAATTGCAGAAAGTAATGAATAAAAACAGGAAAAAACAACATGAACGAACGGCAAAAGTTTTTGTGCAAAAAGATATGGCATTTTATCTGAACTTTAGGTAGATGAGTTTTCTAATATTGTTATGCTATTATTGTCATATTTTAAACCGTTTTCACTGCTTTTTTGAGAACAAACGTTGTTTTGTGCGACAAATCTTTTTTTGACGAAGCAGTTTGTTAATGAAAATGCAATGTATAATAGAACAGTTGTTGAATTTGGTTTTTGTGATACCCGGACCTTCAATTAGCTTTTGGTAAGTGTTATGATATTACTAACCTTGATCTTGCTATAATTCTAGGTAATAATGTATACGATTATGATTAGCATTTCTATAGCGCAAATTTACATGTGCATAATTATATATGATCAAATGGGCTTTTATTACATACATGCAGTATTACGCTTACCTAATGGACCATTTGCATTATAGAATAAATTTTGATCTAAACAAAAATTTCACCACAGCTTGAAAGAGCATCACAAAATTAGTAATATGCCAAAGTTTCGTTGCGAAATGTTGTAAAATGCGGATAATATAGCCTTGCGAATTTTGCAATTTTCAGTCATTTTAGATTACAAACGGGAAATTGATGCCCCATGCACACCCGATTGGGCTGTCAATTGACCATTTGCGTAATAGACTAAATTTTGATATTGACAAAAATTTCATCATAGCTTGAAAGAGCATCACAAAATTAGTAATATTCCGAAGTTTCGTTGCGAAATGTTGTAAAATGCGGAAAATATAGCCTTGCGAAATTTGTGATTTTCAGTAATTTTAGATTACAAACGGGAAATTGTGATATTGCAGTACTTTCTTAACCATATTTATCCTAACCCACTCTGTCAACTTTCCCTGTGGGAGGAAACCGGAGCACCCGGAGAAAACCCACGACTTTCGGCAGAGCGTTGACTGACTCTTTTCACATGAATCCGTGGTGAGAATCGAACCCACGATCCCTGAGGTGAAAGGCGCTTGCTCTGAGGACTGCGCCACCGAAGGCCCAACGTCACAGAATCCTTATCCAAACCCCATCCTCAACTGTTTATGGTATTGCGTTGGATTAACAAACCAAAATTGTGGGTCAAGCAGTTTTCTTCAGCTTGCGTTGCAGCCACTGCAGATAGCGTCATCTATCATGCATAAGATCACACAAAACTAAATTTTAATTTTGTTCTTTAGGCTTCTACAGTGACATCGCCAGTTGGATACTTCAGGAATATGGCAAACATGGTCGCTTGTCAGAAAAGTCAAGATTAACCCGTGTACATTTTCATTGTTTGTACGTTCATATCCTTGTTGTTTTACCACAACACTGGAGCTCAAATGAAGCAAGTGTTAGCAAAGGATCGTGGACAGCTTTCTCACAGGCGTGTGATACAGAGATTGCCAGTAGTGACAAAGCTGAAATACGAATTCCAAGTGAATTTAATGTTTCCTTGTTATCACCAAATACCGTTCAGTTTGACTCGGATAACCCTATATCAGTAGTACCCAATGACAATATTAAGTTATACATTAGCCCAGTATTAGTGTGTAAACGACCGTTAAAGACTGTAGGTTTAGGTGACGCTATTTCAGCGTCTGGTCTTTTGTATAATGTATTTAATGAGTAGCTTTCACTGCTCTGAAAACTGTGACTGGATCGTGCATTTGCCATGCATACCATTCTCGTCCCCAGAGCCATTTTCACTCGGTCACTCGTTGAAAATTAGGCTCTGGGTTAGATGACTAAAGGGAGAGATCTGATTGGCTTCTCAGAGAACTGCTATTTCGCAGACGTTGAGCAGTTTTCGCTTGGCAAAATTATTCTATCAACATATGTCAACACAAACACTTCGTTTCTTCGTAATACTTCATTGTGAAATTTGTTACGGGTGCTAAAGCGTCCGAATTCAACAGCATGCGCTTTACAACTATTGCAATTAAGTTTTCTTGCACTTCCGGTTCCGTGCCTAGGAAGGGCGCGCGCAGCCGAGAGGCCCTGGAGACGAGGATGCTATGCATACATTTTACATGAAGGCATGGCGGCCATATTTATACGTAAACCCGTTTTCAAAATTACACGACCAGGCCGAAAATAGTTAGAGTTGACATGTCAGTTTTATGTCACCCGGTCACGAATTTCAAATTGTCTCCAATTCCAACTTTGGGTTCTACGGTTCGTTATCGATGTACATGGTTTGTAGGCTTTATATAAAAAGGTTTCGAAGGATTTTCAAGATATTTCAGTGATAATTATTGCAAAATTTAAGCACAACAAAATCATAATATTACCGCTATAGACACAGTCTAACGCAAGCGGATTTGATACATAGTTTTATTATATACATGACAAAATTACTGCAATCTGATTGGTTAAGAGGAGTGCAATTATTTCGTTAATTGCACTCTCCAGGAGTGCAATTAATGATTTTCGTGATGGCTGGGGGGAGCGGGAAATCAAAACAACAAAATCCAATATGGCGGCGAAATTTAGATAAGTATTTCTAACAAATGTGGACGAATTTAACTGAATTTTGGCACAAGAGTGAGTTTAAGAAACATTGTATGGCAAAAAGAGCCTGTTGAAAATACCTGGAAACAGTCTTAAGAAATAATCTCGGCGGGATGCAGCGAAACGTGACTATGTAAGTTTGAAATACAATTTATAAAGATTTTCTTAGTCTAAAATATATTGTTTGAGTTTGAATCTTGTGTGCTAGTTTAAGGTATGTGCCTTTATGAGTTTATAATCATTTCCCAAGTTTGTTTATACCAAATTCCTTACAAAAGAATTAAACACTCTTGACAAAATGCAGTTGAAATATAAAGAAAGCGATTTTGTCATGCATATAATAAATAAATAACTCGCCTCGGCGGCTCGTGCAATTTTGGCACATTTTTCAAATATCACTCGTAGTGTTAATCATTAATTGCACTCCTTCCCGTGTGATTACCTATACAAATTCGGTGTTAAATTGTTCTTTTTCAAACTTTAAAAGTCATTCACGACACGACTTTCTGTTGTTTAATTTCTTTTAGTTTAAATATATCTAGCTCATGTTGGTTCAATATTCTTCTTTAGGTATTAAATACGGTTTAAAATGTCTTCTGTTTGCATAACATAAAACTGGCATTTGAAGCGCGTAATTTTGACATAAAACTGGCATTTGAATCGCGTAATTTTGAAAACTGGTGTAAAGTGACTACGGCGATGTCGATGGCACCGCTGACGTGATAGAAGAGGTTCTAACGACTAACAGTTCCTCGTTATTGTTGGGAAAGGGCTCGTATTGATATAGGTGAATAATGTGACAAATTTCAAAATCTCTTCTCATTATAAATATTTCAGACTTCAAAATTGGCTCATTTGATTTGGTTCAAAAGGATACTCTACCCATGCAGTATATACTAGTTTTCAGATCAGTGTATTGTTTCCTGCATGAGTTAATTCATAGCCTATCGAAGGGAAGATGGCTGTGAAACTCATTAGAATAACAATATAACTCATTAGGCCAAAAAAATATGTGGGTTTCCGGTTTCTTCTTATAAAAACTTAGGTAGGGTTACCCTGGATCAGGGGGTTTAAGGTAGGGTAAAGCCCAGGTCACACTACACAACGATAACGATACGATAACTTGTATACGCGCGCTGATTGGTCAAAAATTTATCGTCTGAAAAAAAAATCGCTCAGGTGAGCGATTTTAAAATCGTTATCGTTATGGTCTAACGATAATTTTATCATTTTCGTTGTTGTGTGGACACTAACACAATTTTTTTGACAATTATCGCGTGTTTACAATTTATCGTATCGTTATCGTTGTGTAGTGTGACCGGGCCTTAAGTCGGTTTTAACTTTTTTTTTAAATTTTCCGAACAAGCGGACGCCATTTTGTTTAGTCAGTGCTTCCACATCCAAAGATAAATTTCCCTACTATTGCCTCAAATTTCAATTTTCCACAAACTTTTTCCTCTAAGTGGAAACACTTACAAGCATGATCCAATAAAAAAGTTTAGGGTCGGGATTTCGACGTCCAAAAGCCTAGGTAGGATCGGGAAGCCGAAAATCCACATTTTTTTTGCCTTAACGTTTATTCATAAATCTGGTCCTTCACCGTCACGTGTGTGTTGTATTTTTGCCAAATCCACCAACAGCAATTTCCAATTTCCCTATTTTCGAGTCACGGATAGGTAACTTTCCTAAAACATTACTATTGGTTATATAGTTGGGCAAACATACAATACACACGTGACGGTGAAGAACCAGATTTATAAATAAACGTTGACTAGCATAGATAATGAGTTATATAACTTATATTGTTATTCTAGTGAGTTTCACAGCCATCTTTTCTTCGATAGGCTATGGTTAATTGGAGTTAATAAGTAGCTTTAGATAGGACATGTTTAATTTAAAAGTAGCCTAAGACTATTGTCACAATAGCTCGACAGATTCGGAACCGTACGGAAAATTGTGCGATTCGTTTCTTCACACAGGAATTCGTGCAGTTAGTCCTGCTCAATTCGTTCGCTGTCATACGTCCCATGTTAACACGAAAGGCAAAGTGGCGGCAAAGTTGAGTATGGTTTCGAATTCATTCTGTCCATGCAGGCGTTCCAGCCTCTCCCAACACACGCGCGCCTGCCTTGTAGGCTAGAGAAAGAAGTGTGACTTAGCTTCACACTAGCAATGGACCAATCCCATATATTAATCAAAATTTTGAACTCAACAAGTCTAGACAAAATTTTCATCACAGCTTGAAAGAGCATCACAAAATTAGTAATATTCCAAAGTTTCGTTGCGAAATGTTGTAAAATGCGGATAATATAGCCTTGCGAAATTTGCAATTCTCAGTCATTTTGTATTACAAACGGAAAATGGTTACCACTTTTGTGCGTAATACAAAATGACTGAAAATTACAAACTTCGCAAGGCTGTATTATCCGCATTTTACAACATTTTGCAACGAAATTTCCAAAATTACTAATTTTGTGATGTTCTTTCGAGCTGTGATGAAATTTTTGTTTAGGCTAGTTGAGGTCAAAATTTTGGAAAAGTGGTAACCGTTTCCCACTCGTAATACAAAATGACTGGAAATTGCAAATTTCGCAAGGCTATATTATCCGCATTTTACAACATTTCGTAACGAAACTTTGGAATATAACTAATTTTGTGATGCTCTTTCATGCTGTGATGGAATTTTGTCTACACTTGTTGAGATCAAAATTTTGGTTAATTGGGGATTGGTCCATTGTGTCGGCGATTCTGTGTTTCTGACTGATGCAAATGAGTAAGCTTGCATACAAAAGTATAGAGTCATTCGATCACATTTGCCAGGTCCAGGAGGAAAAAAGTCGCTTACAGAATTGCTAGTGTGAACACAGTTAATAGACTAAGAAGTGTGAACTAGGCTTTAAGAAAGGAAAAAATATAAATTTGAATATATATATATATATATATATATATATATATATATATATATATATAGAGTGACGACATAGCCATGTAATTTTATTTCATGAATTCATTCGTTATCATCTCTTTGTATTCCAGCCACAAACGTTGTTTATAAAATAATCTGAATTCATGCAATTAGACTGATGAAACCAACCTCGTCCCCAGGGCCTTTTGAGGAAGGAGGCGAAGGGCAGCAAAGACCCTGGTAAAGGCTGGTGAAATAATCCACAAATTGTGCATTATTTTGTCACGTGATATATCAGAGCAAATACTATACAGGGGGGTGCGATCGCGGATCGCTTTAGCTACAATATATTCGTCAATATTGCATAAACACCGAAATCGACAAATAAAGAACAAAAATCTATTTAAAATAAAAAAATCTGTTAAAGTTCTTCCAAAAATATTGAATAAATTTGAAATTGTCTTCAAATTAGCTCTGAGAACCTTGGTTGAACTGTAAAGGAGATCTATTAAATATACAAAGCAACAGTGCAAAACGAATGGATCGATAGAAGTATTTATACTATGAATTACTGTCGCAAGGAAATTGCTGCCTCGATTGTGAAACAGATATGTAAAATCACTTTAATTAATTAATTTAATAATATGGACTCTCAATACACCATATCCATGATCATCAAAACATTTAATAGTTATTGTTGCTACAATAGATCTTTCTTGCAAATGTCAATATCATACAGTATATTTAACAGTTAAAGGGAGTACAAGAGTACAAAGGTGTTTTCCCAACAGCCTGGAAGAAGGCAGAGGTTATCCCACTTCTGAAGGAAGGGGATTATGAAATTCCGAATAATAATCGGCCCGTGTCGTTGTTAGTGGCTGCATCTAAGATCTGTGAACGCGTGGTATTGAAACAGTTAACAGAGTATGTGACAAAGAGGAAAACATTTACTAAACATCAAAGTGGAAATAGGAAGTTACATTCAACCGAAACATTAAACATATTCATCTCAGATTTAATTCTCCAGTCCATGGATCGTAGAGAAGTGACTGCTTTGCTCTTACTGGACTTGTCTAAAGCTTTTGATAGCTTAGATCATTTCATTCTGCTAAGAAAACTTTCGAATATTGGAATCTCGAAGCCTGCGTTGTTTTGGTTTAAAAGCTATTTGACAGGCAGGTGCCAATCAGTACGTATTGCGTCAGTGTTATCTGATGAATGTGAAATAACTCGCGGTGTTCCGCAGGGATCGATACTGGGTCCGGTGTTATTTAATATATATATATATATATATATATATATATATATATATATATATATATATATATATATATATATATATATATATATATATATATATAATTTGTTTTGTTGTAGTAGATAATAAAGTGCTCAACACTAATACAAAAGTAGAGCAAGATACATTTATATCTTAAAATTAATTATTGCTACTCAAGTTTCACGCCTTATTCAAGACGATCTTCAGGCAATTAATAATTAATTAATAATTAATTAATTAATTATTAATTGCCTGAAGATCGTCTTGAATAAGGCGTGAAACTTGAGTAGCAATAATTAATTTTAAGATATAAATATATATATATATATATATATATATATATATATATATATATATATATATATATATATATATATATATATATATATATATATAAACGACTTGCCTGGTGTACCAAAGAAGTCCAATTTGGAGTCGTATGTGGATGACTCAAAAATATATTTAGCATTCTCAATCAGGGATGCCGAGTTGGCAGCTATGAAACTCACAGAAGACAGAAGACATGCGAAGAATTACCGCCTGCATGGTGCTGTCTTAACAGTTTGTTGGTGAATCCAGAAAAAAACTAAGTTGCTTATATTAGGTACTAGGCAAATGTTAGAACAGGTACCTAAAAATTTTCAAATAACTATCCTTGGTGAGAATGTTACCCCAGTTGCTGTTGCAAAGGATTTAGGGATGATATTGGATTCATGTTTGAGCTACGACGAATTAACATATCGCAAGCGTTGTTTCATCTTGTATCGCTGGATTGGGCCAAATTAGCAGAGTTAAACATATCTTTGACAGAAAAACATTAATTTTTATTATAAATTCCCTGATTTTAAGCAAAATGTATTACTGCTCTGCTGTCTGGTCTAATACATCCCAAAGAAATATCGAGAAGCTTCAAGCGGTCCAGAACTTTGCTGCACGTATTGTTACAGGAACAAGAAAATACGATCACGTGACTCCTGTTCTGCAACAACTGGGTTGGCTTCCAGTTAAATACATGTTAAAATTAAGAGAAGCCATTTTTGCTTTCAAATGCTTGAAGGGGTTGGCACCATTGTATTTGTGTGAGAAGATTCATGTCAGGTCAGATGTTCATGGCGTTAACACAAGGCAAAAGAACATTTTGGATATACCAATGTACAGATCAACTGCGGGTCAACGAACATTTCACTATAGGGCTGTGTCCTTGTGGAATTCTCTGCCTCAGTCTCTTAAAAACATTGATACTTTGACTCATTTTAAAGTAGAATACAAACCTATGTTATTAGAAGAATTTTTAACTGAAAGTGGTGTTTAACAGATTTATAGAATATTTTAGAACTATAGCCTATGTTATACCTTAGGTCAAAACTCAAAATTCATTTTTAGATACTTTTATAGATATAGAATTTCATATTTAGTCGGTGGGGCCACCTGTGGTGCCCACCGACTCTAGGTTTCGGCACGCATTTTTTTTCGCGGATCGCAGATCGCAAATCTCCATTGTACACAAATTTCCATTATGACACGTCACGATTTTAAGGAAATTTAAGTATATTGAAGTGGAAACATGTGAGACAACGACATTGAATTATAGAACTATATTTAGTTGGAAAATTGAGGAAAATTGAGTATATTTAAGTGGAAACATTTGCGACAAGGACTCAAGATTAGTGATGGGCGATACCAGGATTTTTATTTCGATACCGATACCGATACTTTTAAGATCAGTATCGGCCGATACCGATACCTATTTCGATACCAAAATGAACACAAAATTTCAATTTTCGATACCGGAAGTGAGTACTGAAATTGCTAGTATCGGCTACTTTCGATACCTGCCGGTCAGCGGAAAAACATTTTAAATTACTGTGGTAACCTAAATAAAGCTAATAAGTAACAAAAAGCCCGAAACGTAATAAATATTTTCTATACATGACTTGGCGCACCACATTTGGAATATTAAGAGTTATTTTAGTGGTTCATTAAGTCTTATTCAACCAAGAAGTGAAATTAAACAAGTCGTTTAAAAAAAGGTGCAAGTATCGAACGATACCACGTCAGTAATCGATACCGATACCGCTGTTTTTGGTATCGCTAGTATCGAATACCGAGTACTCGGTATCGCCCATCACTACTCAAGATTCTCTGCTCAAGGAGTGAAAGCACAAAATATCGTGAATGTTTTTGTATAGTTTTCAAGGATTCAAGACTGAAGCCTGATAGATGTTTCACAGGGTAAGTACTGAATGTATTTTATCTTCAGATACTCTCATCTCGCATGAATGTGCATATATTCGTGATAGACCTATGATTCATGAATACAAACATACCTTCGGGTACAAAAAATGCAAATATACCTTCGGGTACATACATGCATTATTCGTGGAAAGGCCTACACTAAAATATGTTGAGCGTTTTCGAACCAGGTAGAAAGCAGGCTTTATAGTGAATAGATTTTTGCGCGTTTGCCGTTTGATCCAAATATGGGCTAGCTTGTTAGTTAGTTTTGTACATAATTTCATATATTTGTATCGCGCGGCGAAGACATCGGGCGTGGAAATGTTGATGCTTTCTATATATTTACTATTGAATTTTCGAAATCTCCGGAGCGCAATTTCCAAACTTTGCAGTCAGTAATAATATTTTGGTCTTTTGGATCTACATAAATTAAACTTAAAGTCAGACATCGCCTGCTTCTTTTGAGTCCTATTCCTATTAAATAGCATTGAAGGATTAAGGTTCATTGGGACAAAATGTATTACCAAAAGCTGAAAACGAGGAACTCAATTTCCTGATATCGTGTGGAAGTAACATAGAATCTTTCTTGGCCCAATAACATATATTATTATTCCATGCAGATTGCCGCCTCTATACTGCACAGGCGCACTGGTATGTAGATTAGTAGATATGACTAAATCGTTATTGCTACACATAATACAGTCGCTTGGTAATCTCCTCTCACGAGGCATTATTGTATTACACAGACGTTATAATGTGTTTAGTTTCGAAGGGAAGAATATTCTTGCCTTCCAGCCTTCGACGCACCAGTTGGTAACATTACACCAGCCGATCTGTCATCTGTGTAATGACAACAGGATAAACGCTTATAATTTTAACACATACGATAGATACTGTATACTATATGTAAAACAACATTGCTACATGGTTGTACTTGTTTTAACTATTAGTGCTAACTGCCAGGCAAACTGCAAACTTCAAGATTCAATGTTTTCGGAAAAACAAACACGCTGTTCTTAAGTGGTATCACTTGTGCTTATTTCCATCGCCCCACCGACTTTACGCTCGGTGGAGCGTGTCTTGTTGTAATTAGATCCTGAAAAGCCCAATTGGGAGTATCTAATATTGTATAATAATAATAAAATTGAATATGGACAATATGCAGCTCGGGTAAGCAGACGGTAGTATTTCGTCGCTTGGTGTAGGAAATACAACGTCTGTGAGCAGGCTAATAATTTGCCGATTACCTGACGATTGGGGGTGATCTACAACCCCCTTTTTGCGCCGCCCCTGCCTGTGCTGCATATAAGAGGGAATGTCGAGAATGTGAGAGGATATGAGAAGCAGGCAGATGCAGCTTTTTCAACAAGGTTAACCTTTTACTAATTGTCAAAAGGGCCCAGCTCATCTGAAAATCATGCTTCACTATTGAGGCAAGCAAAAGGCCTACTGGGGTAAATACCCCGGTAGTTATCAGAGTGAGTTAATATATAGTTAAAAAAATGCCCTGATATTAGATACGTAATACTGCAGGTTAGTAAATAGAAGATATCTTTATGATAAAATTAGTGTTGGATCCTAACTAATTGTGACGGACTGATGTACGTGCCGAACGCAACTCCAATCTCGAATCTATAACTATTGCTACAGGGGGTCTGGGTATGCATGCCCGTCGGAAACTGCGCCAAAAGTTTAAAATGTTCGAAGTCGTGTGGGCTGTTTAATTTAATGTGAATACATTGACTATTCAATTTCAAGAATTACAATATATGACGCACAACCAACATGAACTCAGCCCACGTAAAGGCTTTGTTTTGAATGTGTACAGATGGCACAGGGGCGGATCCAGTGTTTTGGGTGACCGGTTTACTAGGTCCACACAAGCACTAGGGGGGTCCGGGGGTATGGTTTCCGGGAAATTTTTAAAATTTGGGCCTCTGAAACAGCATTTCCTGCGTTCTGGCGTCACTTTTTAAATTAATTTAATGATTAGAAAATATATATTTTTAAGAGAATTCTGACTAACACGCAGCTCAAACAATGAATTGAACCTTTTCGGGAACCTATTAGCTAATGCTGAAAATATAGGATTGGCAACTGAATTGCTGACGCATCAATAGTTAATTAGTTATTATAAGTACAACAAGTAGGGATGCTTTTAATATAAATATAGTCGTAATTTTAGATCTATACGCTTTCAAACCAACTTTAACAGTGAACTAGAAACCAAACTGCAAGAGCGTGAATAAAGCTTCACAAATAATCACAATCATTTCCTGATTCTCTCTCGCCAATTCAATGATTCTGTCACGCAAGATTATACGTACATATTTCGCGCTATCATGACTGATAGACTGTAGTTACACGTATAAACATCGATACGCTTGTTGATGAATCGATATTTACTATACAGTGTGTAGAAATAGCTTACAGTTATAACTTTAGACTATATACTTTTAAACAAACCTTCAAAATGAACAAGAAATCCATATAAATGCTTCTATCGCCAACATATTTCGCATATAAACATATTTCGCGCGTCCTCGAGTTCAGTGTTAACTTTCATGCCCAGTTTTCTCTAAATACTGCTCGACTCACAGGTTTATGACCGGTTTACATCCGGCGGAGCGCAGCCGTTTAGCCAATCGAATGGCGTATCGACCGGTTTACTCTCATGGAGAAAACTCTGACCACCGGTTTACTCATAATTGCGGGCGGTTATGTGTGATTCATGCGATGTTTACAAGTCCACGACCCACGACGATATATTAGCAGATTATTAGTCTAGTATTACAACATTTCGTAAGAGGAAACCAGGGCGATAAGTCCTTAATTATACGCTCGGTAATCCATAATCAAATTTCAACAACAGTGTTTAAGTGGCGTAATACATTAGACAACATCAATTTTATGAAACAGAATATTCTTTAAATTAGTTATATACATGGAAGGTTTTTTCTCTCTTTGGAAAATCTGACATGTTTATATAAACCTGTCAAACCTGTCTGAATCCGCCCCTGAATAGTTCCCTGTATCTTTCTTTTGATTGATATAGCTGGGTCTGTAAGTTTATTTAAGTATACAGCATGTACATAAATGTAAATAATTGTATCGACTTCTTCTTATTTGTGAAGCGCCTTGAACTTTTGGATATGTGCGCTATAGAAATCGAGGATATTATTATTATTATATTACATGTTATATATAAAAACTAGCTTGGGTTATTGCCTTGGAGTCTCACGCGAGACTTTTAAAAAAGCTCATTTTGGTGATTTCCAGTGGAATGTAACACAATTAAATCATTAGGCCCATACGTCTATACCAGAGTCACGAAGCTCAAATTGTTCAAAACTTTGAATTTTGTGTTTCGATATCAATGTATATTAAAATATCAAAGATATCAAAGATTATCGCACATAGTAAATTTACCTTTCAACTTATGTACTTTTATTTTATTAATTACCTAGCTTTAATTCTATTAGTTTACATATGCAGAGAAAACATTAAACAAAAATGAGAACTGATTATAAGACTTCAAAAGCTTACAGATTGCAGACATATTAAATATACATTCAGTAACAACACGCGAATTGCTATAAATAGCAACGTTACAGTCTAGTAAATGATATGATGATTTGTTGTGCTTTTGTTGTAAATAGGCCTATCACTAAAATATATTGAAAATCCTTCTAAACGATTCTTAATAAAGTATACAAAGCATATACATTGATATCGAAACACAAAATTCAAAGTTTTGAACAATTTGAGCTTCGTGACTCTGGTATAGACGTATGGGCCTATAATGATTTAATTGTGTTACATTCCACTGGAAATCACCAAAATGAGCTTTTTTAAAAGTCTCGCGTGAGTCTCCAAGGAAATAACCCAAGCTAGTTTTTATATATAACATGTACTCATGCTATACCATTCCGTGGATGAAATATAAACAAATTCACGATTATCGCACATAGTAAATTTCCCCTTCCAATCCAGTGACAAAATGCAATTCTCAAATTTGACTTAAAATAGCCAATTTCAACAACGTCTGTCAGGCCAGTTAAAGCCTCCTGGACCATTCCATATTGAAAAAATTGTTCTTTAATACTTGAATTATAGTCATTATACCACCAAAACTATCTACGGGCAGTTTTGAATCCGTCGCGAAGTGATGAAACTGACCATGGCAGCGGCTATGTCTGCGGCTAATTATAGCCTCCTGGAGACAAATTCTTGATTTCTGATATTTGTACGTTTATCGACCAAATATTGGAAATCTAACCCAAACACCATTTATAACTAGGTATTACCTTAATTTGAGCAAAATATGAACGAAATCTACTTTTCGTGTATTGCCGCAGAATTCAAATTTTGCTCGATTTTTACGGACAGTCGCTCTTAAGACCGACAAAATTCAGAAAATTGCCAAGGTTAATGGTGTAGATGCATTATGTATAACTGAAACCTGGTTATCAAACACTATTCCAGATCCATGCATTGTTACTATACCTGGCTATAATCTATTCCATAAAGATCGCTTAGTAATACATACACTTGGAGGAGGTGTATGTATCTATATGTGAGAATAATATCCCATGCAAACACTTGAAAATCTGCGACGAAGACAACGTCGAATCTATATGGGCATCAATGCGTTCTCACAAACTACCAAGGGATATTACATGAATTATTTTGGCTATTGTATATCATTCTACTAAAACTCGACAAGTGAGAACAATATGTTAAAATAATTCATCCCAGTGGCGTGCTGGCAGGGGGGGGGCCGGGGGGCCACGGCCCCCCCAGCTGGCAATTCTTGGGGGGCGCAAAAATGAAAAGGGGGCGCCGAATTTTGAAAGTGGGTGGGAAAAAACGCATTCGAAAAAATATAGTTACTTCGGCCAAGAACTGAGATGTGTTTATAGGCTTATAAACAGACTAAGCGCATAGGCGACAAAGTGATATATTAAATTATACAGACTATTTTGTCTAACCGTATTTGCTAATTTGCTACCTCACGACTCACACAAAATCGTTCATATAGAAACATGATCAGTGATTACACGTAATGTCTCATTACCGGAATATTGGTCAGGTTTCGAAGCGATCACGGGAATTATGCCCTTTTTTTGCTGGTATTATGCCCTTATATTATACCCTTTATTATGCTTCACGAATCACGAGAGCGGCGCAAATTAGATAGTTGATAATGTAAAGTTGTGTACGCAATTTAGTTGTTTGCGCAAGAAACATCATGAGTAATGTAAGGCCCCGTTTACACTATACCGGATTCGCTCGTCACGTCATCCTCTTCTGCCGTTAAGGAGCAATGGTTAGTAGCAAATGCTTATTAGTTTGACAGAATTGGCATGTTTATTTGGGTCTCTGAGATTAAAAATCTTCCGACGGCTATCTTTCAATACCTACAAAACTTGACCTATTCCCATAGCAATCCGGTATACGGGGCCTAAGTAATGAAATAATGCTGAAACGCGCCCTTTTGAGTTTTGGCAGGCAGGCAAGGAAACCTTAAAATGCATATATGCGTGGGGTCCGTGTGTTATTGTATAAAAGAGCTGTAAGTTGTAAATGTATTCAGATCACTAGATCAGTAGAGAATAGAATTGGGATTAGATTAATCGCTTGAAGTACTACTACTAAATTCTAACCAAATTTCAAATTTCGACACGTTATAATGTCGTTTCCTGACCATCAGATTTCTGTCAAATCTTCCCCCAAAGTCAAGGAAATGGCATTTCAGAGACTCTAAATTCAAAAATTTTCCTGGGGGGCATGACCCCGGACCCCCCTAGACAAACCTCGGCTCGTACCGTCTGCCCTCGTGTATCAAGCGTAACATTATAGGGGCGCATATTGGTTGACAGCCCACTGGCCCCCCCAGAAAAATAGTACCCAGCACGCCACTGATTCATCCAGAAATGTCTTGATGACATGTTTCTAGTCAACCTGACGCCCTATAATTATAATAACTGGTGATTTTAATCCAAAATAAGCAGGTCTAAAGGTAAAAGATATAAACCAGGGAAATTACCTATAACCAAACTGGTAAAATTTATAACGAGAGACTCTGGAATACTCGACTGGTTTTTAACAAATAGACCAAGGTTGTTCTGTTTGTCACAATTACCAAAAATTGGACTATCTGATTATTATACGCAATATTGCGTAATATAATACTGATAATACTGAATATAAATCTAAAGTTAAGAAGATAATGATAAACGATATGAATATGAGGGACAGCTAGTGCTTGGCGAGCATTTGGGAGATGTATATATATATATATATATATATATATATATATATATATATATATATATATATATATATATATATATATATATATATATATATATATATATATTAAGATGAAAATGTTCTATAGTGTGTATTAATTTCCATACCCAGCGTAAGCAAACTTTAGTTTTATATAAACATTAACGCTATACGAAGCCAATGAAGGCATATTTTGCCCTATAAAACACTCGGTCAGAGCCTCAGAGGTGTGTTCTAGTACACAATTAATCTTCTCTCACAGTTTAAAACAAACAATAATACTAACCTTCGATAAATTGTGTATAAATCTTATCTAATTTAACCATTTTGCCACAGATTTTGCCAAAAATATTTCTTAGACGGACAAAGTATTAATAATGATCACCCTTGCGTGGAAATGTTAATTTATCCCAAAGTTTGAACAAATTAATCCAAGATTGCATTATTTGCATAATAATGTACTTGTCATTGACCAATCAGAATACATAAAAGACCGGCCGGTGCCAGGGCCTATCCCGCCTTCCCAATGACAAGAAGGGAAAAGCCCTGGGAACGAGGTGGATATATTCGTGTTCTGCCAGACGAATTTCTTTGAATTTCTTTGTTTTTAAGTTCATTTCAAAAGAAATTAGTCGGGCAGAACACGAATATATGAATTTATTATATACACAGTACAAGATCCGGATATGAGGTATTCTGCAATCTGATTGGTTCTCTACTAGCAGGATATTAGCTCATATCCTGCTAGTAGAGAAAAACAAAATGGCGGCTCAAACTGAATTTCCGACATCTTGCGAACGAGAAAACGGCAAGTTGTTCGCTTTTTATAGCCTTTACAGGATTAAAAACACAACGAAAAATTCCTACAAATTGTTTACAGGTTAGGAAATGAATTTTTAAAATATAAAATGGTTAAAAATACATATTTTTGAAAAAATACTCGGCCGAAAGAGCGAAGATAAAAACATAAACAAAATAGAAAAATGTTGAAAATATCCGAAAAGCAAAGTCTGTGAATTCAGACCTTGTGTATATAATAAAACAGTTATTCCACTCACTCTCGTCTCGTAGAACAACTGTTAAATACCCCCTCGCGCCCCAATTAACGCTCTAGTACGCCTCTGATATACATGCTATACAGTTAAAGAATTAAATCGTAGGAAACGATCGAAGCATCAGAAATTGAATGATTAAAAATTCCTAAATTATGGAGATACTGTAGCATGGATGTAGTATGTAGAAACAAAGCATACCCCATTAAAAGACTCATGTGGGATTTGCAAAGGCAATCATATTCAAATGATCGAGAGTAATTTCTGAACAACCAAATTACATGTAGATGAAGCTAAACGAAGTATGACGTTAGAACACCACCTCGCCAAGTGCGAAGAAACACATGTCATCCATTTCGCCTTGCTTTATCGCGTATCTATACGTTACATGCTATTTGCTGCCGCAGCGAGCGAGCCTGAAGCTAGCGAGCAAGGCAGCAGATCCTAATTTTGTTTTGTGGGTCGAAATCAAAATTTTCTATTTGGCGCATTGCATGACGGGACCAGTGAATTTTAACCGTGGTGCAGCGCGGTCAAGCATAAGGCAAACAGGCAATGTGATCATCTTTCATCTTTGGTCTTCTTTTATGGAAAGCCATAGCTGGCTTAATTTAAAGTGATCAAATGGCATTTTGTTTAATGTTGGGTGCTTTTAGCATTATACGGCGGTGCTCTCGGCATTATACACGGTGCTTTCGCCATTATCCGCGGTGGTTCCCGCATTATACGCTGTGGTTCCAGCATTATACGCGGTTCTTTCACCATTCATATACGCGGTGCTTTTGCAATTATATGCGCAGTGGTTCGAGCACTATATGCGGTGCTTTTAACATTATACGCGATGCTAGCTTTCAACATTATTTCCATATTATTTCCATGACATGTATATGATTTAACGGTTGCTTAAATTTGGTATGTGGTTGACGAATGCTTTTTGTCTATGGTCCGCAAAGACAATGACATGCTTTTCTGTGTATATAAATGAATATAACGCAGCGAATGCCCAAGCAGTATAAACGCACGGCTGAAATACGATATTAAAATCTTGAATGTGCCGTATGATTTAATTATGTTTTAGGATTTACTTTGTCATTTGTGTTTATACTTGTACTGCATCACAAGGCAGTACGTAAGTGAAAAAATTTCACAGGAGAGATTGTCTTGTATATATTTTTTCTTTCTTTGATAAACATGATTAAACACGCAAATTTTAATTAGTGAGACGCAATGTTAAATGTCACCTGCATGTCATTGTCATTGCCCTTTAACCCCTGGTCTAATTGGCCGCTTTTGAAAATGGTGATCATGACGAACTGCATTGCCTTAATTATGCAAACTTTGTGTTTTAAAAACGGTTAGGATAAAACGCGGATACGGACGGACGGATGAATGAATGACGGACGGACGGACGGATGGCGACGGACGGATAACATATATATGTCATTATATAGTCTGCGCGCAGCCGCGCAGGGTAGTTAGTGGCTTACGTCTTCGCTGGTTGTTATACTTTAAAATAATTTTGTATATCCCGAGAAATCAATAGCGAGTATATAAATATATAAACTGGGATGTTACACTGATAGTTTGTTTACATTTCCTGGAGCATCAAATCTTATGTTTAACCGCGGTGGTTTAACCCATTAGCTGGCAATGCGCCCTTCCCTTGTCCAGCGCCAGAAGATTTTACTCGTCAGTGGTACAGGGTACTGCCAGTAAATGGGTTAACAAACCTATCTGCCAATGGCTATTGTTAATCCATTAGCACAGTAATGACTTTAATATTTACCCTGTCCAACGCCAGACGATTTTTAATACTCAATCAGTGGTAGGTTGCTGTCAATAAATGGGTTAACAATTCTGTCTCGTCCCCAGTCGCTTGCTATCAAATAATTATTGCAGTGCACGCGCTGATCTATATATTACTGCTATTTAAATTTGATCTATATAGAGGAGCCTACGGAGGAGGCAGTTAACAATTAAGGATAACAATAATAGGATGTTTCTGAAGGACTCGCTCAACACCCTGTAGTTTATCTTTTGCTGTCAAAGGCAGCATTACTGCACTGTGGGTAACCTAGTTTAAAACTGTAATCTGTAGGCAAAAAATCCAGTGCTTGCAACTAGTCTAGCACCTGTATATGAGTTTGTATGCATTTCATTTAGGACAGATATTCTCAACTATTTTAGGGCAAGTTGACCATGACGGTCAACATGGGAACGCTACCCGAACCCCAATCCGGGACGAAATGTCCGAAACTGACCACACCAAAAACTGACGCTTTCGCCATACTGCTATCTACCAAACCATAAAAGCTTTGGCTATTCTGAGGTGCTTATATGGTTCAGAGATGGTACTTTTGGGGGTGGTCAATGGTAAGTGTGAAATGCCTAGCACTAATATTTCACAAGAAAATGACCATGCAATAATCATAGTTAAACGTCAATTTGTGGCTTGCAACTTCAGATAAACAGCAGTGGACTTACATTACCTTTTTCCCTAAATCTTTTTGATAGAAACATAATTGGTACCTATCTAAATATATTATCACTGGTTTGGTGTAAAATAGTTAATATTTTCTGACCGAAATAATAATTTGAAATGTGCCTACCTCCTGCAAATGGACGTATTTGGCCAAGTTCTCCACTTTACTCCGCTGTTTATCGGCGATCTCGTCGACATCCTTCCAAAAATGTAAATCATCTCAGACATAATGGTATCAAGAACATTTTAAACAAGTTTCAACTTGGTTTCAAGTAGATCATAGCTGTTTAACCATCGACAAGGTAAATCCACAACTTTGTCCAAATTCGGCGCCATTTTGTTATCCCATGTCGGTTGTCAACAATTCGGCCTTGTTACTCTTCCATTCACGCCATATCCATTGCACAAATAACAAATTTAATCCTTTGTTAAGGGTATTAAAATTAAAATACAAATGAAATATGCGAAATGCAGCATTTTATCACCCGGTAAAATCTTGCTCACGAGTCTTTCAAAACATTCCGTACAAATCTCGCGTGACAAAGTAACAAGGACGTGACATATATTTAGATAGGTACCAATTATGTTTCTATCAAAAGACTTACGGAAAAAGGTAATGTAAGTCCACTGCTGTTTATCTGAAGTTGCAAGCCACAAATTGACGTTTAACTATGATTATTGCATGGTCATTTTCTTGTGAAATATTAGTGCTAGGCATTTCACACTTACCAATGACCACCCCCAAAAGTACCATCTCTGAACCAAATAAGCACCACAGAATAGCCAAAGCTTTTATGGTTTGGTAGATAGCAGTATGGTGAAAGCGTCGTTTTTGGGTGTGGTCAGTTTCGGACGTTTCGCCCGGATTGGGGTTCGGGCAGCGTTACCATGTTGACCGTCATGGTCAACTTGCCCCAAAACAGTTGAGATTATCTGTCCTAAATGAAATGCATACAAACTCATATACAGGTCCTAGACAAAACGGTCTATGCCAGTGTATAGCGCCAATAATACTGCCTCGTACCCAGGCGCTTTATATAATTACAATATATCAAGTATTCAGGTAGGTGGGCGACGCGCGAAGGGGCTGTTCGGAAGGGTGCGTGCTGGGGAGCGCCTGGCAGTTCTTGTATACTGTCATGGTGGGAAAAGTTGGAATTTAATACAAAACGTTACCATATCGTCATATACTCTGTGTGTAAAACCTGGTTTTTTGACGAAGAGTCGAACTGAACGCCATTGGCAAATAATAATAAATTTGTAGATGTTTGATGACATGCAAAATGCGCGAAAAATTATGAGTAAATTACATGGCAAGTTTACCGTGCGAATATTTCGAATATGTCATTCGGTATTATTACATGGAGAGTAATAGAATGCTATCAGTTGCTTAGTATAAAATAGTAACAGAGAGATGATTAGAAAGTCATATAATTGCTTTTGTATTAATAACTTCTTTAGCTGAAGGCTCGATCAGTCGATCACAATGCCAATGGCAATTTCTATTAAATGTATACTGTAAACAAAAGCCCAAGTAAATAAAAATTCACAGCCGTAAAGTTTGAAATATTTATTATACAACAGTGCAATTTTATAGTTTGTACCTTTATATATTTATAGCTTACAAATCTAGTTCCTGCAAGTCTAGTTCTTCAACGTTTCGGTTAAGGTTGTTGACATGTTAAATATTGGAATTTCCATGGACTTTAAATAAGATATATGTAGATGACAGAAGTATATTAACATTAGTCAATTCAACAAAAACAAGTAGCAAAAAATCGTAAACGACAACGAAATATCAGAACTTGCAAGAAATCGACTTTCTTGCAAGAAATCGACCAAGAACTGCCAGGCGTCTCGCATTTCAAGTGCACTCTTCCCATCAGCCCCTTCGCCCATCTATCCCCACTACAATACTTCATGTAAACTGGTCCTATGCGCATCACTGTTTTTTTACAAAGAGACGCCTGGGTACGAGGCAGGCCAATAATACGAAAGCTTCGGAGGGCACCATTATCAGTCCAAAGCTTTCTTAAGTGAATTTAAAGGGCAGTGTCACGGCGCTGATTGGCTAAAGTAAACGGTGCAAAGAAACGTTTAAAATTAATGCTACATGATTAGAAAAGATGCAGCAGCCTTCAATTTTTAAAACAAAGCAAGGATGTCCTGCATAACGGACTTTCTCTGTATCAATGGAAACATCTGGTCTGTGTCTCTCAAACATCTAGCGAAAATGGACCTCATTCTCATGTTATCTAAATTTTCCGGTCAGATAGGTCCAAAGCCCATATGTTTTGTGTTCCATTCAACAATTTGACCGTTCTTACCGGTCTGGCCGTGTTAATGGAAAGTGCCCCATGTATAGATTATGGGTAGATAAATATCAAGATTTTGTTGGCATCTCATTCGAATGAATTTGATGAGTATTGTAGATGAAAATTATCGAGTGAAAATATATATACACTCATTAGATCAACTGGTTAGGTCAAATCAATGTATTTAAAAAATGCATTAATAATTCATGAGGAAAATTGTAAAGAAATGATTGTTCACTGATCAATGTTTGTAAATCGGATAAAGATTTGCCCTGATTTACATAAACTTCAGCTTTGATTTTCTCGGCTTAGACAATGTTTATTTTTAAAACTACTTCGCCAATGAACTCATAAGATGGGTCGTTTTCTAAGCACGTTAAAACATTCGCATCCGATCTTTATCTAAGTTCGGCGCATGATGAGTACGACGTCTGAAACGGGCCTTAGACAATTATTTAGAATTATATGATTCCGTAACAATATTTAACAATAATCCAATAAGCTGTTTTGCAGACAAACCCACAATTCATTGTTATTGTCAAGAGGGCAACCCTTTAAAAACTTCCCTACAACTTATTCTCTGCTACTCTCATTCTTACTAAGGACTAATGGTGAAGAAGATTTCAACATCAGTGAAACACCACGTAACCACAGGAGCAAAGCAGATGTCCTATGGCTTTGCATAGTCTACAAGCTCTCGCTCATCATTCACTTCCTGGAATGCCTTGCATTTGCCATTGCGCTAAACATCGACGGCTTTTTAGTACTTAATATCGCGCTCATGCATGGCGACATCCAAGGAGCACTCATCATTAACATGTCGAAGATTTTCCTCGCGATAAGGATGCTATTTGTCAATGGCATCTGTTGGTTGTATATTAAAAAAATATTTTATGGAAAGCAAAAACTATTCACAAAACCTCAGGGTGACCCAATTGACAACCACGAGTACGTGAGGATAGAGTCGCAAGAGCCTGATGCAATAGTGGACGCTACAGGGGACCAGGTGGGAGAGCAGGCGGGAGGGGACCAGTTGGGAAGGGACCAGGTGGGAGGGGACCAAATGGGAGGGGACCAGGTGGGAGGGAACCAGGTGGGAGGGAACCAGGTGGGAGGGGACCAGGTGGGAGGGGACCAGGTGGGAGGGGACCAAATAGGAGGGAACCAGGTTGGAGGGGACCAGGTGGGAGGGGACCAAATGGGAGGGAACCAGGTGGGAGGGGACCAGGTGGGAGGGGAACGCCTTTGAATGATAGATGACTCGAGGTGTACTTCGTCTTTAAAATTAAATACACGAAAAGTATACAGTATATTACTGTATTCATTCAGTAACCTGCAACTACGAGTAAGAACTCAATGAGAAACAAACAAACACTGAAACACTTAAGCCTCGCGTACAGAAGAGCAAGTTTTCCTTGACAACTTTTATTTGCCATGTGTAAGACAGAAACCTAATTTTTCCTTGCCTACGAGCCTTGTTCCAAAGCCAGTCATGACTGTTTTTGGACAAGGAAAATTTGTTCGTGTGTACGGCCGCCAAGAAAAACTTGACAAGTGTACAAGAAATACTTCATGGTTTTGGCAAAACTGAGGTGACCATGACGTGAGATTAATGTTTAATAACATTTCGTGCACACAGGCAACAAAACTTGTCAAGGGAAACTTGTGAAGGAAAACCGAACACACAAGGAATCTGGTGAAGAAATTATTATATAGGGCGTAGCAATCGACTTCAGCTAGCATTCCTTAGGCTACGTCTACAAATGTTTGCGGATACAAACGAATCCAGATATACGATAGTCACTGTATGCATGGTAACATGCCCCCGATATGGTAGGCCCTGTGCCCCCGATACGTAAAGTAAAAGAACGCAATTTATCGCACACTGATTTAGGACAGCTAAGCACAAACATTGAGTTACTCAGTTAGACAATAATTGCTTTTAGCAACGAACAACTATACTTTGTTTGATCCATATATTCTTTGGCTGTAACTTTAAAAAATTCTACATATACACCGTGTAACAAAAATACTTTATTGTAAATATATATAATAGTCAACAAGACTTACTCTAATTGCTGTTGACTTAAAAATTAAAGGAGCATTATTTGTCATGCGCCATGACTGAACATTTTCGTCAGTGGATAGTCAAAACAAACTACACATTAATATATAAACTGCATGCACACATGCATGCATGAGCTATGAAAAGACTATGAAGTGAAATACTAGATTTCTTGTATGTTTGCATGGCAATTTTAATTTAATCAATAATGGAAAGCACATTGGGTTGGAAGCCAACTTAAAACAAAAAGGAAGAAAAGTAAAGCAGAAATCATGTACAAATTATTGAATAAAATGGGGTCACCCAAATCACTCGCTAATCTCTTCACATATATAATGTAAAGGTGAGATGACAAACTACAAACTTCGGAACATTTCAAGTAGTTTTTGTTTACCGCAACCGAGTACTAATAATATGAAAAAAAGTTTCATGTATGCGGAGCACACCTTTGGAATTTTACTTCTAAAGAAATTAGAGAGAGCAAATCCTTTTCTTCCTTTCGAAAGAAAATCGCTACTCATATTGATTGATAGCTAATTGAAAATATATAGATGTTAATACACCTGTAAATAGATTATTACTTTAGTTAATTTTGTTAGTTCATATAATACTATATATCTTATATAATTTTGTAAGTAGTTGTTAAAATTCTTTTCTGTATACTTTTTTGCACGCCCCTCGTGGAAATCAGCTTAAATAAAGTTTTTCCATATCTACAGTATCTAAGTATCTACATACGTATGCCTACCTGCTTTTCGTTGCTTTGCTCTTCAGATATTTTTGATAAGTTCTTGTAAAAATCTTCATCGTTCACACTAGAATTCACATACACAAACTGTATCAATTTAAAAGTTCTGTTGAATATCAGACAGAACACATTGACATTTGTATAACACGTTCCAGAGCAAGGTGTGATATTCTATTTACTTGAAAAATGGACAAATACACCTTTGTGTTCGAATGACGTTTTTAACTTGGCATGGACGCGTCCATGCCATGCATGTATATTTGCAGTTTTCCAATGACTTTTTAACTTCACATGGATGCGTCCATGTCGTTTGTTATGTGTTTTACATATTTGTGTTCCAATGACTTTTTAACTTGTCAATATTGTTGCTTTTGGAATGGTTACATGGACTTGTTTTGAAATTAAGGGCATTTTGTTGTATGAATAAAGTTTACTTGATTTCTGTACAATTTAGCAAGTGTTACTTTTCAAAATTATGCCAATTTTAAATATTATAACAAATACGTCCGAACAGTTTTTATAGAAATAATTGTTTGTCAGTTTTTGGCAATAACGAAGAGTTTTGACAAACGTAAATTAAGTGGAACAACGCAAAATTATGTACGGATTAACGTAATTCTCCTGAGAAAGAATCTTCTTTGGAAAAAGTGGGATTAATTGGTCATAAATGTCCAAACAAAATCTAAATTTGTGGCTAAAATCTCGTAATAAAAAAGATTTTGTCCACAAAATTGCTAAATAGAATATCGCACTTAGCTCTGGAACGTGTTGTATATAGTTATAGGTTTCATTATTTACTATCCAACATTTATATGAATGAAAATATAAAATGTTAATTGTTTTCAATTTGTGCAACAGTCTTGCAGGGCTCGAATTCTCGAAATAGCGGGCTGCCAATTGCCAAAAGCAGGCCATATTTTAGTAATGGCAGGCAACAACAAATTTGAACTGCCATTGGTAAAAAAAATGGCAGGGGAAATCCTATAGATATATTTCATATCATTTGCTTACCACAACTCACATGTACAGTACTAGATCATTTGGTTGACTAAATACGTTTATATTCGAAAAGTAAATTCGAGTTTACTGCAGTGAAATAGTAAAAATAAATAAAATAATAAAAATGCATATCATGAAAACATTGATTTTTACAATACGACTAATTGAATAAAAATGGCAGGCAAAAATTTATTTCACCTGCCAAAAAATTTTCGACTGGCAGGCCATATTTCTTGTTCTACTTCAAGCCCTGCAGTCATGTAATTGGTGGCAAATTAATAGAAATGATCATGAAGATATAATTTTATTGCCCCTGTACATGACATTGTATAATTAGTGTCTTTCTGAAGATGACCATGCACATATTAAATAATACATCAGCAGTCTTGCACATACACACTGAAACTAACCAACTATCATAGAGTTACAATAGGTACTTAATAGAGAATTTATGTCATAATTTATGATTGATTTTACCTTGAAGTTAAAGCTTTGGAAGACAATTTTGAACTCTAAATAAAGAAGAATGTCAAGATAGATGTTCTGTTTAAATTTCATCATTTTTCTTAGTTAGTACATAGCTTAAGGCAAACTGGTACCTTTCTCTTTGATGAATGCTTCTTCTTTTTTGATGCTGTATCTGCAGTGATATAATGGATAGAGATTGTTGGTATTAAAAGATTTCGTCCTAGATTGTTAGATCAAGGTCTCCAATGCCATAACGAAACACATGCAAGGGGTGCAAACACAATGGAATTCCCTCTATAGGTAAATTTGCAGGGGGTGCAAACACAACGGTGAAAAAAATAGATTCAGGATGGTGTCAGAAACCTTGAAACCCCTATTGTTTCTCAGACTTGGAATTTTGTATGAATTAAGCATAAGAGTGGCAAATTACTCTTCTCATTTCACTTAGTTTACAACACAACATTACATTGGACATTGGATGTTTCCCAACCAAATTGCAGTTTTTTCAAATCAAATACTAAAATGGTCGGATCGTTTGTCCAAACAAAACATAACAATCAGTGTTCTTGAAAGAATGGGTTCATTACCAAAGACTTCATCTGATCATCCAGCAAAGATTACACAATTATCAAATTTGAATTAAAGCACTTTTATTATGCAATCTTTTAATTACCGACATTTCTTCCTTGTCTTTTTAAAGATGGCAAACAACTGAATAAGGTGGATGAGTTTTTTTTAGCAAATATTTTTTAATGTATAAAGGATGTTTTTAATATATACTCGTGTCTGCAGCATATAAGTGCATTGTAAGAGAGAATTAAGACAAGGAAGAAATGTCAATAATTAAAAGATTTTGTTCAAACTCTTTCCGGGCTTCATTGAACAAACTTTCAAAACTTTTATTATAATGTCGGATTTAACCTATTACAGACGCTTGGATTCAAAATGAAATTGAAAAATGTTGAGTTAATTTTAAAGTTTTCAATCAAATTTCAGTTTGGACTATTTTCCAGACAATTTTTTGTCGTTATTTCAGGCTTAATGACTCACAATAGTTTTGACCCACCAAAAACATCAATTTTAATTCATTACTGTTTTGTATGGCAACACAAAATATCTGCACTAGATGGTTTTAAAATAAAATACAGTAGATCATTCTGTACCTTCATCACTATCAGCCAAGATGGATGCAATTGCATCATCAAGATCAACTTCAGACATTTTAAACTGCACCTTAATTACAAGAAAACTGTCTAAATATCTTGCACATTTAGTGTACAGTATTTACTGTTACAGAAGTAAAAGAAACATTGCGGTAGATACTCAATTCTGACACCAAATCCCAATACGTGCTACAGCTCTAATAATCCTGGAACACATTATATTACACTCCGTGCCTGATGCACAGTGGTGTTAAGTAACGATTGAAGTAAATGCACTTCGTTACTGTACTTGAGTATACTACTTTTGAGAAGTCTGCATGCAACAAAGTAAACTTTTTCTGGAGTACTTTTACTTGGAACAAAGTCGTTTTAAGAAGTAACGTTTTACTTTGTTACTTTCTAATTTAAATTTGTTTAATTTTATGTGATTTATTGTGGATTTATTTTAATTTTGGGATAAGTAAGGCCAGGTAAAAAATAATACTTGGTTAGCGTCACACTCTCACAAATTTTCAGAGGCGGGCGGATTTTTTTTTTAATTATTACTCGTTTTCTAATTTTTTAATAGTATTTTTGGTGGGGATGGGGGGGTGGTTTTTCCACCATATCGGTGATATTTTTTGTACTGATGTTGCGAAGGCCGCCATTTTGCTTTAAGAACCTTGTATACCCAAGCCTACGCGCTTCTATCGATCAGTATATAGCGCGAATGTCTGAGCATGAGAAAAATTTCAAATATTAAACTGTTTTAAGCTGTAAAACGAAGAGATTTACATAAAAAATTTTTAAAAAATTCAGAGGCGGCAGAAAATAGAGAGGCGGGCGGTGACGCTAACCAAGTATTTTTTTTTTTATTTGGCCTAATAGGGCCTCTACATGTGTCTGAGTGGGATCTCTCGTTTGTGGCTTTCCGATAAGCATTATTTATTTAATGGATTTCTTATATCTTCAGTTCCGGTGTCTGGAAAGTAGACCATGCCATGAAATGTTGTATATTAGGTGCACACATATAATGCATGTGTTGTTTTGTGTCTTTTGTATGCCAATCCATTGGATCTCCACACATGTTACAGACATTAGTACTTTTACTTTTTACTTCAAGTATTTTTTAAGGATACTTTGTACTTTTCACTGTCTTAATTAGTATGTTTTGCATCCAGTACTTTTTACTCTTACTCTGAGACAGTAATTTTATTGTTAATTACTTCTACTGTCAAGTAGTAATTTAGGCACCACAGCTGATGCATACATACAACATTCACACTTTTAAAACCACTTAAATTTATTTGCTACCATTTTAGCATGTTAATAATAATAATTACAATATTTAGTCAGGGGGTCCACTCACGAAAGTGATTTTCAGTGGAGCCCTGATAAAAAAAATTTTAAAAAATAAAAGAATAAAAAATTATAAAACTAACAAAAATGAATATATATGAAAGGTTAAATTGTATAGAGTTCTTGCGCATCCTATCAGTTCGGTGGGGTGTCCTATGGCTATATAGCTAAATGTTTCTTTAGTTTAGTTAAAAGAACAAAGAACAACATAAGAAAACATCACCCCATAGACTAAAAGCCATGTTACCCATGCTGTAAAGTTAGGGTGTTGCTCAAAATACACTTGTTGTATACCGTGCATGCGCCATGCTGCATTCCATATAAACCTCATGCCGAAGACGACCTACATCAAATGCAGCCCAAGTTGCAAAACAAGGATGCTTTTACACCTGTTTGGTGCACACGAAAGCCGATTTCTGGAAGCAACAACACGTTCAATTGCATTAATTTTATGTCTATTTGACTGGCGTGTAAATATCAAACAAGCCCGTGGGCTGGCATACATATCTTTTTTCATGGTTTTTTCAATAATTAGTGTGACAACAGACGCCATTTTGGCAGTAGTCTGCAACCACCCGGAGAAAATAGGGTTGCACAGTCAATCACGTTGAAAAAATAATAGGGTCGGCAGAAAAAATAGGGTCGGTTGGGAACCGGAACCACAGGTATTTTTTTACGCCCCACCAGACCCAACCAGGAACAGACAGAAAAAATGCAACTACAGGACCCTGGCAGGAATCACACCTGTGGCCCTGTGATTCCGAGACAACAACGAGACAACAACGATTCCATCAAGTTCTAGTCACAAGTTCATGTGTATATTACACTACCGTACCTCCAGACTGGAAAGTTTGGAAATTGTGCGCCAGAGATTTTGAAAATTTAATAGTAAATATACAGAAAGCATCAAAATTGTGCGCCAGAGATATCCGCCGCACGATACAAACTTTCCACACAGGCTGTACCTAAAGCACTGACCTGTTAAGTTACGGGTAAATATCAATATTCCATCTACAATGCACTTTGGCTATTATTCAATCAAGTGAAATGCTAACATTTCATATAAGAAACTAACTTTGCTGCAACTTGCAAATTATGCATGTCAAAAAAGTAGTCGTGCAGAAAACTTTACTCTGCCAACATTTTTCATCCCACTTCTTTCAATTTTCTCTGCGACTACTTTTTAGATATTTACATTTAGGCTCTTTATCCGAAATTGCGTTACTTTAATAATTGTTGCAGAAAACATTGCAAGCATAGAGGGTGGAAAAGGGTATTTTTGTGAGCCGTGAATGGTCAATATTTGTTTGTGTGAAATGTGAAACGCTTGATTTTAGTGTTGTAAAATGTGATTTGTTTTACAGCTGTGAGGCGTGATTGTCGATAAAAATGCTCTGTGAAATGAGAATTAAGGATGTCTGTTTCGTGAACTGTAATTTTGCCTTGTTTATTTCGATCTATTTCATAATAGTCATAATAAATATGATACGTGATAATCAATTTATATGATCTCACTCGATTGCACAAGAGTAAAAACTTCGGAGGCCTTTCGGAGGTCGCTGGACATACTCGTCACTCAAACTTGTAAGTTGTGATCGGGGTTGTGATGTAGTTTTTAACTGACAGGTAGAGAAGTGAGAGAACTTAACAAAGTGTAAATACTGCACCATGCATTAAACATACTCTTACTGTCGGTGCAATGGAAGTGTTGATAAAATATTGCACCAATTCCTTCCTCAAGTTGATCAATTCATTTGATAGAAAATTGATCAACTTCCTGTTAGAATCGGTTCTGAAACGAAATCTAATTGGCCAATAGGAAACGCACAGGAAGTAATAGTCTAGGACCTGCATATGAGTTTGTATGCATTTCATTTAGGACAGATAATCTCAACTGTTTTAGGGTAAGTTGACCATGACGGTCAACATGGTAATGCTGCCCGAACCCCAATCCGGGGCGAAACGTCCGAAACTGACCACACCCAAAAATGACGCCTTCGCCATACTGCTATCTACCAAACCATAAGAGCTTTGGCTATTCTGAGGTGCTTATATGGTTCAGAGATGGTTTGTGGATTATTAGTGGAATGGAAATGGCTTGGATGGAAGAGTAATAAGGCTGAATTGTTAACAAGCGACATGGGATGACAAAATGGCGCCGAATTTGGACAAAGTTGTGGATTTACCTTGTTGATGGTTAAACAGGTATGATCTACTTGAAGCCAAGTTGAAACTTGTTTAAAATGTTCTTGATACCATTATGTCTGAGATGATTTACATTTTTTGTAGGATGTCGACGAGATCGCTGATAAACAGCGGAGTAAAGTGGAGAACTTGGCCAAATACGTGCATTTGCAGGAGGTAGGCACATTTCGAATTATTATTTCGGTCAGAAAATATTAACTATTTTACACCAAACCAGTGATAATATATTTAAATAAGTACCATTTATGTTTTTATCAAAAGGATTTAGGGAAAAAGGTAATGTAAGTCCACTGCTGTTTGTCTGAACTTGCAAGCCACAAATTGACATTTAACTATGATTATTGCATGGCCATTTTCTTGTGAAATATTAGTGCTAGGCATTTCACACTTACCAATGACCACCCCCAAAAGTACCATCTCTGAACCATATAAGCACCTCAGAATAGCCAAAGCTTTTATGGTTTGGTAGATAGCAGTATGGCGAAGGCGTCGTTTTTGGGTGTGGTCAGTTTCGGACGTTTCGCCCCGGATTGGGGTTCGGGCAGCGTTACCATGTTGACCGTCATGGTCAACTTACCCTAGAACAGTTGAGATTATCTGTCCTAAATGAAATGCATACAAACTCATATACAGGTCCTAGACTATAAAAAGAAATTTGAATTCGTATGAATTGATCAACTTGAGGAAATGAATTCATGCAATATTTTATCAACACTTCCATTGCATCGACAGTAATAAACCTTTGCAGTAATGGATTTACGTGGTGTTTCCACAAACAAAAACAATTCTTAGTAATAAACCTATTATTATTATTATATTATTTTATTAGAACCTAGTTTTCCGTGAAATTGCTTTTTTAAGACACGTGAATCGTGAAACGGCTTTTTTTCGTTGTGAAACGTGATCCATACCCCCTTCCCACCTCAGCATAACCATTGGCATTGCAAATATAAAATAGTAAAAATACCGTAAAACAAAATAAAAATACAGCCTTTCTCACCTCAACAACTTTCTCACACAAACTTTTTACCGCACACGAATATACAGTATATTACCAGCAATCTTTCAAAAGGCATCTCTTCTCAGCAACATTGGCTTCCAACAACAGCACGACATATAAAACGACAAATTGTGAACCACGTTTCACCGAAATTATATCCATGGCCATTTTTATTTGAAAATTGGCGCCACGGTAAGCCGCTTAAATCAAACTTAAACTTTGAATTTTACACATGAACCGCAAAACGTAATTCCCTTGACGATAAAAATGAAAATAAAAAACTTTGAAGCAGTTTTAAAAGCATAATTTTAGTTCACTTTTGCAAATAATACTTAAATAAATTTTTGAAACTACAACTCTGCAACAGAAGCCTGGGGTTAATTTTGGCTATCTGGCGATATTTAGGAATGTAGGAAGGTTAATGAGGGATATTCAGTAATGCATTTAGGTTAGGGACATTTACGGATGTAGTAAGAAATAGTTGGGATAATTAGGAATATAGAGAGGGAAAGTGTGGGCGATGTTCAGGAATGTATATAGGGTAAGTAGGGATATTTAGCATCATTAATGGTAGTTAAGTTCAAAACAGATACTCGATTACTCGAATTGGTTTTTGTTTGTAATTTTCTGTCTGTGTTTAATAACGTTTTAGTCCAAATATATGTTGTATTGGTTTTATGGTTTCTGTGTTTGTAAACTGTCGTCGTATAAAACGTTTATAATAGTTTCTGTGTTGTTTTGCCGTTGTTTTATGTCGTATATTTACTGTATATTTTCTGTTTTATATGTCCAGTCAACCATATTTTGTGTTGTCCTCTCTTCACGTTGTCAAGTCTCATTGGTTTATTTGACGTCTTGTTCCAAACAGGGCGAATGAGAATGTCAGAAATTTTATATATTCGGATGCCATTTCTCATTGGAGTGCCCGACTTCGATGATACTTGTCTTTACTCATATGATGTCTCGTCACAGAGGCGTGTGATTAAAAATCTGCAGTATATAGAAGTCATGTGCCTCTGTAGAAATTGGTCATCCTACACTTATGGCTAGTGATGAAATGCTAATCTGAAGTCATAAGGCAAAAACTTTGGGTTCATTTGGCAACCAAGGTTAGCACTTGGGGGTGAGTTGTGGCAAAAAAAAAACGGGGTGAATTTGTGGCCACCATATTACCATCGTGTTGTTGTCACAACGCTTGAAAGGCTTTCAGAAATTATTGGGAGGGGACAGTTGCCCCGAGTCTGCCACAGACCATTGGGAGTACTACAGTGATCCAGCCCCAAAAATGGTGCAATGAATTCAGAAAAGGAAAAACTAATATCAGAATGGGTTAGAAGTGTTCTGTTCCAATCATACTTCATAAGTGTACTGACGACTATTTTATTACGTCAAACATATTGCCTCAAAATGCAGGAATTAATGTTAAATGGACTTTAGAAATCAAAATTTTTCTTAGGGTGCATGGCCCAAAGCAATACTACAATTATGCTTGTTCCTTACACTTACATTGTACCACGGTACCAAGACATTTTTGGCGCCCTAGAAAGACCATTGAAAGCAGGGCATTTTTTAACTATATAACTGGGGGGGCCAAAGCCCCCCCAGCCCCCATGGTGGCCCCCCCACTCAACCATTTTGGCCCCCCCAGTCAAAGTCCCTTTTCTCTAAAATATAAGCAAAACATTGAATTTATAAGGCAGGTTTGATATTCTAGTAACTTAAATTTGCTTTGTGAATCTTATGTCCTGTCTTTTATGTTTAATAAATACCTTATTAGATTTTAAACATTTCCCAGGCAGTGGATTGCATTTCCCAGACCCTATAGAGTTTGAGTTGTTGGACAAGTTAGTGACCGCAGGGGGCAACAGGCCCTCAACCATGTGTTTTATAAGGGGGGGGGGGATAATTTTGGCCCCCACCAAAAAAAACCAATTTGATTTCGATACTAGAAGTATTTGAAATCATATATACTTATAATCAAATATCTGTAATCGATATTTTGATAACATTTCTCGTAATAATCCATCCTGACTCGCGGATATCGATCATAGACTCACAAATCATAATGAACGAATTAATGAAAGGGCCAAACAAAAGACGTATAGAAGACTTTGAAAATGCCATTTCCGATGATTTAGAGACGCAAAATTTTCAAAATTTTTCCACTCTGTGCCAACCATGGTGGCGCTTCGTGGGAGTCGGGAACTCTAAGTTTATCAAGCTGGCTCCCTAAGTGACGGCCAAGTTGTGGTATCTACATAAACATACTATGCAAGTACTTAACTGAAGGTTCAGTCTATCTACTGCATAATGTAATGCTGTATATCCAAAAATCTGTTTCAGAAAATGCAGGGAATTGCAGTCATAGGGGTAGAAAAATACAAAAATTTTCTGGGGGAGAAAACCCCAGACCCTCTCCAGGGCCGTAGCAATCGCGCCCGGGGTGGGGGCTGCAGCCCCCAATAATTTACTAATAATCATTCATTTTTTAAAATCATGCAGACCTTTATTATTTAATCCATGACAAACTGCAAAGAATGAGGATATTAGCCATACTTTCCTGCAACTTATCCAATATATTGTTAATTAAATACACCTTCGTCCATTTAGTACTACTGAATTCTAAATTTCCACATACTAAAAACGCTGTATTCTGACAATCAGAAATCTGTCAAATCTTCTCCAAAGTCCAGGAAATGGCATTTCAGAGACTCTAAATTTAAAAATTTCCTCGGGCCTTCGGCCCTCGCTTTCAGCCCCCCCCCCAAACGAAAAGAGCTTCCTAAGGCCCTGCTCTCACCCCCCCCCCTACTATTAAATGCGATACCACACCAAACTTTTTGTTACCAACAAACCATCTATCATTGCTCCACACTCGGTATGGTATGGTCCCTTTTTGTAGATGGCCCCCCCACTGACGAATTCTTAAAAAATGCCCTGGAAAGCTAGGTAGAAATTACCTTCCCAGATCAGCTTCCAGCACCCCCAGCTTCTACATAAGTTGGTCCATAACACAAAACCTAAATCCCTTTCTCGAGAAGACAGGACAGACCCTGGGAACACGTTGTCAAAAAGATTGTCGGTTGTCCATGATCATAGTTTATGTCTGTTTATAAAACGAGACCTCAGAGTCAACCTTTTAACATTATTACACAAGGCAGTTTGCAGTTTAAAGACCGTCGTAATCCTCGTATATGTGACTGAATATAATTTTAATAAGCTTCGTACAGGTTGTAACCAAATATTAGCGATTGTGAACGACAGCTTGCTAAAGTATTGGGAAATTTTACACTTAGCTTTCCCAGTGTATTACACTGTAGGAAGATGTTTCCTTAACAAATAGAGTGTCATTTTCATCGTTACACTTATCATATCAATTTCATGTCAAATAAGATAAAGTGTGAATAAAATTGAATATGAAAATACGTCTGACGTCTCTTACCCTTTGTTGCAGACCTGGAAGTAGTGGTGGATCCTGGGAACGACGTTCCTAGAAAATTTTTTGATTGCTACAAAGGATTTTCAATTTTCTTTGTGAGAAAGTATTAAAATTTCTTTAAAAAAATTATCCATACAAATCAACAAAAAGGTTAAAAATTTCCCAGTCTAAAGAAATTTTCTTAGAACTCAAAACGCTAATAAAGTGATATCTCCTGATGCACAAATCGGTCTCAAAAAAGTTTTTTCACTTGAGCACACATAAAAACATTCCTTGAAATTTAAATTTCTTTATCACACAACTTGCAAATGTCAAATTAGGTAGTAATAAACGCTTATAAGTTATAACTACAACTGTAATAAGCTATTACACTATAAAAGCGCTAGCATTTGTTACAATTTAATTTCGGAAATGCGAAGACCTAAGTTGCTAAAGGCCCTGTCACACTATTGCGTATGAGAGAAACGTATGAGAAGCTCACGAAAATCACTGAAATAATTTTCATACGCACAAAAATTTAAAAAACATTTTCTGCCTCGCCGTATGCCAGCTTATGCCACCGTATGCGACCGTGCTTGAAACGTATACAACCTATGCCTACGTACCCCTAGCGTGTGTCAGCATTTTTCAGCGTATGAGTGATATTTTTCATACGCTGGTATACGCTAGTACGATACGCAATAGTGTGGCAGAGCCTTAACATTATGGTAACATAGAATTAATTAATATTATCCAATATATTGATTAATTGAATAGATTTTGTTAAAGGTGCCCTACTTCCGGCAATATGGCGACAAAGAAACAAGCTCTCAGAAGCTCTGCGCAAAATTTGCATATTTCATCAACAAAGTCGCCCTCTAAGCCAGTTCAATCAAAGATTCTAAATCTCAAGGATACAATGGAGAGTGAAGATGAAAAAGAAAGTGGTGTGAAGGAGATGTTCGAGATTATAATGAGAAAGCTTAGCAAGCTTGATGACATAGACAGTCGTGTCAAGTCAATGGAGAATGACCTAAAAGACATGACGAGTTCCCTAGATTTCGTCCATGCGGAGGTTAAAGATCTGAAGGAAGAAAATGAAAAACGCAAGGCAGAAGGACATAAAACGGACGAAAGACTAGAAAAATTGGAGGATCTAAAATCTAAATACGGCATTAAAGAATCGCGTCATTGACATACAAGCGAGGTCAATGCACGATAATTTGATATTCTACAATATCAACAAAATGAAGGATGAAAACCCAACAGACATCGTCCACGGTATATTAGAAAATCAGTTGGGGTTTGAGAATGCGAAAGACACTGTGAAGATAGACCGCGCGCACAGATTGGGAAGGTCAAATCCGGCTTTATTTACAACCAGACCACGAGCCAGTTGGGTATCAAATTTCAATCTCTGCATGTGTGTGCATATTTTAAATTTATCTAATATTCAATCTTTATATATTACTCTAATATTAGTATAAACCATGGCGCAACATTCTCTAGATAATATCAATAATCTTTTACCGTTTCAAAATCTTAACGATAACGAGTTTGAAACGTTGAATGATCCAACAATAAGACAATCGTATCCCGATATGGATAGACTAAGCCAATTACGATTTATTCCTTTTGAAACAAATCAAAACATAGCGCTTTCCGGCAATAATGCGGACCTTGATTCATCCTTCAATACAAACAAGATTCAATGTGAATATTACTTACCAGAGGATTTCACAAAACGAATAGAATGCGAAAATATACAAGCAAAATTTTCAATAATGCATTTAAACATACGAAGTATTTCGAACAAATTTGACTCTTTAAAAAATTTGATTGATACTTTGAATATACCTTTTCAGATAATTGGACTTACTGAGACATGGCTATATGACAATATTGTGAACTGCTTTACTTTGAATAATTATGAGTACTTCTAATAGGCCGGAAAAAAAAGGTGGAGGTGTAGGTCTTTATGTGTCAAAACAATTGGAGCATAAATCTCGGAACGACTTAACCAAAAATGTTGAAGGTATAATTGAAACTAAATTTATTGAAATTATAAATGATAATGGTAAGAATCTTATTGTTGGGGTTATTTATAGACCACCAACGGAGATTTTCTTACGTTTAAAAATACTATGAACACAGTACAATCTTAGAAAAGATTGACAGAGAAAATAAGATCTGTTATTTAATGGGTGATTTTAACATTGATCTTTTCAAATCAGAGTCTTGTGATTACGCTGGTCAATTTGCCGAACAATTATTCACATCGTCCTTTTTTCCATTAATCACTAAAGCAACACGATACTGGAATCGTTTAATTTACAACAGCATGTCAATGGGCCAACCCACAAGAAAGGCCACACCTTAGACTTGATTATAACAAGGAATGAAGATAAATTAGTGACTGGTATCAGAATACATGATCCAGTAATATCAGATCATCTTGCCATACATTGTACATTACAGTTAGAGAAACCACCATTAGAACAAGCTGAAATTTATTATCGAAAATTAAACACTGTAAACATGGATAGTTTCAATGATCGAAGATCTAAAAGTACTAGATTTAAATGACGATTATGATCTTTCAGTCCTTATTGATAAATATGAAAATACGTTGAAAGAAACATTACAGCAGCATGCTCCACAAAAACGACGAATTATAACTCTTCGTCCTTTATCACCATGGTACAATGAGGAGATTGGTCAAGAAAAAAGAAATCGCAGGAAACTAGAGCGCCGCTGGCGCGCATCTGGACTATGTATTGACAGACAGTTACGTGTCAAACAATGTGAGACAGTGAATGCCATGATAAAGAATGCTAAGACAATATACTACTCATCGGTTATTTCCAGTAATGCACATAATCAGAAAGTGTTATTTAGTATGGTTGATAAATTACTCCATCGAAAGCCAGAAAAGCCCTATCCAACTGCGTCATCAACGACTGAACTCGTGAACAAATTTGCAGATTTCTTCAGTATAAGATTGCTATTATATGGATAGAACTAGCCATTAATTCTTCCCACTGTAATTAGCGAAATCAAGAGGAACAATATGCACAATGCGTTAAATTCATTAACTTTCAAGAAGTCACGGAACATGAGATTGAAAATGTTATTGATAAAGTTGGTAAAAAATCTTGTGAACTTGATCCAGTTCCCGCAAAAATCTTTCAAGGTTGTCAGAAGACTCTCTTACCTATAATTACTAAGATTAGTAATGAGTCACTTCAGTCAGGTTGTATGCCTGAGAAACTAAAAGAAGCCGTGTTGAAACCAAAACTGAAGAAAGATTCGCTGGAGTACGAAGAATACACAAATTTCCGACCTATTTCAAATTTAAAATTTCTGTCTAAAGTAATTGAGAAGGTTGCTGCCGGTCAGCTTCTGGAACACTTGGCTAATAACAACTTAGAAGAACCCTTCCAGTCGGCATATAAACGTTTTCATAGTGTAGAAACAACCCTATTAAAAGTACAAAACGATATTCTTGTAGCCATTGATAATCGTAAGTGTGTGGTGTTGCTATTACTAGATATGTCAGCAGCATTCGATACTGTTGATCACGAACTTTTACTACAACGAATGTTCAAAAGATTTGGGATAGATGGGCAAGTGTTGAAATGGTTTCAGTCCTATCTTCAGAATAGAACGCAAAGTGTAGTGATTGACGGTGTTAAATCTATCTCTAAAGACTTGCGCTGTGGAGTCCCACAAGGATCAGTTCTCGGCCCTATACTATATTTACTATACACTTCACCCCTTGGTGATATCATCAGAGGTCATGGTCTTGATTTTCACTTTTATGCAGATGACTCGCAATTATATCTCGCTTTTGAGTCAACCATTGAGGGAAAATTGGGAGCACTGGCACAAATTGAAATGTGTGTGAAAGAGATTGATTTGTGGATGGTCAAAAATAAATTGAAATTGAATGGGGACAAGACTGGACTACTAGTAATCATTTGCTCCTGCTTGAATAATGATACCATGTTCAGGTTGTGACATTTCTTCAACATAATGTTTCCGTAAAATATTTTCAATTTATTATACAGTATAGTAGAGAGTAAGACACAAAAAAATACACAGTGAGATATTTCCCATATCTTCACTACCGGTAGTGAAGATATCGATCACGTGACTTTTAGTATTTATACATTTTTTTTGCTTGGGACTATATAATAAACAGAACATTACATGGTGGCTTGAAGATACGACTTTTATCTTCTCGTGTTAAAAACAATATTTTACTCACTCGCTGCACTCGTTCGTAACTCGTTCATAAAATTTTTTTTTCACCACTCAAAGATAAAAGTCATATCTTCATGCTGCCGTGTAATATCCTCTATTTATAACTCAGGATTATGCATTAAATGTGTAATGCCTGCACTACGAATATCAAGATGGCAAATTAGGATTTTTAATAAAGACCATGTCCTGAGGATGCAAAAAAGCAGTCCCAGGTGAACTTTCACAGTTATATATATGGCACTATATTCACTATAAGCGAACAAAACATTCCAAGGCAAGTTGCTGTTATTATTTGCTGAATACAAGCGGGATGGCCCGATTGCCGATATCTCACTTGAAAGAGGTGAGATCTCGTTTACCGGGATGGAAATTTCTCCATATAACACTCACAAGCAGGCTAGCCCGGTTCCAGGGATGAAAATTCAAAGATACCGCCACAAACTATTTTTAACAACTGTCAAAACAATAAAATTTTTAACACAAGAGAAATTCATCCTGCTTACCAGGCTGTCTCACTAAGCGGGCCAGCCCGGACAAGAGAAATTCATCCCGCTTAACAGGCTGTCTCACTAAGCGGGCCAGCCCAGCTTCCATATAAACACAAAGGTTCCAACCGACTAATTTATCAAAGCATCAGAAGTTTCATTGGTAGCACGAGTCAAACAGGGCAAGAAATGTTTATGAAAAATACAGCTGAATTCGTCAGTAAAACTTCGCTCTGCTTGTCTATGAATATTATGATTACTGATCAGGTTCATTGTGTCAACAAAATAACTGGGACTTGTATATTTGTATTTCCACCTAGTAATTAGTATACTATAGCCAAACTGGGATTTGTGTATTTATTTGTCATGCTTAATTAAAACTCGTATTTTTCAACACATCTCTGCAAATTAAAATGTTTAACAACGTTTACTTCATCAACATTCAATGACCAAAGAGAATATACTGGACATGCATCCAAACCCTTTATTAAGCGGAGCGAACTCAAGTTAAATCTGTGAACTCTAGCTGACAATTTAAAAAGATAGCAAATTGAAATGTCGGATTGCCAGTCGATAAAACACCGCAAGACAAATTCTTGACGCTTTGATAAGTACCTTTGATAAGTGTAATAAAAATATCACAACACCACCGATTACCTTACATTAAACCGCAGGAAAAACCCCAAAACAACAGCTAAAATCTCCTTCTGTCTTCGCAAAATATGGAAAGCACATGGAAACACAAAGACGCCGCACGAAACCGGAAACCGAGGCAGATGGCATGAACATGAAAGCGAGGCAAATGTTACATCCAAAAATCTCAAAAGGACACAGCATCCAGCCGTGACGTCACGATTAGGAAGCGTTCTCCTTCGTCCACAGGCGGCCCAATCTCTGAACGTCCTATATATTTTGAATATTTAACCGTTATAATATTTTAAAATAACAAAATAGTTCAAAAAATATTAACAATGTATGTAAAAAATATATCTCACTTGTTAATAGAATCCATTTGTTGAGTTTCTGAGTTAAGTTGATGCGATTGCTTTACGTTTTCGTCGTACTTGAACGGTCGTCAGTACTGGCACTGAACGACATGGCCGTACTACTAGGACATAAATAACTACAAGGCTAGCCACTTATCTGATATACTCTCCGACATCGAGTCCAATATTTCGCCTCAGAATCGTCGCAGAGAAATAAATTTCACATCGTCTAATAGCACGAAGTTCAACGTTCCTCTTTCGAAAGAACTTGGTTTCTTCACCATTGCGGCAATTCCCGGGACACACGACGAACTATGTTTGTCAAAAGTCCAAATTTCCATTTTCGACAGACGCGCTAACCCCACGATCGTCGCCACGAGAGCTTCTCAGCAACCTGGCTTCCTCGTTTGAAAACATCCATCAGGGGGGAGGAGCTGGACTGGAATGAGGGGGTAACA